ATTTAATCTAAAGCATGTCTTTCATGGACTTGTAGCAGCTTAGGTTGATTGGTTAAGAGTTCACCTCAAACAACTAAGCATATGTCAAAACAGTAGAGTTCAAGTATTCCTTCACTTCCTTATTTTGTATAGGCGTTATATTTCCTATTATCCTAGAATGAATGTTGAGAGGCTTTGTTTGTTTAAAGAGGTAATCACACGCTCCACTGTGACTGTGCGAAGATCTAAATAAAGACCAATTCACTACTAGTCTGGTTTCTTCTATCAATAGCACGAGGGTTACCTACAGGCACGAAGGACACATCCATATTTACAAAATTACTGTCAGCTATCTGCCCGAAATTCATGTGATCACTACTTTTTGCGTATGTAAAGAGATTTTGATAACCATACATGTATATTAGTAGTTTTGTTAAATCCTTTACGATTCAACAATAAGTCCAGAAAATCTCCTACAACTAAACAAACCGTATCAAACTTGACAAACTAACTGGAACACTACTTGAAATTCTTCCTCTCCCCGGTTACATCTCTCTTCTTTCTGCTAGCCTGTAGAATTATGGTTTACTTCGATATTGGTACTGCTCCAATAATATACCTAATCCTAAAATTGCAGATGTGTTATGATGTAACTGCATTACATCATTGTCTTGCCCTGATTCATCGCGTTGCGACACTTATCAATACGTGATGAGAAACACATTTAGACTGAAGATAGAACAATGTATTTAATGTTAATAAAAATAATTTTACATAAATAAGACCACGCCTGAGAGGTCGCACGATACCACCCGATCAATTCGAATCATTGCTCCCGCCTTCTCCATCGTTGGATTTTTTCTACGCGTTAAATGTTGAGTATCTATTTCTCCAGTTGTTTCGTGTTCAGCATTGAGGATTGTGTGTTTGAGGCATAGTGCCACTACAAGTCTACAAATGCAAGTCAGTCATTAATCAACTCATGCGGACACCACAGTGACATGGACATTAATTGACTTTCTGATTTCGAACGTATATATTACTAATATCAGCATTGATACAGTATTGGTCGTTTTTCTATTTTCAAGCACAAAATACTTATGCTGACCACAAGTTGGGCTATTAACGAAGGGCTCTTACTACGCATCTTAATGTGACTTGTCAAAATATCTCTATGCCATAACATATCTCATTATTGTAATCCCACTTTGTTTGATTATTGAATGATCTCGTGGATTTTTATTTCGCACATTAAAAATTAAACCAAACATTTTGAAATTGTAACTTATACTTCCCGATCACTTTCTGCCGCCTTCTTTTTGATTTATCTTTTAGTTTATCAATACCTGGAGTATTTTTTTTATTCTTTTGATAATCTCCGGTGTGCGGCAATCCAACTCGATATGGTATCGAACCAACTTCACTTTGAGTGTGGTGGGAAAGTGGTGTAGTGATGTGGGTCCCTTACCACACGGTCTTTGAAACTGAACGTATAATCACTTAGAAGATTCTCTTTCAGCGTGCAACGCTAAGAGAAGGTCATCAATGGTGAAGGTGTGAACAATTAATTAAATTAATCGAATGGCGTGGCTCAGCCTTTCAGGAGTAGTCATTCTTGTGTAACTTATCTCTTTTGTTCATGTTAAATATATTGTTCTACCTCCAGCCTAAATGTGTTTTCTGGAAGTAGGTAAGATCATATTGGTGGTACTTACGATAGAACGAGTTAGTGTAGACGATGATATGACTTCCGCGTAAGATCTTAATGATTAGGTTTACATATCATGAAATATCTGCAATTCTTGGATTAGGTCTATTACTGTTGCAGTACAAATAACGAACTAGTCCATAATTCTACACTCCAATAGAGACTGTGAATTGATCAACTCATATTGAGAATCATGAACAGCTTCATCCTAAAAAAAGATTCGGTCAAATGGCAAAAGAAGCGAAAAGGTGTTTTATCGGAAATCTCGTCATACAAGTAAGCATCGAAATAGGTATGACTCAGTTTAGATGAGAATTCAGTTCCTGACTTGCGTAAGAAGCTCATCACAACACAGGAAACATAATTTACTCCGAAAATATGTTACATTTTTGATTCAAAAAACAACTGGTATGATGCAAGTAGTGGTCACTCTTGAGTTTTGATGGAGCGCTTATCGTCGCTATCCTCCGTGAAAAATCACTTGCAACAGGGGATGTTGAGGGGCTGAACTGCTGCTAACTACAGCACGTTATTGACTAATATCTTTTAAAATTTCAGCTTTTCATTTCTTAGTCGGTATTATTTCAGGAGTTTAATTGGCTCTATGGTCGTGATGCTATATATAACGTCGATGGTTGCCCGTGGAAAATTTGACAATGCGTTCTGAGATTCCGAAGCTAGTTGAGTACAGTCGTGAGTTCGGCTTTGACTGGACGCAAACTACAGCCAGCAAATATTGTTGCAAAAACAGATAATTTGGTGGTTTCCATTACGTATTTGAGTCTGCTCAAGTCATAATATAAACTGTCCCGATATAGTACATCCAAGCCTACGACATATGCTGAAACGTCTAGAGTAACAAAATCCAGTTGTGTGGATTGGCGCCCACGCGAACCTGAACACTTCAGTTAATCTCTGGCAGCCCTCCTAAATCTGCATCCGTATGACAGAACGACACTTCGATTGTCAAGCTCGAAGTGAATGCCTTACAAGGTGAGATGAACAAACATTTGGTGAAATTAGTTTAGGAACATATCCGGTAATTATGCGGCGAAACTCCATATGTATATAGGTGAAGACACAAGGAAATATATTTATGCACAAATACTGGGCACAAAATCTATGGTGAACAGTTCATTGAATGCTCTCTGGAATAACAGTCTAGCGTTTGTGTCCGACTCCAATTTAATATTCAAATATCCGATGCTTAAACTGATAATTACCAGTAGGAATATCATGTAAATGCAACGTTGAATGCAAAAACTGACACGAAGAGTGCTCAAAATACTTTATTTCATGCATCCAATTATGGGCAGACGATCATTCAAGAGCAGAAAGCAGATACAATATGAATTAGGGACACCAATCAACTCATTCTAATTAACATGGTTAGTAGTATACATATAAAATACACTGCGTGTAAAATATGATGATCAAGTTGAAATGTAAATAGATTGTAGATGACGTTAGATATGTGAAGGTTTATAAAATCAGATATACACGTAGAGAATGGAATCACGTGGATGTCGTAAAGATTTTACATATGGTACTACGCCAGATCCAGACGGGTTTACTTATGAGGATATACTGCATAGAACGTAGTACACGAGCATGCAAATACTTCCTAAGCAAGTGACCTAAGACTAAACTAGAAAGTGGGTTATAGTGTTTATGAATAAAAGCGTCTGATCATGTCATTTCGGCCAGTTGTGTTCACTGAGAATAAAAGATTGATATTATTGTCAAGTGCCCATAAGGTTATTTTTTCAGGGAATTCTGTACTTTGGTAAGACTTTGTCTAGCTTCCAGTTTTATTTTGAAGTAGAAGTTCCCAGTATACAATAAATCAAGATAGTAATTTTTGGTTAAATAATTAGTTGGGCGAAACGCTGGAATTATTAAATTTCAATCGCTGAGATTATTTCAAATATAATTTTCACATATAACGAATCGGCAAGTACGTTCTAAAACCAAGGACTCGCTGATAGAGAAAGCTTCACCCAGATACCTTCGTTTGTACTTATCCAGCACGTATAAGGAAGTCCACTGGCGAATGCTTTGTAAGTTTAGTACTGACATTCTGTCTAAGGGACTATCAACAAGATATTTGTTAAATATTCGCATCCCTTCTGTGTTCTCATTTCCGTGACATAAGCGAGAGGAATCAGCTTGTTTATGTCAGGGACTGAATTAATATGGTTATTAATGAAGAACCTACTTCGGGAAAATCAGAAAAGTATCACAAACCAATTCCCCGTAAGATCGTTCGGTTTTCTTAGTAGCAGGGATAATAGGTAGATCGACTTACACTAATCCTTGCGATCTGTAGTGCTGTGTAGATCCGACTGCGTTTTGAGTAGATCAAAAGAAGATGTTGATATTACCTGCTCTGTTCGTGAATTGTAGCATTCACTACCAGATAGGAGAAATGGAACGCCAGAGGTAAAATATTTGGTGTAGGTCTTTTAACCTTCTTAGAATGTTCTCTCACATGGTTAGTCCTAGATGGAACGAATATATTAATATAAAGATCATCGTTTAGTATACGGTAAATCAGAATTAAAACATTCTGCAACCTGTCGTTGCGGACGTATGCTGAGGCTTCTCAGTCGGTCTTCATAAGACAGGCCATTGAGATCATTTTCCATTCTGGTCCCTAGCAGTTAGACTCGTTTTAGTATGTCCGCTTCATACTTGAAAGAAGGGTCAGCTGCTTGAACCCTATATTCTGAATGTCGTGTATAATGTCTTAAACATGTCTTAAACGAAATTACTGGCGAAAAGGCCATGGAACCCTGAAACCTTTGGTAGTGGTAGTCTTACAGTCGCTCAAATTTTTGAAGTCGTTGCTTACTGACTCCTAGATTTTTATAATCCATCACTCTTGGTTATGTTATGCCACTCGTCGTTCAGTGATATGAATTGTCATCACTATTTATTTTCATCACTACAGTTGTTGGCAATGAATTTCAACAACCATCTATACATCTATTCAGAAGCACTTAAATCAAGAAATAAAAGTACTGTTGAATAGTGAGACTCTTGTACCACAGCAATGTCTATCTCTCAACCTAAAAAGCAGTTACAGAATAATCGAACAGGGAACAAGCACGGAGTTAGCTGGTGTAACTTCGGAGACAGGCTAGACGGCCAGAAGGTGCTTTGGACAGATAGCAGGTGACACTTTTAGTAACATATAATGTTAAATATAAATATAATTCCAATCTGTTGAGACAGTTATATTATTCCTTGGGCACGAGATTATTTGATTTCAGCTCCAAATGTATATACCAATAGCATTGATGTTCTGCTCAAACCAAAGAGCGCAAGCTTTCAAGTTTGAAGCGTTACCTGAGGTCAGAATGTTTTGATACTTTTGTGGACATATAGCATGTTTAGAAGTTTGTGTGATGATCTTGTCTCGATTATTGTGGACATTTATGAACACAACAGCTTTTATGATCGTCATGTGAAAGCAAAAAAAATTATTGAATTTGAAGTTAATGGAATTTACGATAACCTACGTAAATTGAGTTGGTTTTATCACAATCTACGAGCCAAAACTATTTTTTATACGTTGAGGCTCAATGGATCTAAAGATATGGGTGGACTTCCATATTGTTCCTTCAATACATTAAAATTTGAGTTGCCACCTGGTTCTCTTCAAAGTTCCTACATTGAGTTCTTCAGATTACTTAGGAAAGACCCTATGTTTGTTGCAGAACTACTACATTATTACAAGTTCAATGCCCAAGTAGTCGAAAGTTTATTTAGTTCAGTGTCTTCAGCTATATGTACAAACCCTGTAAATCCTCCCAGTACCTTAGTTCAGCTTACAATTGCTCATTATTTGCAGCAGTGCTTACATAATGTAAAGTGTGCAATGTATTCCAAGTCAGAGCTAATGCTCTTGGTGCATTTACTCATTTTTGGTACTCCAGATGTCCTCTCATTCTTAAATTCTGTCTTACAAAATGTATTCCACAGGTTTACAAACAGTAGCTCCAATCTTTCAATTAATATGCTTGAATACGATAAAAATTCTGTTGGATTTGCCAGCAATGTTTCACAGGGTACTTTCACAGTTATACTTCTCAATATCATAATTAGTAGCTTGTCTGATAATATGCTACTATTTCCCCAGTCGATTCTTATCTTGCTGGGTAATATGCGTCGTATTTGGTCTACTGCCAACCTGTCACATAAAGAAGTTCTGCATGCATGCGTGGAGTTTATTTTCAAAGATTTCATTGGATATGCTTTTGAAAAGCCCGCATTATACAACATCAACCTGAACCGCATATCGTCTCCTAGATTTTTCACATCTTTAAAGGAAACAATCGAGGTAAATTTTGTCGCGATTTTTCATGGTTTCCGTTTTAAATGTTCAAGTACTCAAACGAATATACGTAGAGATCAAATGTTACAAGCGACTAAAAATATACATATATTGATGCTAGTTTTTGGATGAATAGAGGTTCACATACTTATGTTCGAGCCATTCATTTCAGTATGTTCTCACTGTACTATCCTGCTGCCAAAATTAGAGTTGGAATCTGATCGTCTAAAAGTCAAAGTTTCATATTTTCATGTTCATTGCCTATTCACACCATGAAATCCCATTTTTATTCAACTGTTTAACTATGGCGGCTAGGTAGTGTTGTCCCGGCTACTAATCCGTTATTTTAGTCAAAATATTGCATTGGGTTTCTGATGTGTTCTGCTATTGGCTGTTACTGATAACTTTCTTTTAGTGTATGGTCCCCCAAAATCCTCATGCAATATGTATTGTTTGTCCAGATATGTATTAATCGTTTTCATGCTTTTGGATGTTATAGGCTTTCCAAATTATGCAAAATATTTTCAAGAAGTTTTATGGTTTATTCAATATGGAAGTACTTTGTGTTCAATCCTATCTTGTTGCTTTTAGGTTATTTCTTCCATAGTTATCGAGGGTGAGAATTACTCATTAACTACCAGTGTAATTAATCAGAACGATTCGGCAATTATCCATAATGAATGTACAAAAATAGAATATGACCAGCTTCAAGGATTTGCTCAATTTATACTAGGTGCTGCTGATTCTATGGCCTTCCCAAATAGTTTGTTTGAAAAATACTCTGAAAATTTGTTAGTTGGGAAAAATGAGCTTCAGCATCCTGGGTCAGATGACTGTATTTCAAAGGATTCATGTAATTGTGATGTCGTCTCAATAACCCCTAATGATTTAAATATTTTAGTAAGTATTTTGAACCCTATTCAGGGCTGTTATTTCATGTAACCTGAGTATAATGTGTCAAAAGTTTGGCGTCATAATTTATTGCCGTCCTAGAAATATGCTAACTTTGCCTACTTATTATTTGTTTAGTCTTCAGCCTCATGCTTCATTTATTCACACTTACAATTCGCCTAAAAATTTCATATATTCATCCTTTTTTCCCAAGGTTATTGCTAATGGAGTATTTTTTTAACCAACAGTTTCTGAACCAAGTGATGGTAGAAAATACTGATGATTTAACCTCGACTCTACAGTTTTGTTGTTTTATGTAGTAAAATGCTTCATTTCGTACAGATTTGTACAACAAAGCAAATGTGACTAAAATTAGACATGACATATGACCGTTTGAAATTAAATAATATCAGAAGACTACGGGATATTCGTTAAATGTATGACCGTAAATGTTGAGCGTTATTTATTTTCGTTTTGACACCATCTCGAGCATTAAAAGCTTTCACCAGGTGAAGCGAAAGTTTTAGATTTCTTCAGAAAGACTAAATCTCCCCATATATATAGTTGCTACCATTAAAGTAACTGCTCCTATGCATTTGTTCATCTTCTTGTGCAACTTGGATGAATGCATATATGTGCCTGGTCCTACGTTGTGGATAACTGACTGATTGTTAAACTGTACTTGATGGCAGTATTTAACCGTATATGTTAAGGGTCCACCTCTTAGCCGGTGTAGACCGACTTAGTTTGATCATCCAATTAAGTATTTACCGGTTAATAATGGCTGATCTCTGTAATACGTGAAATGTTTATCATGATTTAAGAGATATTTAGCGCACCAAAGCATGGGGACTACGCTCCAGCTGAATTGAGTTCAGGAGCACTCAGTGGAATGTTGATACATCAAACTGGCTAAAACAAAAAGATAAACATCAGGGACACTTTGATCACCTTTCAGTAAATTGGCATCAAGCTATAAGCCGGAAATTCTCTACAAACACTTTCATTTACGGTGATGGTTTTGTAATGTTTGCTGGCGGCACCAACCTATCAAGTGATAGACCGTTGGACTGGACCATGTAGATAGATCGTGCGGTCCTCACGATCATTGCAACCAGTGGTTAGAGACTTCCGGCTGCTTGGGTCATCATCGTTCGCAATAGCGTTGGTGCATTCACTTTTTATCTTCCCATAGATTCCTAACCCCGAGATCTCCTAATACTTTTATGTCTATATTTAATCTTTTCCACTATTAATGATACTTTTAACACTTTTACTGTGGGATTTGTCTTGATTATTCTATATCTCTGCTAATATAGTGTGGCAACTTGAACGGATGGATATTTGTGGCAGGTTCTACGTTACATATAACCGGCTGAACATTCTTTGATCATTAAATTTATAATTAATAAATAGGAAATTTCACTCCTGTTTCTCAGACTTAATCTCATAATCACTATATGTCTTGGTTGTAGGTTGGGTGTATTCGTATATTCTTAAAAACAAAGTCGAACTCCCACCCATTCCTCAAAATAATTGATCGCTTACCGCATAATGTTCCGGGTGCTACTGTGGAAGTAGAACTATCTGTGGATAATGCTTCATTTGGAGAGGCATCAAGCTCAGGTATTTACTTCTAGGTCGATTTTTATGTTATTTGTTTGCCAAGTCATAAAGATACTATTCGATAGCGATTCTTGATATATTAGTTGGTAGGAGTTAGTCGGGGCAAAATCCGGCTCTACGTCTGTTGTTAGTTAGCACTCGTCAGCAAGGTGTACCAGCAATCTCGTGGGAACTGGTATTCCCTATTAGACTCGGACTACACTGTAAATTCATCTATATAATTTGATCAGCCGCCTATCTGTATTACGGCCGAAAGTGGAGAGAGTCCGCTCTCCCTCTCGAAATGCTCTAACATGGCTTACGAAATTGAGAGGACAAAAAGCTAGTCTCCGGCGCTTTAACCGGGTCGGTGGACACGGAGAGTCCACCTAGGGAGTTGAAAAACCCTGATTTCAGACCAATGGTGTATAAACCTATTGTTAGTCACTGGCTACCATGGGACTGCATCTCCTTACGTTGCTCCACTGCCTTGTGGATCAGACCTTTAGGTCGAAGGCTGCGGGTGTGGCCCCTAAGAAAACCGCCAGCTTCGGTTTGGGCACCCGGGCAGTATCACAGCCCTCACAAAAATCAAATGATTTATGTGGCGCATATGTATTTGGTGCCTCCTTGTACCAATGTTTATGTTTAAATAAATAAATAAACTCGTATAAAACAGGAAATTATATTAGCTACTATTGCTTCATGATGTTGTGGGATATCCAGATATTTCATCTCCACTTCTGATGTAGACTCATTTTTTATTGAGTAATTATTGTTATAACTGTCTGGTCATCGTATATATAAGAGTAATGTTATTATGTATGCATCCTGTAACTACATACTTAATTATATTTGATGGGTGTAATAAGTTTTTTTGTCAGTTTGGGATGCCTTTCCTTATATTATTAGATGGAGCAAGGTAAAGAGAGGTAGGTGTTTTTAATTCATTGTTCAGTGGTTTCTGTGTTCGAGACATATTCATCCAGTTATTCAAATTATAATTCACCATGTGTTTTTGTTTCCAGTAAATGAACACAGTTATTTAAAAACTCACCCATTTGGGCACGTTTAAGTTTGTTTCGACGATCAGATGGGTTGTTAAACTGCTAGAAAGCAAGAAAAAAATATCTGCATAGATGTAGTATTAACCTCGTATACTTTTTGGATTAAAGTTCGATTAAGGAGATATTAAGGTGCAACAAATGTGTATGGTGAAAATCTTCATAGTATTTGAGAGGTTTGGTTGTGTAGATTTGCAATGTTTCACAAATTTGTATTAAAAGATGGTTATGGTGCCCCAACAGCGTGTTTCATGTGGTCATTTTAATCTGTTTGTGGCTTTTTTTAACCAGATAAAGATAACTTTGGAATAAGGGTGGATCTAACATGGGAATTTCGACGTATTTTACATTCTTTCAGATACAAACGTTATGTCTGTTGTTTTGGTCGATATATCAGAAAATAATACTACTAAAACTCTAACTCGAGAAATCAAAAGGTCGAACAGTAATACACCATCACCACAAAGGCGACGCAATCGTTCATTAAATCGTTTGTTTAATGGAAAACAGAACTTTTCTAGTCATTCTCAAGACACTCATATTGACAGTGCTGGAGTTGAAAATCCAAGTCTATCACGGAAAAACGTTAAATCCAATGATGAAAATTCAGAATTCGTCTATTTATTCAATCTATATTCATATCATTGCTCTCATCATCAAAAGATGCCTTCTGAAAATCAAAGCGGTCGGTCACGGAAATTAAGAATGGGTAAAAATAAAATTGATCATCCATTGGACGAATCTACAAGTCCGCATTGCGATGATGCAAGTGTTACAAGTCATGCTTGCTCAAATGTAGTCAGAAAAGTTGTTACGAAGGACACCAGTCAAAGTGCCTGTTATTTTGTTCCTAGTGGTGTAAGTACTGGGTGTGATAAATCAAGTCATCCACGTTTTGACCAATATGATTCTATCAGCGAAATTCATGTCATTGGAAATGTCAAGTAAGTTACCCGTCTACTTACTTCTGAGCATATCCAAGGGAAGTTTATTTTCTCATTAAGACAATCCACTGCGTATAATTGAGGAGACCTAGCTACGCAGTCATTGTATTAAACTTCAGTGCGTATGCTTCATTCACTTGATGGTTGAACGAACATAATGTCAACGATTGAAGTCAAATTAAGATTTAATTAGCAATTAGTTCTTTAGCTCAAGCAACAACGCACCGATTTGGTAACCCAACTATACCTTTTAAAGCTCCCGTCGTTACGTCCAACACAAATATTTATCAAAATAGGTTGAAACTAGCGAAAAAGAGATTCCTCAAGATCCTAAAATCATTCAGTCAATCATATATGCATCGGTCCAAGTTGCCTTACCTCATTAGCACAACAAGATGAACATCAAATTCATAGAAGCGGTTACTTCAATGTTGATAATGTATAAAAAGAAGATTGCACATAAGGATATAATACAAGGAGAAAGAATTAATTCGTAGAAAAAAAGATATAAAGTGATTTTAATCTCGCGGTTTAAGGGGAGAAAAAGAGTGTATACACCTACGTCACTGATCGATTCTGAGCCATGTCACCCCGAGTTTTCAACCACTGGTTACGATAGTCACATGGACCCCAGCCAAGTAGTCCTAAAGTCAGTTAGAGAAAACACTACAGTTGTTCACTCACACCTTAGGGGATCACTTTGCATCTGAATTATGTAAGTCCTAAACTTTCGGAAGGCCACAGAAGATTTAGGGAGTACACCCATTTCTTCTTGTTTGCCGTTTTGATTTCAACATTTTGATTGCAATGTCCTTGACTGTTTATACCTCAGTTTAGCATTTGGCTTAGTATACTGTATATTAAAATATAAATTCTGAGACTATGGAGTATGAAACTTAGTACCTACTCATTTTACTTTGTATCATTGTTGGTTGAAACGGTAATAAAACATGTTATTTTGCTTTATAACTCCCTGCGGGAGGGGGGCTCGACAGAGGAAGTTATTAGGAGTGTAATGCAAGTTCGATTGAAATTTATTCACCTCCACTAATTTACTGTTATAACGAATTGTGTAGTTCAAACGAGGTTGTAACAATCTTCAACTACCGAAAATCGGAATACATGGTAACGATTATATTAATGCGTTTAGATTATTATGTGTCTATCATGAGATCACATTTATTTAGAGTTATTATACTGTTTAATTTTTTAGTACAGGAGATGGACAATGTAACTTATGTGAATCTCATTGTTCCCCACTGGGTGATGTTGCCACTAACTTAAGTAACGAAAAGCACTCGTCCATCAGCTTTTCTCACAATCACTTTTTGACTGGTCAGCGTTCCAGTGATGAAGCTACCTCACAAAATTCTGATCCAAGTGGGTACACAAGTTTAGCTAGCAGTGCTTGTGCTCTTGGACAACGTTTAGAAACATCAGCACCTGTAAATGAATCACTACAAAATAAAAATGTGAGTGACTTACAGTTAAATCAAGGAACATCCCATCCTACTTCAGTCTCTGGTCCGTCAATCAACTCATCATATATTTATTCATTTTCGCCACCAGCTTCCCCTAAACATGGTTGCAGCAATTCACGGAGTGATGTCAACGATCGCACAACACAATATGTGGCATGTAGTTCACTGTCGCGTGGGGTCGAAAAACGTACTCGATTTTCTATTTCAGTTCTACCCAGTAGTACCTCAGGTAACTGATTTGCTTTCCATGTTTCACACTTTTTTTCCCATAACTTTCCTTTTTTACGATATATTTACTTGTTTCTAGTCTTGGGTTTATTACATAATGTAACGTAAATATAAACCAGTCAATCAGTCAGTCATAATCAGTATAGAGCCTAGCATCAATACGCGTTTGCCCAAGATGCTAAACTACGTCAACACGATGAAATGGAATTAGCATAATGAATAACAAAGGGATATAAATAACTGTAGTAGCCATGTTAGTGATAAATACTGAACGTTCAAACTATAACTGAAGAAGACGAAATGATTAGGTACATATGAATGAATAGTGAAGCTCAAGATCTATGGGAAGTTGAAAAGTGAATGCTTCGACACTACTGTGATCGACTCTGATCCATATCGTCCATCGTCTTCAACCATTGATCACGGTTATCGCGCGGTTATAAATCAAGTACTAATTTATTTAGTGGGCTTCAAGCCACACTTTTCATGTTAGGGATAGCAATATTACCTGGGTTCCTCAAACAAATTAAGTACGTAGACACAGCTTTATAGTATTACGAGAATAGAGGTGTATTTTCATTTCTCATCTACTCTTATTAGTCAATTGTTAATTTTGAATTCTTTTGTTACTGTTACCTATACCATTTGCCAAAGCAGCTACTTCTTAAAGTGGCTTGTACTTTAAAACGATTTCTGAATCCACTTTGTTCTAGACTATTTATGTTGCGCAGTAGGAGCACTTTACAGTAATTGGAAAACAACAAGTAATAATTATTTACTATTCTACTTAAGTGTTAGAAGTGAGCATAAGAATGTTAGTATGGCGGATTTGTAGATTATTGAACCTTCACAATTTACGTCAAGAATTGATCCCAATTAGACAATCGTTGAAAACCAGGAAACGCTAACTGACTTTTTTACCCTAGTATGGGACTCGTCAGCAGTGCACATCCATGACTTCACCGGGAATCGAAACCAGCACTTAACCTTTAGATCACTGTTTCGACATCCAATGGTATCCATGTTTGATCTCAATGAATTATCGATATTGCCTGACCATTTCCCATTGTATGTGATGAATAATTTTCTCACATCTGACGTAGTTGAACTCCGCTAGTCACGGCTTCTCATTGGAACTCCTGTAGTTGCATCTCTAGGTTATTATTACCATAGGGGTGTGTGTGGAGATGGTTGGGTTTTCATAGTTTATATCGTAAGCAGATACTATATTTTGTCAGAATTCTTAGGATATGTACTGATGTGTATTGGTAATCCCACTGCAGATAATTTAATAAAACCTCATTGTAAAAAACTTATCAACGATAATCTAACACTCGTGATTTATGTCCATAGGAAACACATATTCGATCGAGACAGAAAAGGGGTTAAAATGTTTAGGCCTCACGGAACTAACTGATTAGGTTTACTTTCTCATTACATAGTCGAATTTTTAATACATTGATAATGATTATGCTTAAGAAAAGATCTAGGTCATCGTGCAGTTTTAACTAATGACCTCTGGGTCACTAACCGAACTCTCGTTCGATTATGTTGCTTGACTCATGCTGTCACCCATATTTTATTGCTTTTAACATCACAACCACTGTGTTTGTTTACTTATCTTATTTCTAATGACACTGAATGTATTCATACACAGAAAGCTTACACTTTGTTGTCCGCATGTGGATTTAATGAGTCTCTTAGTCAGTGGTTTGGTCTTTTATCTCTGTATTTGTGGAGGCAGGATAAAAAACAGAATGTATTTTGTTTATCACCCGTTGTAGTCAGTGTTTGAAAAATATATATACTTAGGTAACTAAATAGATTAAAAAAATCGAGATCTCAAAGTCATCTTAAATATATGAAATCGAGTACTTGACGTTGGTAAACTTTAAATAATGGAATTAATTATATATTTACTGCCAAAGGATAATTGAATCGCATCATTGATGAAATCATTTAACATATCTCTTTTGTACATCTTTCCTTTTTTTGTTACGAAAGTTCGAGGATTTGAAAATTCGAGTCTTATACCTGACCATGGATTTATGGTTCAATCTAAAATATCAGAAACAAGGTGTGTTAATGAAAGGTCCTCTGTTCATCCTTCGGTTGTTAGATGTAATTCAATCGATCTATCTCAGTCTAGTTTAATCAACCATTCGAATTCATTAACCGAAAGAGAATACAAATTTGATGGACATAAATCGAACTTAGATTTCGTTTCTTCCATATCTGTATCGAATAAAATTTTACGTAGTGATGATAAACCTACAATTCAACCTCGGTGTTCTTCACTTACTTCTTTATGTGCATCTGCCGGAATCTCTTCGCTTCCAGCTCATCGTGTACGTCGGCACTCTCGAAAACTTATTACAAGTACTTCCAATCAAGATACTGAAGGTCAAGGTGAGTCCCAAGGTTCGCAAATATAAATGCATATATAGTGTTGAGTTTTGAAAGGTTGCTACTAATATATCAGTTACAGTTTCGAAAATAGTATCAATTAATTCATCTTGATTTATATCTTTGATAGCGTAGAAGTTTCACGTGAGCAATGTTAATCGTTATCGATAGCACAGATTGATATGAAATTAAACCATTTGATACAAAAATGTATCAATATTTACTCTGCGCAAAAATGTTGTGGTCTCAGCATAATACGTCTGCACACCAAACTAACGATTTGCAACTCCGACTACAGTGACATTGAACAAGGTTGCTTCTTTTTTTTTCCTTTCCCGCTAACCATGGATAGAAGTTCAAGACTGTCCAAAAGGATTATTTGACTGAATAAAAAGATGACGTTATTTACGTCAAAAGTTTTTTTTCAATTCTTTATGAACTTCGGCCAGGGTGGTAGGTGTAAAATTCATTCATTGTGACGTTTTAAGGTCAATATAATGTATATCAATTCAATGTAAACTTCGTTCAATATGACAAGTGTGGACTTTCATTCAGTTTGACCCATATATTCCCTTTATCGATTCCGTGTATTCTTACCGTAACTCTATGTGTTTTCCGCTATATATGCTATTATTGTACGTCGAAATTAGTACATATTTTGGCCTAATCACGACGTGATTTTGAACTTTTTTAGAGACGCGCTTTTGGAAAATCAATAGATTTTAATTGCGCTAGTCTTTCGTGTTCTTATTTTACGTTGTGGGGATCGCAATGGTTCCTGATTGACAAGTATAAGCAGTAGGACCGCTGACAAAACAAAGTCGATATGTACATAACGGCAACGATGACACATCTCAGACAATATTAATAAATTTTATTTCTTTTTTATTATTTATAAATAGGTACTCCTAGCTTCTCAGCGGATAGTGCATCAAGTGACAGTGACAGTGATAGCGGTTTAATAGGAGCGGCAGTTTCTCAGCATAGTACTGCTTCTTCTTCATGTCATCTAAATTCATCATTCATACAGTCATACCAAAATTCACATGATCATAATGATGTTAGAGAAGTTGATGAACAGTCTAGTTTATTAACATGTTCATCATGCGGAGTACGTTTAGGTGAAGATGTTATTCCGGATCCCATTCCTGAAAATGCTGAATCTCAAGATGTTGATATTAATAGTGATCAAATTGAAACACAAGTTGATGAACAGTCTAGTTATCCAAGGGATGAAGAAGATGCTCTTTCTGACCTACCTCTTTCATCAGCAAATATATCTGGTCGTGTGACACCGCTATCTCTAACTAGTACAACGTCTCGTGGGGGCCAGTTGGCTCAACCAATTATTCATGGTACGGAAAATAATTATCGTGTATCAGGGATGTTTTCTCAATCTGGCCTTATCCTTCCTACTGGAACAACATTGCCATCGAACACAACTCATTTAGGACTCACTAGATGTGGCCCTAATGAATTTCCGTCAACAATGTTTCAAAGACATTGCACACCAGACGTTACCGAAAAGTTTAATAAATTTGACTTACCTCCGAATCGAATGACAGAGAGTAAGCTTTTTTGTGTGTGTTTAAATGTATGCATTATTTGTTTACGAATCCATTTTATCGTTACAGAATTAAATTACACTTCTCACCTCTTCATAAGTTCTTTAACTAAGTTGCTGTAGTTTAGGAAGAAGCGTTTTCAAAGGTAGAAACTTTGACTTATGGAATTGTTTAGGTTGAGAGTGAAAAAACTACTTGCTTGTAATTTTGAATTACAGGTTCGTTTTATCTAAGTTTTAATTCACCGAACCTTGGGTTCACAATCAATAAGTTAGAAAAAAGTAGCTTTTCACTTCTCTCTAGTTTTCTTTGGTTCCTGTAATATTTCGATAATGCAATGAGAAGACGTAGTTTATCAGAATTATGTGATATATTTGCGCAATACATTTCGAACAATCTGATCACACATATACTTGTTAAGAACATTTATATATGAAAAATTAAAAGGTCAACTAGACAGGTTAAGGGTAAGTCATAACAAAGGGAAAAATATTAAAGTACACTAAAACAAATGTGATTACCACTCTGGACAGTAAATCAGTACTACCAGGGTAGGTTAAGTGTAAGTACAAATTGTTTTTGAACACATAAAGGGGGTTTCAATTTTCGTATAGCCAAGGCTTCAACAAACCTTAGTATACGTCCTTGAAGGCTTTTGTACAACACAACAAATGCTGATTTGATATCAACCTTATGACCCGTCTCAATCAAATGTTTCGCAATGGATGATGATGTCTGTCTATCCTGTGGTCTTATTTCACCATTGGAATTCATCTGATTTTGCAACCATTTTGGTATATGTTCACCCACCCTTAATTGCAAATCACGATTGCTCCTCCCTACGTACGTGTTTCCACACATACATGTAAATTTATAGACACAATGGGATGTGACACAATCGTTTTCATGCTGTTTGGGCTTTTGGTGAAACATAGACCTTGTCTTTTCGATAATCACAAGTTGGGCTGCATAAAATGTCCGGTTGATAGCTAATTTAAGTCTCTGTTTCAACATGAGACTATTTGTGTCACCTCTGAATGGTAGCGTAATATAAACTCGCTTTTTGGGTGCCAGAAGCATCATAGGTCTAGTCATATTGCAACCCTTCCAGCGGTTTATGAACTTCAAAGGGTAACCATTATTGAATAACGCATCAGTCAAGAGCTTCATCTCTACTTCAATAGTATCACTAGTACAAATACGATTGATTCTATTGAATAAGCTCTTTATTAAACCACGTTTTTAATGAATAGGGCAGTGACTATGAAAATTAAGATATTGTCCTGTCCATGTTGGTTTTCTATATGTAGCACGTTTGATGGAACCATCATCTCTCCTAGTAATCAGGATGTCAAGAAAAGGAAGTTGGTTGTTCTTCTCTTCTTCACATGTAAGAGAAATGTGGTTTTGACTACTATTGAATTCTTCTAACAAGTGGCTTATGTCTTCAATTTTATCACCTATGATTATTATGTCGTCTACATATCGTTTATACAGACTCATCTTTCGAATTGAGTCTCCAACTAAATTTTCCACATATCCCATGAACACATCAGCTAGCAATGGTCCTAGAGGGCTGCCCATAGCTACACCATCTATTTGTCTGAAGTGTTCACAGACAATGTAAAATTCATATTTGAAGGTGAACACTTCAGACAAATAGATGGTGTAGCTATGGGCAGCCCTCTAGGACCATTGCTAGCTGATGTGTTCATGGGATATGTGGAAAATTTAGTTGGAGACTCAATTCGAAAGATGAGTCTGTATAAACGATATGTAGACGACATAATAATCATAGGTGATAAAATTGAAGACATAAGCCACTTGTTAGAAGAATTCAATAGTAGTCAAAACCACATTTCTCTTACATGTGAAGAAGAGAAGAACAACCAACTTCCTTTTCTTGACATCCTGATTACTAGGAGAGATGATGGTTCCATCAAACGTGCTACATATAGAAAACCAACATGGACAGGACAATATCTTAATTTTCATAGTCACTGCCCTATTCATTAAAAACGTGGTTTAATAAAGAGCTTATTCAATAGAATCAATCGTATTTGTACTAGTGATACTATTGAAGTAGAGATGAAGCTCTTGACTGATGCGTTATTCAATAATGGTTACCCTTTGAAGTTCATAAACCGCTGGAAGGGTTGCAATATGACTAGACCTATGATGCTTCTGGCACCCAAAAAGCGAGTTTATATTACGCTACCATTCAGAGGTGACACAAATAGTCTCATGTTGAAACAGAGACTTAAATTAGCTATCAACCGGACATTTTATGCAGCCCAACTTGTGATTATCGAAAAGACAAGGTCTATGTTTCACCAAAAGCCCAAACAGCATGAAAACGATTGTGTCACATCCCATTGTGTCTATAAATTTACATGTATGTGTGGAAACACGTACGTAGGGAGGAGCAATCGTGATTTGCAATTAAGGGTGGGTGAACATATACCAAAATGGTTGCAAAATCAGATGAATTCCAATGGTGAAATAAGACCACAGGATAGACAGACATCATCATCCATTGCGAAACATTTGATTGAGACGGGTCATAAGGTTGATATCAAATCAGCATTTGTTGTGTTGTACAAAAGCCTTCAAGGACGTATACTAAGGTTTGTTGAAGCCTTGGCTATACGAAAATTGAAACCCCCTTTATGTGTTCAAAAACAATTTGTACTTACACTTAACCTACCCTGGTAGTACTGATTTACTGTCCAGAGTGGTAATCACATTTGTTTTAGTGTACTTTAATATTTTTCCCTTTGTTATGACTTACCCTTAACCTGTCTAGTTGACCTTTTAATTTTTCATATATAAATGTTCTTAACAAGTATATGTGTGATCAGATTGTTCGAAATGTATTGCGCAAATATATCACATAATTCTGATAAACGTCTTCTCATTGCATTATCGAAATTTATCAAAGGGACTAATTGTTTTAAATTCCTGTAATATTATTAGTTTGTTACAATTCATATCTCCAAACATATTTTTTCGCTCAATCACATTTCCTCGATTAAAGATAATTCAGTGGTTGGAATTCCATTGTCATTTTGTTAAGTAACAGATAGTCGTGGCACTTCACCACATGGATAAGGATCGTTCATATTGGCGCAGGTATATTCACTGTTTTTCTTTCCTTGGATGTTGGGTTTCTAAGTTATTTTATATATCTGTTCGTTTCTTGAATCATCTCTTATGCTCAATCTTTTCTATTATTACCAATACTTTTGCTATCAATACTACTCTGGAATTTGCTTTGACAATTTCTTATTTTTATTGTTATGGAATGTGACAACATGAAACCGATTCACACATATCTGCTTGGTTCTACGTTGAGTGTAACTTAACTTATCGTATAACACCACACAAAGGAATTTTGTTTCACTGATTGCCCAATAGTTAAGGCGTCCAACCTTCTACTGAGTCTTGGGTTCGAACCCCACCCCACCTACGTCGCTTTAAACAACCGGGTAACAATTAATTAGACCTCATACTTAAAGTGTGGGTTATATGCGAGTACCCCAAATGCCCTGGTACGGCCGAGAGTGGGGAGAGTCTGCTCGAAATGCTCTAATATGGCCACATGTATACAACCACTACCGGGGAAGCCTTACCTGCTTCCTTCCCACGGTGGGGGGTGCTGTTTACGAAATTGAGAGGACGAAAAGCAAATGTCTGGCGCTTTAACTGGGTTAGTGGACATGGAGAGTCCACCTAGGAAGTTGGAAAACTCCGATTCCAAACCAATGGTGCACATGTGCTCCAATATCCTGAAGGAGCAAATGGCATATGAACCAATTGTTAGTCACTGGCTACCATGGGACTGCATCTCCTTACGTTGCTCCAATGCCTTGTGGATCAGACCTTTAGGTCGAAGGCTGCGGGTGTGGCCCCTAAGAAAACCGCCAGCTTCGGTTTGGGCACTCGGGCAGTATCACAGCCCTCACAAAAATCGAATGACTTATGTGGTGCATATCTATTTGGTGCCTCCTTGTACCAATTTTTATGTGTTTAAATAAATAACCTGGTGAATGAGTTAATATAAATTTCGGTTTCACAGGTATGTCAATACTCAAATATGCACCAGTCGAAACTATTACTTTGTAGAAAGAGCTTTCTATGCTGTTTATTTATTTGCTTATTTAAACACATACATATTGGTACAAGGAGGCACCGAATTCGTATTAACCACACTTAATCAAAATCTGAGTTATTCTACCGTATCTGATAAGCTTGTTGTAATTAGTTTGGTGATTGCCCCCGAATGCCCTGGTACGGCCGAGAGTGGGGCGAGTCCGCTCTCCCTCTCGAAATACTCTCACACGGCCGTGCGTATACAGCCTCTGCCAGGGAAGTCCTACTCATTGCCTTCTCGTGGCGGGGGTGTTGTTTACAAAAATGAGAGGACGAAAAGCCAATGTCCGGCGCTTTAACCGGATCACAAACCAATGGTGCACATGGGCTCCAGTATCCTGCGGGAACAAATGGCGTATGAACCAATCCTTGGTCACCGGCTACCATGGGATTGCATCTCCTTACGATGCTCCACTGCCTTGTGGGTTAGACCTTTAGGTCAAAGGCTCGGGGTGTGGCCCCCTAAGAAAACCACCTGCTTCGGTTTGGGCACCCGGGCAGTATCACAGCCCACACACAAACGATGAACTCTGTCTTTGGCAACTACTTTTATCGCTCCGAAAAACAAAAACAATCAGTCGATTCAAATAATTATCATTACTATTATTGTCATTATTAATACTATTATTATTACTATTATTGTCGTTATTATTATTATTATTATTATTATTATTATTATTATTATTATTTCCCACATTATTCACCCTCTTTCATACTTATACAGCGGCTCGGCTTTGGTGGAAATCCGACTGTATCTAAACGTTCTCGAGTCACTGTCCGGTTGAAAGTTGTATGTTACCATCGAATATGAGTACTGAAGCAGTTTTTCTGAAACCACGTGCGCCATTCAAACTGGCTGCCTTCAACGTTCGCACACTTATGCAGGTTGGTCAACAGATAGGGCTGGCTATGTCTTTGGAAAGTCTTAATATTGATGTTTGTTGTCTATCCGAGACCCGTATTCAAGACTAGCGAAGTACTACAAATTCGCTCTACATCTGTCACTTCAAAAAGCTTGTTTTACGTGCGCTTATCCGGGGACCCTGTGGCATCTTCGTCTGGTCTTGCAGGCGTTGGTGTCGCACTAAGCGCTAGAGCTGAGGCAGCACTAGTCGATTGGATCCCCATTAACAGTCGGTTATGTGCTGTTAGATTGGAAAGTTCCATCAAAGTGAGAAGAAATCGGCGTGAGAAACGATGTCTTTTCGTCATCTCCGCCTATGCCCCGACAGATTGCAGCCCGGATGCAATCAAGGATGAGTTTTACCACCAATTATCTGTTCTTCTCCAGAAAGTGCGTTCGACAGATATTGTAGTACTAGCCGGAGACTTGAATGCTCAGGTCGGGCGTCTAGGCACAGAAGAGAGTCGTTTAGGTGGCCGATGGGGACTCGTTGGTCGCAGGTCAGATAACGGGGACCGTCTACTGCAACTATGCACAGACCACAACCTGCTTATGGCTAGCACTAACTTTCGGCACAGTCATCGCCGATGTGCCACCTGGCGTCCTCCCTCTGCATCCCAAGCCTGGACTCAGATTGATCACATCGCGATCAGCTACCGCTGGCGTAGTAGTGCACAAGACTGCCGCTCCTTTTGGAGTACCTATCTGGACTCTGACCATGCCTTGGTCTGCGCCAATCTTGCCTTACTTTTCAGTGGCCAACGAAGTGACCACCACCAAAAGATTGATGTTAGTAAGCTGGTTGCAACTTCTGTTGCAAATAAGTATCGAACCGAGCTAGCCTCTAGGCTAACTACCACTCCACCGAAAAGTATAGATGATCATTGGTTGCAATTGCATGACGCCATGAAAATGGCGGGAACAGTCAGTTGTGGGTTTGCGAAACATCCCGCTTTTAAGCACTGGGTTTCTTCTGGTTCCTTACAACTCATTGAAGCCCGTCGGTCTACTTCGGGTGACCGTGAGTTTGACCATAAACGAAGGATGTTATGTAAGGAAATCGGGCAAAGCTTGCGTAAGGACCGAGAAGCCTGGTGGTCGAAGCGTGCTAATGAGCTGGAAGCAGCAGCTGCATCTGGTAACTACCGGAAGCTCTTCCAGCTCATCCGAGCCACTGGCAGCAAGAAGTCTGGTGTGAGTGAAACAATCTGCGAGGATGATGGGATACCAATCACTAACATCCATCGACGTCTTGGACGGTGGGCAGAATTTTTCGAAGGGCAGTTCAACTGGCCTGCTGCTCCGGCAACATCAGTCAGACTGTCCTGCCCTCCATGGCCGGTGACGACTGATCCACCAAACGAGGAGGAAGTCCTCAAGGAACTCCAACTCCTGAAGCGTTACAAATCACCTTGCCCAGATGACTTACCTCCGGCTCTTTTTAAAGATGGTGGTGACTTTTTGACTAAGGAATTGACGACGTTGTTTACAAAGGTTTGGGAACTAGAGAGTGTACCAACGTCATGGAATGAGTCGATAGTTGTCCCTATCTTTAAAAAGGGTTCACGTCGTTCTTGTAACAACTATCGGGGGATAAGTCTACTTCCGATTGCGTCCAAGCTATTGGCTTCCGTCATACTTTGTAGGTTGTTCAAAACCCAAGAAAGATTGACTCGCGACGAGCAGGCTGGTTTTCGTTCTGGTCGAGGATGTATTGATCATATCTTCACCCTCCGCCAAATGTTAGAACACCGCCATACTTATCGCAGGCCAACAATCGTAGTGTTTCTTGACACAAGGGCTGCCTTCGAATCAATGGACAGGACTGTTATCTGGGATTGTCTATTGAAGAAGGGTGTGTCTGAAAAGTTTATTAACATCCTAAAAGCCTTATATACAAACACCTCAGGCAGAGTGAGGGCATACAACCACCTCTCTCCATTGTTCTATTCGAGCAGTGGGGTTAGGCAGGGTTGCCCAATCTCACCATTCCTCTTCAACTTTGCCATCGATGACATTCTGGAAACAGCTCTGATGAATGTAAGTAATGGTGGTGTGGATCTGTTGCCTGGAGAAAGACTTCTCGACCTTGAGTATGCGGATGATATTGTCTTGCTATGCGATAATGCCCAAGGCATGCAATCCGCACTTAATCAGTTGGCAATCAGTGTACGTAGGTATGGTATGTGCTTTGCACCTTCGAAGTGCAAAGTACTCCTACAAGACTGGCAGGATTCCAATCCTGTACTCACTCTGGATGGTGAGCAGATAGACGTAGTCGAGAAGTTCGTGTATCTGGGTAGCTGTATAAGTGCTGGTGGAGATGTGAGTGATGAGATCAATGGACGTATAGTGAAAGCCAGAGCGGCTTATGCCAATCTGGGCCATCTATGGCGCCTTTGTGATGTTAGTCTGGCCGTAAAAGGTCGGATCTACAACGCGTCGGTGAGAGCAGTTTTGCTCTATGATTGTGAAACCTGGCCTCTCCGAGTTGAGGACGTTAGACGACTCTCTGTGTTCGATCATCGCTGTCTCCGAAGGATTGCTGACATTCAGTGGCAACACCATGTCAGTAATGCAGAGGTTCGGCATCGTGTGTTCGGGCACAGAGATGATAATTCAATTGGTGTCACCATCTTGAAACACCGACTTCGGTGGCTTGGATATATTTTACGAATGTTGTCCCAGAGAATTCCACGTCGTGCATTATTTGCCGACTCTGGGACTGGTTGGAAGAAGCGGAGAGGTGGTCAGTGCATGACATGGTGTCGTGGCATGAAAGAAAGCTGCAAAGGACTGGCTTTTGTTGGTCCTTCACGACTCCCTGGTTGGGGTCTGAGAGATGGTGCTACACAGTGGCTAGAGACGTTATCAGATATGGCTCAGAATAGAAGCTAGTGGCGATCCTGCTGTAACCTTCTTTTACTTTCTTCGTAAAAAGTGGTTCTGTCTCCCTTACCTGAAAGATTTATTCCGATTGTACCTTTGCGTTCCCTGATTACTAGCACATTACCTTACACCAATCTCTTCGTTATTGTTCTCTCTTTTTTTTGTTGCGCTCTTTAGCTTTTTTTTCTTTCTTTGTATTCCTCTCGAATTTTCATTGTTTTGTGTGGCGCATATATATTGGCGCTCTCTTGTACCAATATTCATGTGTCCAAATAATAATAATAATAATAATAATAATAATAATAATAATAATAATAATAATAGTTTGGTGATTTGACTGGTATCCGACGTTATTCGAATGGAATATAAAAATATATATATTTACATTTTTCCCGTATTCTCAGTGATAAAACAAACGTAATATTTTATGAGTAAAGTTATCATATTGTCCTCTATCACACCATGTTAACTGATGTTTTCATTAGTGGGATTTATGGGTAATGTATTTCACATGTTTAGATGAAACCAGATCTACTGTGAGTGATACATGGTCTACTGATGTACTTCCATCGGATACAGAATATACTGATCTTGGTCAAGAATTTTCAAATTCGCAATCCAGTTTAAATCCAGATGCAGCTACCAGACGTCTTTCTAGTCACAGTGTGGCACGCGTCTCTCATCGGCATGGTCATCGTCATCATCATAGAAGGGCACCTATGTCAGAGTCGTTGATCGCTGAATCTTCTGAGAATAATAACTTTCGATCAATAAATGTTCCTTTGGAGTCGGATAACAGGGAAATCCAGTCCAGAGTTCACTCCAGCTCCCCATTGAATGATGTAATAAATACAGAAGAAAACGAAAGTAATTTGCATGCCCTTAATGATTCTATCCAGCCTATAATTATGAGGAGTCTTCCGGCTACTTCTCAGTGTCAGGTAATTAATCTGTATCTGATATACTACTTTATTAGTCCTTATTTAATTTGATTCTAAATTATTTTCAGTTTTATATGACGAACTCTCATTTAGTATTATTTGTGGGCATGTAATGATAGTGCATAACCACTATTCAGTTAACTTAATTCATCTTTAAGGCAAATAACATGCAACCAATGAGCAGAATTTTCTTGGAAGAGAATGCAAACGCTTAATACAATACTGAATTAAATCTTTAAATACTATAACCAGTTTTATTGATCCCATCATTTAAAAACAGTCAGTATTCCACAATTTAAACAATACTGCTTTGAAATCATACATGGAAATTTTTTTTAATCATATAGGATAGTCTTAACGGATTATCACAACCTATCAATTCTAATCAGTCAAATCATTGTTCTGTATCATTGGATTCTACAGTAAACTCTAATCACCATACTTCATCTGTAATGTCCACTAAAATGGATAACTCATTTAACACTGGTGAAAAAGTCAATGGTGAGCTTAGATCATCTACAGATGATGAACGGCGTAATTTGAATACATATCGTCTCCATGGTGGTGCACATACTTTAAAAGAGAGTTTTTCACGTCTAATGGGAAAATTAGGTATGTGTAAAAATTTGTATTTATAATTTTGTGGAAAATGTATGTTTTTAAAACGGTAATGTCAATCGTCCATTATAGTGTTTTCCACTAAGACAATAGTCAGTCAGTCAGTAACAACGTAGAACTTCGTACGTACATCAGTTCGAATTGCCATACCACAATCGCACACAGATACATTGTCGATTAAAATCCCGTAGTGGTAGATGTAGTAAGAGTATAAGCAGTAATCGGAAAGATTAGGGTTTGAAGATGTTATTTAAATAGTATAATACAGTGAAATGAATTTGAGAGGAGAAAAAAAAGAGACAAGGAGGAATAAGGAGATCAAAATTTGGGAGAACACAAAGATTGGTTGCACCTGCGCCATTGCAAACGATTTTGAGCCATGTCATTCAGGGTCTCTAACCATCGGTTGCTATCATCTCGCGGTCCCCAACCAGGTAGTCTACAGCTACCAACATGGCTCAGTCCACTTGTCAGTGACTTCATGGACTTGGCCATGTTTTGGTCTGGCCACCCCTAGCTTTCCTCCAACCTACTCCTATACCACTGAACATCGCAGGTCGAGGCAGTCGGTCGTTGGGCGTACGTGACACGTGTCCCAGCCATCTCAACTGATGAAGTTTCAACACTTCATCAACTGATTTGCCATCCTTACCTAGTACCCGTTTCCTAACAACTGCATTACTTATTCGATGGTCCCAGGATATACGAGCAATGTTTCGAAGACACCTATGATCAAATACTAATAACCTACGAATATCTTCTACTCTTACCTGCCATGCTTCATTGCCATTAAGTAGGACGGAACGAACTGCTGCGCAGTAAACTCATCCTTTGGTTGATAGACGGATATCTCGCCTACTTCACAAATGACGCAAGTTGTCGAAAGCTAGTCGAGCCTTCTGTATCTGTGCTGAGATTTCGTCACACATCAGACCACAAGGGCTGATGAGACAATAGCATCAAATAAAAGCGATTAATAAACGGGTCGAATTTCATCCCGATATTATTTCCAAAAATCTGGTGGAGAGTAATTAAAATTACTAGACCTGGTAAGGGTATATCCGAGCTACTGTATCATTAGTTCGCAATAATGGCAAATCTCTTCTTTCAGCTTTATAATTGGCCGTTCAAGGTCATTGGGTGTGATTGTTATTCTGTCTTCATCGGTTTAGATATGTTGGTACTACTTTATTGGTTCAGAAACGACTACATTTCGTTAATCATATTTGAGTTGTCACTAGTGCTTTAGGAAGTTGTTACAATGAGTTTAAGATTGGTTATTTGGGTATTTGATTACTTTTAATACATAAAGTACTTATACGTACTAATTGCTTAGAAGACATCAGACTCTAAAACTCTTTATTAGTGATACAAATAATCTTATCACCTTTTGCTTTCATCCGGGATTTAATTGTTAAGAATTGGGAAAGTATAGAGATAAGCTAGGGAGCCAATGTTTCAAGCGTTTTGTGTATCGAGCTTATTATTTAGTACAATCGACACATCAAATAATTTTTTAGATTTCTATTTAGCGTAATAATCACATCCATTCTAATTTACAGTTAGACAATAGGTATTTATTTACAGCTTATATTCAGATCCTTTAACTCCTAAGTTTGTCTTTAATTGAGCAAATATACGTGATAGCTTAGTGTATCATATGCATGACATGTTAGACAGTTTGTGAAGTCTTAATCGAATATCCTTTTTCTTTAAAATGGAGTTTGTTCTTTTATTCCCAGATCTTATGGCTCGACGCCCACGGATATCAGGTAATTCAAGTATTGACAAACATCGCCATACATCAACTTCTCAATACAGCGAATCCCAGTCTAATCTTGTATGTTAACTATGATAATAAAATGTGCTACTACTAATATTTTGTAGTTGTTTATGTATATATGTTTTCGATGATAATTCAATAATCATCTGTTTATTTCAATCCTTGTCCCTATTTTCCCATTGATAGCATACGTTAAGGTATATATATATACGCTCGCTTCTATGTAGGTTACTGTTGTTTCATTCATAACTTACAAGATTTTAGGAATAATAATGTCAAACATCCTTCAGTAACCAACTTTTTTAATGTCCATTTTTAATAGTCAATTATCTGCGCACTGTATATCATATAGAAATGTCATCCGCCAAATGAAGCTAGAAACTGTTCGCATACTTAATTGCGTAATAAGTGCTTATTGTAATAGTTCATTAATTATGATTAGTGAAATGTTTTCATTCTCTATGCATTACGAATGTTTTATCCCCTTGAAATTATTTGTTATTGCTTTAGTTTATTTCAACATTATTATTATTATTATTATTATTATTATTATTATTATTATTATTATTATTATTATTATTATTATTATTATTATTATGTAAAGACTATATTGCTGAACTTCACCGATTATATAACCACTAGGAAACGTTTTATACATAAATAGTTATGATCTACTTTGATTCTCTACAACGGTTAATTTGGGTGCGCAATGTCCAAAAGATTATACCGATGCACACTCGCCCTATGCATAAGCCCAGTTACTCGAGTCCAGAAACGAAGAATAAGAAAGTTTTATTATTGAGTTAAACCAATTTACATGTAAATATTCTCATCTACATAAACATGTGTCTATCCTTAGGAAATTAAGCTTATCAGTGATTAATGTCTTATTCCATGAAAAATAAAACCATTCTGTAGCCAATCACATGCCCTTTTCTTTTGCCGATTTCTGATTGGGGCAACGTATTAACGTCCCCCTACTCATTTCTCTATTTCCGATTAGCCCACTGTATCAGTTATCAAATGAAAACATGAGATACAAGTTATAAAGCTAACGACTATTGGTGTATAGGATAGTAGTAAGTACGGTTTTCAACATATTCGTAATTGATGATTGGAAAGATCAGATAACAGCTCAAGGTCTATAATAATGGTATAGTTGCATTCATTCTTTATATTCCTAAATCTTCAGTTTAATAGTATGTTACTTATCTTTCATTGAATTACTAGTCATCTTACGAAATACTGGTAGCTTGATAATCAAAATCATAATACAATAAATTTTCTATCAGAGAATGAAACTTACAGACTTGTTGTTCTTACTACTTAAACTAAGTTGATGTTCAAATCGATGATCCACTGATCAAAAGATTATCGAACCAAATGACTTATTCTTTCCAGTTGTTGTTGTGGTTCCTCTCTTATTAATCAGGTTATGGTTTAAGTTTCAATAGATTGACCTAATTATTTCAAACAAGTTATAAGCTGAAATACATTGTTTTGTTCAAAATAGCCTGGTTTTTTTAATTTTATTGTGAACTTCTGTATGTAGTAGTTTCTGCTATCGTAAATAAAGTTAATATCAACTAATCTTTCTTTGAAAATTGTTAGTAATGTATAATACCTAATCATAAATATTATCAACGGGATTCAGTCATATTTAAAGCAGTTCGGATAGGTAGGTGAGTAAAGTACAAAAAACTTTTAGTTATTTCATTCTCTGTAAGTCTTAGTCGGTATTGAATAATTAGCGCAAGATCTGGCATACATATGCCTTAACCTAGATTCCTACATCACGTCAACATAGCGAGATAAAACTAATAAGATGGATATCAAATTAAGGCCTATAATTATGAAAAGACTAGATTCAAAAAACGAATGAACTAAGAGATTAAAAGTAAATCTAGGGTCAAGGTAAAGTATGAATAACTCCGCTTTACTGTGTCTTCATTCACTTCTTTTGGTTTTTACACTCTGTATTTCCCCTCACATTATGAGATTAAAATCGCTTCATATCCTTCTACGAACTAATTCTTTCTTTCTCTACTATATCCTTACATAAAATCTTTCCTTTATATATTACACCATTGAGTTAACTGCTTCTATGAATCCGGTGTTCGTCTTGCTGTGATAATGAAGTATGGGAACTTGGACCGCTGCATATGTGTGCCTGGTCCTACGTTGTAACTGACTGACTGATATAGATTTCAGTCAGGATATATGCATCATCTAGTTCATTTTAACAACCAGCAACTATACGAACTAGTGAAATGTCTTTATTTTATTGTTTTAAGCTCATTTCCAGTTTATTTCTTCATCATTAGCGTTACATGTCAAGATAAGCAATAGCTGGATATACATCGATAAGGTTTTATGACATAATTATCAATTACCTATCTTTACCTAGTATGTTATATAATACTAGGATTTCCTCCCTGGAATCTATCAATTGTATTATCTATTTTGTTGGGAAGTTCAAAAATACTTTTTCTGTTAAAAGAAGAAAAAACTGTTCATGTAAGATTAGAATTTCATGATTGTCTTATTGTTATATTTTACACTGATTATAATTAATGATTATTCAATAGTTATAGTAAATTGAATAAAAATAACGTAGAAATTAAATTATACTGTAGTGAAGGAGAACACAGTTGAGGACAACTGAATTATATTTGGCACAAAATTACAGTTACCATACTATAATACTTAATTTGCAAAATGTTCAGTAATTGTCTCGAACTTCATTATTCTTGCATTCCGATACTAATTGCTTTCTATTCCCGCTCTTCCTTTCTTGATCTTCCCCGTCTTCTGCTGCCAGACATTACATTTCTAACTCGCGTCATATACTACTTATATCAGTATAAGTAGCACGCACCACAGTACTTCTTATCATGTTAATTAGATAAAACTTTGTTTTTAATCAAAAATAAATTGTCTATGTCAAATATGTATCATCATGCATTTTTCTAAATGAGAAAAGAAAAATTGTAGAGAATTATGTTAATTAAACATGTTGTATATAACATGTTTGTTTGTGATCTTTCTATTCTTTTATATGTCATATATTTGCATGAGTTTGATCAACATTTATTCATATTAGATTTTCTCAATAAATAACACTAAGTTGCACTATAAAAATCTATTAGTCAAATGAAAGTGTGTATAGTTTATCAATATATATATATATATATATATATATATATATATATATATATATATATCAGGATAGTCAGTAGTTAATGATTTTTATTTTAGCTTTTCTTTACTTGGTTTGGTTGACAAATATAAACAGTTAGTGTTCTTGTTGCATTTGAAATGATACAATAAAAGATTGAGTTTCTTGTTTCAATATCTGTTGTAACGCGGAAGTATATTTTTGTGTTCCCGGTTATAATACAATTATAGGATAGTACTACAACGGCATACACTACACATTTATAAATTGGATCACATTATACTTAAATGTAAAGTTCACAACCAACAACTCAGTGTCAGATAATAGGCCAAACAATAGTTTACTGAAGATATATACCAGAAGTGCACATACAGAGTAGAGTCCACAATAAAATCATGATTATATTACAGATTGTAGGATCTCTCTTCGTCTTTGTTCACTATCACGTGACACGTCAAAATCTGAAATTTAAGAGTATTTATATTTTAAACATTGGATTGCAGATTATATCTCTACTTCGTGTAGTATCAGTAACTGTTATGTACGCAGATCATGTATATGTTCTAAGATCTCAGATTATCTAGTTTCTTTTTAATGATTGACAGTTCTTTCCTGTGATGATAACTTCAATAACACTTTCCCAATTAATATTTTTTGGTGACTTTTGCCGTTATCTAATTGGCTATCCTCATTTTTTTATCAATGTCGTTGTGTCCCAATATCATTATTGGTTCCTATATATACAGAGTTGCTCCACTGCAATTTCCTCTTCGATATCCAGCTTCTCCTGAATTCCTGTTTTCCATTGGGTTGGGGATTATTCTTAAATTATTGTATGCCAGTTGTCTAATCTATTAAGTTTGAGTAGATCCAGTTTCACATTAGAAAAATATCCAAATCGTTCGTAGTTAGGAATTACTGCAGGCCAATTAGACATCTTAACAGGATGTAAGTCGAATACTTGATCCCTAACTTCACCTCTAATCGTAATCTTGACTACAATTCCGAGGTAGTGTCTATTCTAAAACTACTTCATAAGAACCGTAGTTTGCAATAACGGTAGCATAGAATCAAAGCGTCCGTTTAATATTCCAACCAAATGATATGAATTTTGTTGACTGTATATTGTTGAAATACTTTTGCCATCTAGATGAAGTTGATCTTGTACGTCAGATAGGTAATTGTATGACCTGATAAAATTCTCAAGAACAACACCCCCAACTAAACTAGCTAGCTAATAAAATAATGTCTCTCTGAGTTATTCAGATTTATATTCTATTGCATATAATATGTCTTATTACTAATTGTATTTACATTTTGTGTTTCTATATCTCCTTAATTTAGTATTCATTTCTTCCGGATTTAATGGAGTCAGTTTCTGTGAAATCAAGAACTTATTCATCACGTGATAATCAACAACCTTTAAGTGCATCATCTTCCTTTTTGCCAAATTCTAATCAGTCGACGCAGCTAGCTGTTAAATCACAAAATTCAAGTCAATTTGAAGATGACAGTATGAGAAAAGGTAATTGTTGAGAATCCTGTGACTGTGTCCCATTTATTTCATTGTTGTTTTCCATTGCAAACTAATTCATAGAATTCAGTCAATGTTATGGATTACACAAACATAACGTTGACCAATACTCAGTTACGGGTCAATGTAAATATCCCAGTCCTAGAGGAGGTCAGTCATAGCCTGGGTAGCTCAGTAGTAACATCTCATTCTAGGTGACCTGAGCTTGAATCCAGCACTAGTATCCTTCAAATTCCATCTACACCTTGGTGATAAGTGATAATTAATACGACTACTTTCAAACACCTGATAGTTTTATTTTCGTGAAATTGTCAATTCTGTTTTCGAAATTATCAAATTGTGGTGATTATGTAAGCAAGCTAACAAATTATTATTAACTATAACACTAACTAACTGCTAACTATTTAAATTTGGGAAAGAAAGCAGTCTGAATTATACCGAATGCTATCTCCAATGATACGTATGAGAATAGCGATTGTTGTTAAAAAAGATACATTCATGTTTATCAAAAGCGCGGATATGATTTACAGTAATGTCTAAAGTGAATAAATACTTAGTTATTACTTTATAACTCAATAGTAAAACTTCTTTTTTTAAAGAAAGGTTTGATTCACCTAATATCAACGATCAGTTACCTTTCAATTTGTTCGGACTTATAGACAATTAGTTGATTTCAGCTCCCTCCGTTGGAGGTTTATTCTTTCTTTATTTATTTAAACACATAAACATTGGTACAAGGAGGCACCAAATAGATATGCGCCACATAAATCATTTGATTTATGTGAGAGCTGTAATACTTCCCGGGTGCCCAAATCGGAACAGGCGGTTTTCTCAGAGGACCAAACCCAGAGCCTTCGACTTAAAGGTCTAATCCACAAGGCAGTGGAGCTACTAAGTCGACGACCAACAATTGGTTCATACACCATTTATTCCCTCAGGATCCCGGAGCCCACGTACACCATTGGTTTGGAATCAGGAGTTCCCAACTCCCCTAAATGCATCCTCCGTATCGCAAGATTTAAATTACAACTAATTCTTAATAAGCCAAATGTTTCTAATATTGAAGCACTAACTACTCTTATTCAGTGTTTTGTTTCAATGTGCATGTGAAAAATAGTTGGTTTTCGTGTTTTTTAAACCTTTCAATTGTTTAGAAGAAACTGTCGATGAAATGATGGAACGTTATCGTAGACAAACAAAAGTTGTTTCACCAGACAAATCAATTTTTAATCATATTTCTAATTCTCAGTATTCTCATCATGGCAAACAAATTCCGAGTACTTCAAATTCCAACAAAATAGTCAACAACAATACTGTTGTTAGTGTTGAAAATATAAATAGTTCGGACAAAAATTTCTCTTCTATCGCTTCATTGCAATCATCATCTTCGTCTGCTTCGTCATCATCATCATATTCATTATCTCCTGTTTGTTCACAATCACGTAAATCAATTCCTCATTTATTCAATTTAGCCTTAAATGGTCTACAAGAGATATTCTCTAACTCAACATTAAATACTATCGCTTTTAATACTATACAAAAACTTAAGTCAACATGGCAAATGACATGTGATAATCAATCGTTGCTTCAACAATCACAAGATATAACTGGTGTATTTAATGAGAACCAAATATTTTTCTCCTTGTTAAATTCAATGCTAGCTGGATTATATGGTACACAGGTTAGTTTCAATTCAGCCAACTTTTCTTAGCTGTTTTTTATGTTTGTTTCTCTACTTCCCATGGTTTACATCACAAACTGACCCCAGTTAAAAACAATCCACCAGACAGCTGTTTTGTTCTTGTATGGGACTCTACATCGGTGCGCATCCACATCCCCACAAGGGATCGAACCCAGTATTATCGGGTTCCACGGAGAGCGCTTAACTTTTAGATCACTGAGTCAATATCCGATGCTGCATATTTCTAGCTTCTCTGAAATACATTTGTTTAAATTTTCGTCGGAAAATTCCGGTCTCTAAATTGTGCTTTCTGTAGTATATAGTTGACTTGTCTTTTGGTAATTTGTGCTAAGAAGAGCTCATCTTATACTTTTAATCATTTGTATTTCAATTCGATATAGACCGCCCGTGTGTTCAGTACTTTAGTAGATAAAGCAACTGTTTTTCTACCAGTAAGTCATGGATTCGAACCTCTGCTTCACATATATCGTTATAAAAAATTAAGTAGCCCTTACAAAGAGTAGAGAAAAGATTAGTATATAGATCTGCACTTTTTAAATGAGTTACACTGTTATTTATGGTATTAATCGAATTCAAAAGTACCTTTGTACTTTTCGAAAAATAGGAAGACGTTTTATGTTGAAGAAATGATACAACTTAGTTGTTGATGTTCTCTAAATACTGGATACGCTCTGCTTAACCATAATCTTCTCCCAATCTGTATGGTTTCATCAATACTTTGTGTTTGAATTGAAATGGTCAAGGAATAATTCTTATGCAAGAAAGAACCTGCGATTATTGTAAGCTAAACAAAGTTACGTGAAAACACTTCCATTGGGCTTAACCACCCGGCAAAAATTGAAGGTAAAGACTAATCTGTAAGGACGTTTTCATATCTCAAGAAATGGTTCAAGTAACAAATGGATAAACACTTTTATGTTAATGTTAATGTATCCTTAAAATACAGATAATATGACTTAGTAGGAGTTAATGAACAGAAGCAACCAATAACAGTTTGAAAACAGATGATAATAATGATATTTATATCACAGTGTAATTTGGCGAAGAATTAACAAATTAGTCAAGTACAATTTTTTTGTTTCAAAAGAAATATGTATTTGCCGATTATTGATTGTATTTTTATCATAGTTCTCTCCTTAAGATTTTAGTACGCAAAATGCGGTTTTGTGTTTGAGCTACACCGCCGAGTCAATTTTTCTAATGTTTTACTGTTGGAAAATGCATTATTTCCAGAAAATTCTACCCGAAACAACTAATGAGAATACTTTTTAAATAATATCTACTCCCTTTCTCATCTATTCTCGTTAGTTAAATCAAAGAAATAAGCCTTTAATTTTTTTTTGTTATGTCATTAATTTTGACAGTTAAGTCGATAGTTATTAGAAGGATAGTACAAGTTCAATTGAATAGTATTTCGTTGGATTCATTATGCTACTGTTATAACTCTCTCTTTTCTTACGGTTATGACCCAGCTATTCCTATTGCTTAGTATTCTTGGACACCGTTTCACTCGACAAGACCCCAAATCAGAACACGGTTGAACAGGGAAGAGATTATATTCCAAATAACAAGGTTAGATGGAAGCAAGATGCAAGCCAGAAGCACAATAGGGAAAAACGTCAGTATATTTATAGTTTTTACATAAGAAGATTCCAGAATATTCTCCAACTATCGACTAGTGCTGATTGGTTAAGAATTAGCCAATCAGCGTACACCAAAGCAATCATGCCTTGAGCATGCTTTAATCTAGTCTATGTCCCGCTAACAGCTACAGTAATATTTTGATTAATTTGTAGATAGAATTAGGCTTCATAACTGTCACAGACTCTATACTTCTTAAGAAATATGATTGATTCTCATTCGTTTGTGTTTTACTCTGGATTTTTTTTCCTTCTACTTTTTTTTCTTAGCAAAATTCAACAATAATTAACATTCTAATTGAAACAAGAAATATTTTATTAGAATTAAACAATCTATTAGGAAGTTGTTCAAATTCTGATTATTCAACAATGAATGATAAATCTACAAATAATAATAATGATAATAATAATACAGAAACTAATTTCAATCAAAATTATTGGCTATTCAACTTGAATGATAAAACATTATCATGTTCATTAACTAAATGTTTAATCTCTAGTCTTCGTCAATATCTTAGACAACATCAAATTTATAGAATTCAATTGAAGAAAAATTATGAACAATTAAATAAACTTAAAACAAATTTAGAATTAACTGTAAATTGGTATGTAAAAAGTTTGTCTTTTTTTGTTTTTCTATGTATTTTCATAATATTCTTTTTGGAAGTTTTCTTTGGTGATCAAAGATAAGTGAAATTCTCACTGTTATAATATTCATTTAAGTGATTGAGATCAATGACCTGAATTTTTATTGGTTTCATCTGATACCTATGAATTCTGGTACAACTATCTTGCTTTGGTTTGAGCACCCGGGCAGTATCCCAGTCTTCACATAAATCGAATGATTTATGTGACGTATATCTATTTGGTACTGTTTATTTATTTTAACACATAGACATTGGTACAAGGAGGCACCAAGTACATATGCGCCACACATATCTAATTTAATATTTTTGAGTGCTGTGATACTGCTCGGGTGCCCAAACCGAATCAGGTGGTTTTCTTAGGGGGCCACACCCAGAGCCTTCGACCTGAAGCTCTGATCCACAAGGCAGTGGAGCATCGTCAGGAGATGCAGTCACATCGTAACCGGTGACCAACAGTTGGTTCATACACCATTTCTTCCCTTAGGACCCTGGAGCCAATGTGCACCATTGGTTTGTAATCGGAGTTTTCCAACTCCCTAGGTGAACTCTCCATGTCCACCAACCCGGTTAGACCGCCAGACATACGCTCTTCGTCATCTGAATTTCGTAAACAACACCCCCACCACGAGAAGGCAATGAGTAGGACTTCCCTGGCAGAGGCTATATACGAGTGGCCATGTGAGAACATTTCGAGATGGGGAGCGGACTCTCCCCACTCTCGGCCATACCAGGGCATTTGGGGGCCATTGGTACTATAATTATTTCGACTTTGGAATTTATTACATCAATTTCATATCTTCGTTACAATATAGTATAGTGAATCGGGGTAGCACAAGTTCATGCCAGGCTGACCGATCTGTATATTTTTCTTTTTGTATTTTTTTTTATTCCAAGGTTGCAACAATCTATACACCTTCAACAAGAATATATTACAAATAGAAATTTGTTGGAATTTATTAATCAACATAGAAACTTATTCATAGAATTTCATCAAGAATTCACTAGTGACGAATTGTCCTGTGATCCAAAATTACGTGTTGAAATTGTACAAAAACTTGTTACACAATTAATTAATAAAATGAAAACTAAATGGCGTGAATCTTATCTGAATGATTGTTTCACTTCAACGCATTTATCACCATTATTACATAGATCTGATGTACCTCAGTCATCAATGAATATTTTGGGGGATAGTTCAATTACAAATGATAATAATGTAGAAAGTGTAATTATACAGTTAGAAAGACTTGTTATGGATGAAATTTATCCGTTTGTAATATGGATTAATAATCCCAGCGTAGAGAAGGAACGTGATGAGTATGTTTCCGCAGTTTAGTGTATTGTGCTTTATTTATCTTCTGTTAAATGAAATAATATTGTTAGCGATTGACTGTTCGCTAAACATAATAGAGAACTATTGGATAGTTATATATAAGACGTTTTAGCAAAGTAGTGGTAGCTTAGCAGTTAGAGCAGTTAATTTCCATCCGTTGTCCTTCATGTTTGGACGCTACGTAACTTAAATGAGTACAAATAATTACATAATTTCTTTGTCAAATCTCAAGGGAGTTCTGTACCGACTAAGTGAACCCATACTACTTAGTTTACCATGGTTCATTCAAATTTGACTCTTTTGCTAGGGTTGTTCAAATGAAAAAATTTAGCTTATGTTACTAATTTAACATATTAATAATACTCGAATTCCATTTATTGGCATACGTACTCGTTTATCAACCAGTGTTTGTATGAAAAGTACTAATACACTACATAGTTATCTAAATCAGATTAGATCAAATGGGATGCTCAACTTGAAGTCTGTCAGTTAAAATTATTCATTAAGTTACCGCTCCATACACTTACATTACCAGAAAGACTTAGGACGCTAGTATATTTGAATCGAAATACTGATGGAATCGAATAAAAATAAAAGCTTTTAATCGTATAAAAGTTCAATTTCTCATTGCTTGAATCATGGATAGCTAACCGTTTGACATTTTCAAGAATGTAATACTGTTACAGACGAGGTAATTTGCAATCTACTTAAATTCAATAAATATTTTTTTTATTTATCTATTAGTGTAGAGAATGTCAGTGACAATTTATTTCTGATCACCATTATTCTGTAGTGTCAGTTACTATGTTAAACCCATATAACTTATTCTAGCTTCTGGACAGGCCAATTCATTCATTCTTGAGTTACCTTTTGACCTTGTTAATTATTCACTTATCAACCTTGACTTTTTACTTGAGCGTATACGTGTATACATCTTGTTCTACTCATCACATATCTGTAGCTTATTTTTGTTTGACTATAAATATCGATTCACACTTGGCTAAATTGAATCGGCTCACTCGCCTTCTTCATTACGCGTCATTTAGTCTCGCTTCTCTGTTTCCTCTCCTTCGATGGGATTTTCTGTTTGGATCAACAATTGTATGACTTATATTTGATTCCGTTATTCACCAACGCGAGTGAAGTCGATGATTATATACGAAAATAAGCGACATGTATATCTCGATAGCAATCATTCAATAATGATTATTTGTCCGATCAAACTAGAGTCAGATCGTGGGTCACTAAAATTTCCTAGAACTATTTAAAGTTATTGAGAAAACATAAGAAAATTTCACTATTCTAATTCTGTTTCATATTAATTATTAAGGGAACTCTCTTAATAATAATAATCAAGTTATTTTAACATTCAATATTTTTGTTTTAGTATAATTATATGAATATTTATATGTAAATTATTTCTTTCTTGTTAAAATAGATTGTTTCATCGAGAGTTAACATTTTTACAAAATACAGTAACACCAACAGAATTACGAATATCAAATGCATATCATATTGTATTACCATTAAAATCTGTACAAAATGAACTACTATTGTTAGATTGTTATCATGTATGTATTTGTTTGAGTATATTGTTTTATGTATAGATTTTGTTGATTGTATTTAACTAGTTTTAGTTTATCTTAATATTATAATTTCTTTTTTCGGCAACTAATCAATTCAGTTGTTACAATAAAAAAAGAACCGTTTTACTGGTAGTACTCATAATAGATACTAAATCAGATATCGGTTTGAATATCAAATTGTTTAATGTCATACACATAGTTCCATTTTGTCATTTTGAAAAGAGCAAGTACAAAGATTCAAGTGATATACAGAAAGCTTTTAGTCAATTATGAGCAATATGGAATGTAACCCAAATATATATTGCCTTAAATTGCTAAATCGATCAGAAAAAAACATTTAGTTCGAAAGACAGAAATGGAAAGTATGAACTTAGGATCTAAATGTAGACAAAGAATAAATGGATCTGAAGTACTATGATAGATTTTTAGGGATATCGTTCAAAATATCTGGCTACTGGTCACAATTATCATGAGGACACTAACTAGAGGATCTACACCTCGCTACATTGCTTATTTCAACAGAAAACGACTACAAGAACTGATGCTTCTCTTGTTTTTGGATGACCTCAGCTTTTTAAACCTACTGTCACCCTGGCCAGGAATTCACATCAAGGTGGGTTTTGGCTTGTCATACTTCACGCATCGCGAAGGATAATTATTCTCAACATAATTGTACGCCTAGCGTTGGCAATGCTCATTCGGATGTTTAATTATGTGCGAGCAATGCTTCGAAGACACCTATCGATAGGCAATTTTAGACTACAAATGTCTCCTACTTTCATAGCCACTAAATAATACAGAGGAAACTACCATTCATCAAACTTTCCTCCACCTCCACCACGTCTAAAAAAATAGCAGAAACCAAGTGATAATTCGTCTGTTGCTAAACTAGTTGGTTAGATGAAACTCCTAATATAATTGAAGCGATGAACGCGCTCGACTCATTCACTCTATTCGAAGTCTAAGAGTTGTTGCACACTGACCTTGAATTTCGAGGGATCTTGCTCTCATGTAGAGATTTGCGACTTTTCGAGAAAACGATGCTCAAATCCATATACTTAGTCAGTGGTTCTGCCTTTAAGTCTATTCAATTTATATTTACGAATTGATACTGTAAACAGAATTGTCAGTTTAACTAATACAAGTACTTAAATATACTATTAAATAAGCTAAGCCATTCAATAAGACCGATGAACTAAAAGCTTAAGAACTGGAAATTTAACTTCCTCTCTGTTCGATTCCTTTTTTATAATTCTTTTCTCTACAAATATTAATGATGAATGGTTTTTTTTAATTCTATTTTCTATCTTAAATAGACATCATCTGATAAACTTCGTTGTTTAAAACGTGTAATAAATCATGTTTTAGCTGCTTTGCAACTAGCCAATCCCACATCAATACCGTGTGCAGATGATCTTCTACCAGTGCTCATTTATTTAGTTATACATGTAAGTATATTTATCAAATATATTTAACCTATCATTCTCATGCAATAAATACCGTATACTATTTGAAGGTACTTTTAAGCACATTGCAGTATAAACAATATTATTAAGTAACATTGAACAAAAGATATAATCTTATCATATGACTCTGATTGTTAATCACAAACATTACTAATATGATTGACATACAGAAGTGTTGTTTATTCTTCATTATCATTAGTTTTTCTGAGTAGGGTATACTTTTGTTACATTAGATAATCAAACTGAGTATGAATGCTCTATGTTTTCGTGTACTGTGAGGAATAACATTTAATGAGATTTGTCTAATATGGCTAGTAGCGTGAATGAAATCGAACTACTTTCTTCAGTATTAGTTATTTAATTTATCGAATGAATGTTATTTAACCTAAGTTTTCTTTTTAAAGAATTTTATGTGTATAACAGACAACGAATAATTTAAGTAGAGCAATCATATAATAAGTAACTGGGTATCAGATGTTAGTAAATATGGATTACTTGAAAGTCCTAGGTTCGATTCCCGATCAAGTCTTGATTGTGCATTGTTGTAGAGCCTCATATTAGAACAGAACAGCTGTTCAATGCCACGTCGTGCATTATTTGCCGACTCTGGGACTGGTCGGAAGAAGCGAAGGGGCGGTCAGTGCATGACATGGTGTCGTGGCATGAAAGGAAGCTGGACTTGCTTGTATTGGTCCTTCACGACTCCCTGGTTGGGGTCTGAGAGATGGTGCGACACAGTGGCTAGAGACGTTATCAGATATGGCTCAGAGTAGAAGCCAGTGGCGATCCTGCTGTAACTTTCTTTTATTTTGTTCATAAAAAGTGGTTGTGTCTCCCTTAACTGAAAGATTTCTACTGATTGTACCTTTCCGTTCCCTCATTATTACTACACTACCTTACACCAATCTCTTCGTTATTGTTCTCTTTTTTTACGCTCCTTACCTTTTTTTCTCTTCGAATTCTAATTGTTTTGTGTGGCGCATATATATTGGCGCTCTCTTGTACCAATATTTATGTGTTCAAATAAATAATAATAATAAATCAATGCCTCTCAGTCCCCCATGATTATCCAACTAAGATTAGTTCTTGTTGAAAACCACAAAACATATATATTAGCTTTATTTAAGTAGTACATAGTTTTAAAATTCAAATAAATTTTTATTATAGCGCACGCTGCTTTGTTTTAAGACGGAAAGCAACTACAAAGGAGCAGTATTTTTTTCAATAAGCTGTTCATCATCATGCTTTACGAGTCTATCGATACGTCTTACCATAAATAAGAAAAGCAATACCAGTCAAGTGATATTCTGTTAACTAACAAGTGACACTACACATGCTACTTTTTAATATGGGCTCATTGATTTTTATTGACCGATTAGTAATACACAATTTATTCTCGCTTGTCAATTCTTTATTATATTTTTTTAGACAAATCCTCCTCGACTACTGAGCAATATCGAATTTATAAACAATTTTGCTGGTGATAACCTAAATGGTGAATTACAATATATCTGGTGTCAATTTTGTTCTGCCGTTGCTGAGATTCGACGTTTAATGTCTATCAGACCAATAAATAATAATTATGATGGTCATAATATCTAAAAGTTATAATTTCTTTTTTGTTTAAAGAGTCCCTTTTATTTCTTTCTTTCCACACACTCCTCATAATCAATTTGTAGTTAATCCTCATTGGTCACTTTCATATGATTCCATTGTAATAGTAGGAAGATAGTGTATTTTGTTTCTCATTGTACAGCGTCAAATTGTTTATGGTTTCGATTTCACTCACAGTTTTTCTTGTCAGGATAAATCATACCATCAATAGATAAATGATCGTGATGAGCATTGGAAACGTTTTGTTAGTTGGTGTTTTGTTTTTTTGTAGTCTTTCTACTGTGATTAATTTGAAGTGATGTGAGATATTTTACACATTAGTTTTTTCCACTGTAATCGCGTTACGATTATAATTTAGTAATATTACTTTGGCTGTTAAATTGTATTCTGATTAATCTTAATTTTTTTTATAAAGTTTGCAATTACATCATTTGAAAGTGTATCACTCTCGTTTATAAACAATAAACTACGTCTGTACAATTAAAAAATCATAATAGTACATGAATGCTATTTTTCATTGAAAGATTTTTTTCTTAATTTACATTGTTTTGATTGATAATTCAAGAAAATATCTCCGAAAAAACCCAGTGAATATAAAATAGTTAAGTATAAAAAATGAGATGTATCCTTGTGCACAGTTAACAAATAGAATAATTTATGGAAACAATAATCAATTAAAGTGATATTCTTGTATGAGAATAACAGACAAGTTGTAACGATATTTGTGAATAATGAAGGTTCACGAAAATTAAGCAAACATTTTGAAAAACTGCTTTAAGTTAGAAGGTAAATGGCAAAATATTATAATAATGAAGAAAAATTAAAATAAATGCTGGAACTATGATGACATGATTCACTTGAAGTCATGCCAACTAGATTCCTGAGGTAAGTTGTCCCAGCTTTGTAAATGGTTCATATCACCAACTAGCATTATATGTTGTATAATCCTTCTTATTGCATACATTTGTATGGTTGTATCGTAAAATTTGTCTGTTGTAGATGGTCATTGACCATGTTTACTATTACTTTTTAACTCGTACGAGTCATGGACGGTTGTAAATAAAAGAATGACGACATACGTTCAGTAGGTCATGAGAGTAAGACACAGCTTTTCCAAACTACCACTCTTCTGGATGTCAGCAGGAGGACTTCAGGAAAATTAAATTAAGATGTGACGTCGAACGTCTTGCTTTAGTGGACCACATTAATATCTCTAAACGGAAACTAATACGCCCAAAATCGACATCCGAAAAATTGACAAAATATGGGTCATAATTACACGCAAAGCACTTATTGCTACGATGGGCGATGTCCGGTATGGGAGTAGGCTGGAAGAAACTAGGAGCGACGAAACCTGTTATACTTCTTTCTTATTACAACCCAGCTATTCCTATTGCCTAGTATTCTTGGACACCAATTCACTCGACAAGTCCCCAAATCAGAAAACGGTTGAACGGGAAAGAAATATTCCAAATAACAAGGTTAGATAGAAGTAAGAAGTACTATAGGAAAGACGTTTTTACGTGAGATTCTAAAGTGCTCTTCAAGTATAGGCTAGCGCTGATTGGTTAAGAATTAGCCAATCAGCGTGCGCCAACGCAATCGTGCATGGAGCATGTTTCAATTCAATCTATATCCCGCTGACAAAACTGATGCATAGCATCAGCCAATGAAAATTGGACTGAGCTATTTCAATAGGTGTAGGCTACCTGGTTGGTGTCCGCACGATTACCTTGGCCAATCGTTAAGGTCTTTGAATGACATGACTCAAAATCATTTGCAACGGCGTAGATGCATCTACTTTTTACCATTCCTCAGATTCTAAGTTTCTGAATCAATAATTTTTTATTTCACCAATCTATATTTTACTCGAATCGTATCTTCGATGCTTAATCTTTGCTGTTACTACCTCTACTACTCTGGGATTTACCGTAACAATTTATCTCGCTGTGTTATTGGGGTATAACAATTTTAACCGATGTAAGTAAGTACCATGGTTCTACGTTGCGACTGAATTGGTGATGGTGATGACCAAATATATTAGATACTATAATAGAGTTGAACATTATAACCAAAAAAATTGTTTCATTTTCGTTTATCACAAAACTTTTGTTTATTGTACTCTATGACAATATTGAGTAAGAAAAGAAACAATGTATCAAGTAAACTCATGTTTTATAATCAAAGATGTTTATTCGCTATCATTTAGTAAGAGAAAAATAACATTGTTGGAGAGATTCTTGCATATATGATTAGAAAAAGAAAAAGGAATACTATTCTGTATCCAACTGTACAATAGCTTGAATAATATCTCGTAGTTCTTCAGCTATAGGCAATTGACTTGCATATTGTGGTAGATGTTGTATTACATAGTCAATAAGAAATGTCAATCTTGTCAGGTCTGTTGTAGATGAAGTGAATTGAGAGTCATGATCATTAATTTGTTGACTATCAGGCAAACTTGAAATCTAATGAATAAAAAACATTAATTATATTATGTATGAAAAAGTACTATAACATACCGGTGGTAATAGACCACGAAGCCATGCTTCAATTGTCAGTGGAATGAATACGCGTAAACGTAATCGTTGTTTTGTATTATTATATCCTGGACCATAACATCGATCAGCTACACGACGTCCCACAATGAATAATAATCGGACAGCCAAATTACTAGGGTCTTGAACTTTTGATAAAAACTACCATTAGTAATTAAAAAATAGTAGGGTTGAAAACAAGATAACATTGGCGAATAAAAGTAATGAACATTGAGTCATTTAAGAATTAAGATGGGAACTTACTAAATGTGAAGCAAGAAATAACGAATAAAAAAGTCTCCAAAAGTTTATTCATCCATTGACTTACGTGTGCCTATGTATACACCCCAAGTTATACTTTACAGGAAAATATAGCGGCTAATACATCCATATCCTACTTAGAATCAGATTGTTTGTGTATATACGTCATTAATTTTAGTGTCACTCCTATGAGCTTTACAAGATTACTGTAAACCATATGCACGTTGGGCGATTTCTGTAAATAAAATAACCTTGAGAGTAAACCATTGATGTTCTATTTTATTTTTTTGGGGGGGGGGAGGGTGGTAAAAAATTCTCTGGAAATCATATGAGAAAGTAGCATTGCGAACGTGTTGTTGTGGAAGATTCAGCAGTAACATATATCTGTATGAAGATTACGTTCTTTGTGTACAAGTGTCTACAGATATTAACCTGATGAAGATGTGACCTGTTACAGTTTTGTGTTAACTTGAGTGGACAAGGAAGATATAAAAAACTAATTGTGATTATATTATTACGTACGTACGAATTGTACAAATATAGACTTAAGCAGTTTGAATAAAGTGACAGTATATTCAATTATAACAATAACATAAATAATGGGCAAATTTGTACTAAGAAATAACAATTTTAATTCGAATCCAGCTTGATAACTCTATATTATATAATCAAATGTTAGTTATGAATTCTTTACGATTTTTATAACAGATTTATTACATAAGTAAGAAAAAGACTATAAAACTTACAAGCTCAGCTTGATCATCTAGATTAGCTTCAAATAAGGATACTATATGTTGTATAACTACAGTATCTTTTGGAAAACCCCAATGGTTAGCCAAAGTAAAGGCAGCAGAACTAAATCGATCATAAATATCTACAGCTCTAAAAGGGCAATCAGATTGATAATTAACTGAACAGATTATATTTTCGTCTGTAATGAATGATGGAGTTGCACAACGTTGTGAATTAGGTAACAATGAAAGACGTGCAACACTTTTTTCAATTAACCAATAGAGGAAAAAGCGTCGCCTTATTACTAAATCATCATCAATATTGTTTCCAACACCTGTGCTAACCCAGTTTGGATTATCAGGTGACAATACCATATGTAAATCCTTAAAAGAAAAGAAATAACAACATATCAGATGAAATCACATAAACATAAAAAAATCATTAGTAGGATGAAAACGAATCCCGGTTACTTTTGTAATATGCTAGCTAATATCTGATGTCAAAGCCCAGTGTATCAGGCTTCTATTGTGCAAATGAAAAGCTAGGACATTTCAATGCTTTATCAAACCAAATACCAAATCTATTCCTAAGTTATTTTGTAGGTGAACAAACCACAAATGACATAAAATGAAAACAGAATCAGTATGATCCATGAAAATTGATAGATAAGATTTCGGGTGAAAAAGATGTACGTTTTTGAGAAAAGGATAAGATTTTGTCAATAATCACTTCAGAAGTAAATAGAGCAACATAATCATCGGCAGTATAGTTTCTATTCAAGTTCTCTAAAAAATTCAAGCACCAGACGAAATATAAAATACGATATCCTAAATCTTATCATTATGCATAACCACGAACTCCATATACAATGGGTCATCTGAGATAAAGTTTGTGCAATAAAATTTTAAGAAGTGAACAGTTGAAATTTTATCGATCATATAATAATGTGCAATAAAACGAAAAATTAACTAACTCAGTCGAATACACATACTTGTGATGGGAAAAAGTCAATAGGTGAATAGAATTTCATATCGATTGTTTGTCGATTAGATTTGTCAAATTTCTCAGGTCTACCGAATGTGATGAAAGATGATGCAACAATAATAAGTTGTTCCCATGAAATTATTGAAAGCATATTAGGAACAGGTTGATTGACAGCATCTTGAACTAAACATTTTCTACATGAATCACCAGTTGAGACCTCAGTAAACATATTCTTTGCAGCATTGTCATCAAAAATTGGAGATTGAGCATCTAAATCCACAGACGATTTGTCCTCAAATGCTTTGTCATTGAATGGAAAAGGTTTATCATTATTACAAGTGTCGAAGTCACTCCATTCAGATTCTACTGAAAAGACTGGTACCACTTCAGCACGTTGGCAAGCCTACGATTATATAATATTAGAAGTGAAAATGGTTACAACCAAACTAAAGGCAATAAAGAAATGTCTTAAAAGCAGTTGAACAAGCCACAACGAAAATGCCACGAAGAGAAGAAACATAAAACCAATTAGTGTATAGAGTTATCTCATGAAAAGTAACGTTAGAAGATTGAGAATTCGTTCAGCTAGAATGAGGCTACACTTCCGATGCTCAAATGACTTGACCATCACTAGTTTAAAATTATACAGTTTTCAAACAATACGATATTCAAGCGACGTTATCGAATTTTGTAACCTGTGAGTTTTATTACCGTATTCATATTTCGTTAAAGTTTAAAAATTAACTCCTTTACAACTGGTCATTTTATATTTTCTAATTCTATTATATATTAATTATTTGTTTCCTGTTCAGCTTTCATTTACACTGAATATTTAGTGGCTAATTTCCATCGTTTATTTGTAATCGAAATTAACTTGAATAAGTATAGCACCTTTCTCCATATACACATGATCATGCATTTCAGAAACTGAGAACTGTCTTTCAGCATTATTCAACGAGTATATTAGTTCAAATGCAATCGATAGTATTATCCCTGCATAATAATAATAATAATAATAATAATAAACTGAAGTAGTGTATCAAACAAATAAACGTTTGAAATGCCTCCTCATAAAGAATAAATTATTCTGATTCACGTAACTTACATGAAATTAGATTACTAACGTTTATTAAATAAATGAATTGAATGTCAATCACTATTTCTTTAAAAAGACAGCTCTAAGTCATTGTACTAATTTTGAGCCTTCTACATTTTTCTTATCAGATACCTTTTTGTATACAAAGTTATACTACTGAATAATATGCAGTAAGTAGTTTCATTTCTAATTATTTTTAATATATGGCGAGTTATGGTTCATTGTTGTTGTTTAGCACTTCTAAATTGTTTACATCAACTTGTGGTTTAAATTTATTTGTGATTGTCGTAACGCGGATCTGAAACTTCTAACAGCTACTTCCGGCTCTAGTTTATTCATTGAGCATTTGTTCAATAAAGAGAAGAAATTTTTTTAATTAGTTACACATCAAGGCTCTCTCTCTCTCTCTCTCTCTCTCTCTCTCTATATATATATATATATATATATATATATATATATATATTACAGTTGTACACAAAATCAATATCAAATGGATAATAGTTGTTCATTTTGACAACGTTTTCTCTATAACCATTACTATTTAGAAGCTCAACGGATGTGAAATTAAATCTAAAGATAAGATTATGCAATCGGATATTGATAAGAATCAGTTGCGCAAGAATAAAAATTATATAAGTTTGAATTAATGCGATTGTATGTGAATATTTAATGTTATTTTCAAAACTAAAAATACGTAGTTAATGAGACGGGTACACTGAAAAGTGGGTAATCGGATTATTACGACAAATAGATCACTTAAAATGAAGTTCTGAATTGGAAAGCTTTTTGTTTGAAAAACGTTGCAAACTAAGTTTAAAGTCAAAAGTAAATTAGGGAGTCAAAAGAACTTTATTTGTGTACAAATACAGGATTTGTTGAGATGGCACCAGACAGTGAAACATGATAATATGGGGCACGTTCTATTGAATTCTATAAAAAACTTTTAAAGCTATATTTTATCGATAGAGTTCTTCGCCTTAATAATATTATTAATCATACAAATAACACTAAATATTCATATACAATCGCATCAATTCAAACTTACCTAATACTTATTCTTGCGCAACCGATTCTTATCAATATCCGATTGCATAATTTTATCCTTAGATTTAATTTCACATCCGTTGGACTTCTAAATAATAATGGTTTTAGAGAAAACGTCGTTGTTAGCTCAAAGACCAAGTTGCAAGTTCGAAACCTTTTTTTATCTACCTTAACCGGACTAGGTGAATAATAATATATTGTTTAAAATAGTACGGGAAACATTCTGATGAGTTCCTATGCTCTCACGCCAAACTATGGGTGAGAACTGATATATTTGAAGCAAGCTATTATGTCATTGACAACTGAACTGAACCATCTACCTGGTTGAGGTCCGCGTAGTCATCATAACCAATAGTTAGAGACTTTGAATGACATAGATTCTAAGTTTCAAAATTCCTCATAATCCTCATATTTTCTTCTCGAATCGTATCTTTGATGTTTATTCTTTGTTGTTATCACTAATACTGTTACTATCTATGCTACTCTGTGATTTACCGTGACAATTTTATCTCTCTGAGCTAACAGGGTAGAGTAACATGAACCCATGCACATAGGTACCGGGTTTTATGTTACTTTTGACTGACTGACTGATCAGCAACATTCCTTACTTTGAAGAATAATAAATGAGCTTATTATACTTGATTATATGAACATAATAAACAATGTTTTATTACTTGGAAAATTGAGAAGAGAACTTACATTCGAATATATTCGAAAGAAATCAATTAAGCATACGGCTACATCCAATATATGTGGAAAACTATCACGACATTTATCAAGCTGAAATTTATTTATACCAAAAAAAGAGAAAAGTTACAAGGATTGCATCGAAAAGAAACTTTATTATATTTCTCTGAAAATAAATAATAGAGGCAGTTATCTCAGAAATCGGTGATACCGACTGGTATTCCATCAAATTGATTTCAATATTCAATAAAATTTGATCAGTAAAAGTTGACAAATAGTTTAGTCTGTTATATCAGTACTGATGAAATTTTATTTCATATAGTAATTGTATTTTAATGAAGGTTATCAAATAACACACTTGTGCTCCAACACTAAATACTCAATACATGATAATGGACTAATAAGACTTCAACACTACATAATAGATTGGATCTTAGATCAATGCACCATCGTATATATATATATATATATATATATATATATATATATATATATATATATATACCATCATACTAGATCATGTTACCTGTAACACTGAAGTTTAAACCAACAATCAAGAACCATATATGAACCATAACAAGAGTTTATTGATAAAGTACAAGTAATCCGAGTAAAACTGGAGCGAAATCAAGGTGCATATATAATAGCATATTAAAATGATTAGAGTCGGATAATTTTGTCTTCGTTTATTGGCCAATTAAATATTACATTCTCTAATAAATTATAATGGCAACTGAGTACATACTTATGGATATAAATTAAGTTTGAAATATCCTCTGTAACTTATTTTTTGTTATGATTTGAAGCTGATAAAATTCAAGGGGATGAATAGGACACATAGTATAAAGATTCTTTAATATATGGTTATTTGGTCACAATAAATACAGTCCAAAAAAATAATTTAACAATACAATATTATTAATAAACACTTGTTAGACGTAAGCAACAATATTCAACACATGAAGATCAAGATACTAGCTAGAAATCTAATACATACACCAATAGGAGATCCTTGAGCTAAGAGAAATGGATAACTGATTGATAAACAACTGAGCAGTTAATGATTTTGCTGACAAATCCTGCATGATGTAGAACTAAAAATTATTTTGCGGAAGCATGACATTTTAAGCGTTTGGAGAAAGTCAGAGAAAAGCCCTCGACATTGTCTTCCACAGTAGCACAGAGTCACAATCGTTCTAATTGCACAGGCATCAGTTTTCTTGAAATTTCAAATACCCCTTGCTGATAAAAGCCAATTAACATGAGATCTAGTTCCATAACTTTCACCTAATAGCTTCTAACCATTTAACACTAAAACATAATGTACACAATATCGATTCATTCAGACTAGTGACTATAATGCAACTTAATCAAATCAAATCTCATTAACACTAAAAGATTTTGATACATATGACACTGATTACTATTCGGTAAACGGTAAACTCTATATGTACATAACCCTATATTTTGTTTAACGGTAAAATATTTAAGAAAACTTTTATTACAAAAATATCAAGAAAAAGTAAACTAGGCATTCAATATTTTTTTATTATAAACACAAAAATAACTTACTGTTTTATCACCCCTTCCAATAGCCAGAATCGGTTTAATCCAATTTATGAGACCTTTATTCCATATCATTGTTCCTAAGCCCTGAGCAATCATTGTACCAGCTGAACTAAATCGACTGATAAATTCAATGCAAGATATCAAGTGATTTATATACTGGAAGAAAAGAGCACAGTGAATAGCAAAGTAGACAAATTAATTATCATGATGCATAATTTGTAATAAGAAATAACACTTAATAATAGTAATAATCGAAACTTGCTTAGCTAAAAGAGAGAGCGACAAGTAGAATTTTATCGTGTATAATTGTAAAATTAAATGTATGGGAGAATTACAGTGCTTCTTAAGAACTACATTCAATCATAAAAACGGAGCCATAAAGATAGTTTTCTGTAAATAGTTCGCAGAAGGCCACAGAGCTGGATCTATTGTGATACAGAAACCTTGTAGTAACGGTGAATTTAGATCCATTCTGTAAATAATTTTGTTACTATTCATATCTCAGAATCACTTTAATTATACAACTCATGTCATTGACTATAAATTGTTAGTTAAGTTGTTAAGTTAAACTCCTAGTTCAGATAAAATGTTACATATGCTACTCACAGCACCTGAGTTCCCTCTTGTGTCACTGTTTGTTTACTTGATCGATAGAGCACCTATCCATATGGAGTTTTAGTCACACCTTCGAATATTTATTTATCTGAATTATTATTCGTTACAATATTACTTACTTACTTACGCCTGGTACTCCTCGTGAAGGAGCATAGGCCGCCCACCAGCATTCTCCATCCAACCCTGTCCTGGGCAATCCTTTTCAGCTCCTTCCAGTTGTTATTCATCCTTTTCATATCTTCTATTATCCAACGTAATGTGTTCTTTGGCCTTCCTCTTTTCCGCTTCCCTTCAGGATCCCAAGTTAGGGCTTGCCTCGTGATGTAGTTTGGTGATTTCCGTAATGTATATCCTATCCATTTCCATCGTCTTTTCCTAATTTCTTCTTCAGCTGGAAGCTGGTTTGCTCTCTCCCAGAGAAGGCTGTTGCTGATGGTATCCGGCCAATGGATGTTGAGTATCTTGCGTAGACAGCTATTTATAAACACTTGCACCTTCTTGATGATGGTTGTTGTAGTTCTCCAAGTTCCAGCTCCGTACAGTAGAACTGCCTTGACGTTCGTACTGAAGATTTTCACTTTGATATTGGTTGACAGTTACTTTGAGTTCCATATGTTCTCCAATTGTAGGAATGTGGCCCTTGCTTTGCCAATCCTCATCTTTACATCTGCATCTGATCCTCCTTGTTCATCAATGATGCTTCTCAGGTACGTGAAGGATTCTACATCTTCCAGAGTTTCGCCAACAAGAGTGATTGGATTGTTGTTCTCCGTGTTGTATTTGAGGACCTTGCTTTTCCCCTTGTGTTGAGGCCTACTGATGCAGAGACTGCTACTACACTGGCTGTCTTCATCTGCATCTGTTCATGTGTACGTGATAGGAGGGCTAGGTCATCTGCGAAGTCCAAATCGTCTAGCTGATTCTGAGCTGTCCATTGTATTCCATGCTTCCCCTCAGAGGTACAGGTCTTCATAATCCAGTCGACCAACAGGATGAAGAGGAAGAGGGAGAGTATGCAGCCTTGTCTGACTCCAGTCCTTACTTGGAATGCATCTGCCAGCTGTCCTCTATGTATTACTTTACACTGTAGTCTGTCGTATGAGTTCCAGATAATGTTGACAATCTTTGCAGGAACTCCATAGTGTCGAAGAAGTTTCCATAACGTCCTCCTATCCACACTGTCAAATGATTTCTCATAAACAACGAAGTTGATGTACACTGTTGAGTTCCACTCAACCGATAGTTCAAAGATGATCCATAATGTCGCAATTCGGTCTGTGCACGACCGATCCTTACGGAATCCAGCTTGTTGATCTCGAAGTTGGGTGTCTACTGCGTCTTTCATCCGGCTCAGCAACAACCTGTTAAGGACTTTCCCTGGTATTGACAGTGGTGTAATGCCTCTGTAGTTTTCACATTTGCTCAGGTCTCCTTTCTCTAAAATCTTGATAAGGTGTCCTTCTTTCCAGTCCATCGGCACTTGTTTTTATTGTGCCCAGGTAAAAGAAGCCCATACAATTTACTGGTTTTAAGTTCAAACACCAGTCCACCTTCTTGGATCTGGAAGGCTGATTAGTATCGCTAGCCATGACACAAAACAATGTAACTGGAATTCGATTACATCGCCAACTTAACAACTGAGTTCATCAGTTCAAAAGTAGATGAAGAATTTAATGCAATGAAAGATAGAGTACTAGAGAGTTGGAAGTATAAGTAAAGTAGGAATTTGACATATGATTTCATGAAAACTGTAGTATCGAAATATGCAAACTGATATAAAACACTTAGACAAGTTTACACCGGTTGAATAAATCATCAATTTCAAATTACTGTAATGATTGAGCAAGAAAGAAAGAAATATTAAGCTTTCGTTTATCTTAGTGTCATAGAATCCTGCTTAGTTTACTAAATTAATTAAAAACTTCTATTAATTTCTCATTTTTAGTTCTAATATACAAATTACCATGATCGATCAAGTGTTAATTATATTCAATCTAACCATATCTTATTTATCTCAGACTACGTGGTCTTTGATTTCTACAGATTTAAATTAGTCAGTCAAAATGTCTGTTATACCACAGTAAACTTCCTTAGAATTTATAGTATTAAAGTTCTGCCTCGAAAGTGGTTAACTAAATTAATTAGCCACCACAATGTCATATGTGTTTATATTTTATAAAGCGTAATTTATTTAAAGGTAATTTCATCATGAACTGAAATTAACTGAATAGTCAATGATAACTAGAGAGCATTGGAGATAACTTAAGTCTTCACTCAAGAGACCGCGAACAATAGAAAAGTTGGAAGAGACGAAATGAGCAATATACTATTTCTTTAAGACGTTCATGAAACCATTTGTGTAAATAACATGCATACTAATGACATTCGTCGAAATGCAATCCTCAAGTTACAAGCGAGGATCCAAGTCCTATAGCATTAGTCGATTCGGGATAGAAATGTACTGATGACACTGAAAGTAAGTAACGCTATGGTGCAAATCGATTGATCTTAGGAAATGTGCATTGCTGGACTCAGACTTAGAAATTAAGTGACGTATTTAGAGTCCTGAACAATAGTCTGCATCAGGCTCTGGGTACAAAAGACAGTCGAGTTTACAATTAGGTGGGAATAAATATGATATACTCCTCGATTTTCAAAAACTTTTTGATTAATTTAAGTCTACCATGAAGATTAACAACAAAACTGCTCTTGTAAAATAGTCATTTACTCATATTAGACACAACTATAAAGAAGCGGGTAAACTACATGTATGCACAATAGCGAATGGAAACAAATTCTATACACTTATTGTCTAAATAAACGCACTTATAGTCAATCCAATATAATTGAATGTGTCCTATTTCTTAATAATCAGCTAATATCTATCTATGAACTTATGAGTGTATACTGTATTATACTAACTGTATTCGGTCGATATCGTAAATACTAATTGTACTAATCAGTATAAATGTTTCTTTCTATACTATAAAACGCTGTAGTTAACTGGGAGATATAGTAAACTTTTTAAAAATAGTAATTAAGGACAATTCATGGGAAAAAGATAAGCTCCTTTCTTGAATTGTTTTTAGTTTTTCTATGATGAATCAGTGAGTTTCTTTAGTTCTTTAAAAGGGAAAAAGAAATGCAGTGTTTCTCATGTTGTTAAAAATATAAAATGAGAAAATATACAGCATAAAGCGTCACAAACTAATATTACAATTACGCTGAAATTACTTATTCATTAAGTGTAGATTTACGTACAAAACTTTGAGCTATGTATTGCGTGAGCGCTAGTGATATTATGGTGAACGAGAACATAGGCGGGGACAACATTACAAAATTTCTTGGTAAAATCTGAGAACCATACAGTAAAATACTTCATTTGGAAAATATCCATCAATTATCTCAGACTTTGTTATTCCTTCGTTTTCATACCAATCACTCTATGTTATTGTTCTCCCCTCTTCGATTTTCTCAACCTTCTGTCACCAGGCATTCCACTTTCGACTGGTGATACATACTACTCATATCTGTAGACATCAATAGCACACACTACAATAGTAATCAGGTGTTTAAACGGAAGATATTGCAAGAGAGACTAAACCTCCGATCTACTGGTTGGAAGCGGCATTTTTAAATTAGTAAGCCACTGTTCAAGACAAATAATAAATGATGAAAATAATAAATTATTCAAAACGGTTCAAAGGAAATTCATTCGTTTAATATACATTGGATTGGAATTGAGAGAAATTTACGTGACTATATTCATCACCAGTACACACAACTGAAACTGATACACTTCGGGCACGTTCTAATGTAGTTGAAAAGCTCTGTTTAGGATAATGTTTAACGTGTTATTTAAACGTCTTTTCATGGTGAATAAATGTAAAATGTATACTTATTATTACAAGCATACATACATAATACAATTGACTGATTTTCTGTAATTTTAAGAATAAATCAATAACTGTCTTTACAGAATGTATGTAAACCCAAGACATGAAAACGTGTGTCCATTTGTATAAACTTACTTCTAGTTTATTAAGCCAACATTGAAAATGAATCCAACAAACAGTTGATAGAATAGTATCTAATTCCAATGTGAAAGGAAGACGTTTATAGGCCAGTGAGAAAATGACTAAAAAGTAATTGAAAAAGCAAAACATACATGTTGGAACTCAAACAAAAAAATTTATGACAGTAATAATAAAAACTCTAGAAGAGATGAGAACTTCGACTAATGTAATTTGACATCTATTTATAAGGAATAACTACTCTGAATGCTTCGAGAAAATCATGTGTACGGGGCTTCTTAAATTCAGTTTTCAATAATTACCCAAACACCGAACTGGCAATCTGAAACCTTGGTAGACCGAGCAAGTTCAATGTCTTCAGTAACATAAGAAGGTCCGTAGTCTTCCAGGTCTTTCATCATCAATGAAATTATCATGTCACAGACTGAAACGTTTGATCTGTTAAAAAAGCTGTCTTTTGCATACACTATCTCCATTAGCAACATTGAAAATTTTACAAATTTCTTGAGGCTGTTTCTTAATTTTGACATAAAATCTTAATAGCTTAGTTTGAGTAACCAGGGTAGCGTAAACAGCTTTCATACAAATAATGAGACTTAAAGCCGAGTATACGAATATTTACATAGTTGGTAAACGAGTTACACTTACTAATTTCATAAATTAGCCACAAAATAACCACCTTTTTACCTTGTCTAATATGAGCTGAATCACAAGTGATTAAATCGTTTGCGCTCTCATCTTCAACTGGTAATGATTTTGCACAGATCCTTTGATAAAAACTCAAAACTTGTTCAGGTGTAATGTTGTTTTTTACAATCCAGGATGAGAATACACCAGTTAAATAGGCTGTTAAATTATTTAAACAAGAAACAGAAGATACAGATTTTCGACGAAATAGCTTTCAAAAAGAATAAAACAAGCCATCAATATGTTTATACATAACACAATAATTAAGTAAAGCATTCTTGTACAGTGACAGGAATTCGCATAATCTCCTAAAATCATAGTTGATTAGGATAGTTTTAAACGTTCGCCTGCACAATAGGGAACTAAATACTTCTCATGCTGAATCGTAGCTCAAGAAAATCACGATAAAATACGTCTATCTTCGTCCTATTACAGATAATGTAAAATCTGAGATGATTATTATTTAAATTATTTAAATTGTTGTCTGCATTCACATTTAAATAAACGAAATTAAGGCTAAAAGTTTCAGTTCAAAATCAAAATAATTGATGTTCGACTATTTAGGACAATAAAGACTGAAATTAAGTTGTCATATACTTTTTGGCCCTTAATTAGCAAGACATCTGAGATTTTGAACAAACTGGAGCCAAATGAAATATTCAAGACTGTAAATCAACACTAACGCTATGATCAAATATGTTATCAAAATAAATTTCAGAATAAAACTATCTGTAAGGATGGATTATATATAATATTTTATTTTTTATTTGAACACATAAATATTAGTACAAAGGGGACACCGAATATATATGCGTCACACAACTCACTTGATTTGTGTGTGGGCTATGAGACTGACCGGGTGACCAAACGGAAACAGGTGGTCTTCTAAGGGGACCACACCCCGAGCCCTTGACCTTAAGGTCTGATCCACAAGGCAATTGAGCATCGTGAGGAGATGCAGTCCCATGGCAGCCATTTGTTCCTTCAGGATACTGGAGCCCATGTGCACCACTGGTTTGGAATCCGGTTAAAGCGCCGGATATTCGCTTCTCGTCCTCTCATTTTCGTAAACAACAGTAATGCCATGAGAAGGCAGTGAGTAGGACTTCCCTCGCAGAGGCTGTATACGCGTGGCCTTGTGAGAGCATTTCGAGAGGGAGGGCGGGCCCTCCCCACTCTCAGCCATACCAGGGCATTTGGGGGCCTTATATATATTATATACAGAGTGTGACAACGTGACATGAATTCTTAATCTTGACAATCTATTTACAAACTGACACTTAACTCAATCTTTAACTAAATAATTTCGTATGTAAACCAAAGCTTTAATTTCTTATTTACGTAATTCTCATCAGTCGATCAGTTGTTCACTTGTCTTCTATATTATATGTGATTAGGACTAAAGAATCAGTCTCATAAGTGAACCGTCATCAAAGTCACCTCGAATAATTTCAACATCTTATTAAATTGATAAAACTGACATTAAGTTAACAAACTGGTCAGTTGCCGGACAATAATCACTATCCTATTGTCTTATCCTCAAGTACCAGTACCATTTTATTAACCAAGTGTATGTTTTGAATTTTAATCTATTTAACTATAAATTTACTATAACAACGGCATACCAGATAGGATAATGAAAAAATTGGTTCATGAAGCAGAAAACAAACAACAATAATTTTAACTTACAACGACCATGAGTTAAAACATATCGCAAATTAAAATGAAAAACATATGGATGAGAATGATGAGAATCTTGGAGCTCTTTCTTTGGATTTATCGGACATAACAGAATCAGTCCAACAGTTAATATATCTTCAAGTTGAGCGCAAGTTTGATGCCATTTATCAACGAGATGTTGTAAATTTGACGTCAAATAAACTAACAATTTTGATGATATTTTTAAAGAATGAAGTTCAGAATCAATTGTATTTTTCTTAAAATCAAGTTCTTGACTAGGAGAATCATTACCAATTTCATTGAACTTTTCCAAAGGACTGTGTAATGTGAAGTCTGGGCGCTGTATAACACCACAAAAATAATTTTTTAAAAATTGATGATAAAAATAGTGAAATACAGGCAGGTAAATAATGAAAGACATATTCCATTTCTTACAGAGCCTGAACAAATTTTCGTAAGTCCAAGTCATTCTACCTAATAAGCACAATGATGTGAAATAAGCAAGATAAACAGTCAGTAGCATCCAACCATAATGAGACTGTTCATTGATAAAAAAAATTTGAAAAGAAAAATGTATCGAGAAATCCTAAGGGTTATATTGGGAAGAAAAATAAAGAAACAATACATTTACGCCATTGAGATCAGTGTTGAGCTGTCGTACAGAACCTCCAACCATCGGATGTGATAATCTAACAGACCACAATCAGGCATCATGCTCCTACCAACACGACTCAATCCTACTTTCGATAGCTCCACGTTTTGGATTGGGTGTCTGTAGTTTTCCTTCAACATATTCCTACACCAGACAACATTCTACATCGAAATGGGTAGTGGTTGAGCATATTTAATACAGATTCTAATAAATTTAATCGAAGAACAGTCAAAATCTCATCAGTCGATCTATTGTTTTTGTCTAGTACGTTGAGTGCAACCTCAACATTGCTCACCTAGTGTTCCTGACAAAAAATAACCGATTATTCGGAGACATTTACAATCAAATGCTTTTTTCATTTGGTTTAGACAAATAAATATTGGTACAAAGGGGGCACCGAATATATATGCGTCACACAACTCACTTGATTTATGTGTGGGCTATGAGACTGACCGTGTACCCAAACGGAAACAGGTGGTCTTCTTAGGGGACCACATCCGGAGCCTTCGACCTCAAGGTCTGATCCACAAGGCAGTGAAGCAACGTCAGGAGATGCAGTCCCGTGGTAGCCGGTTGCTAATAATTGGTTTATGCACCGTTTTCCCCCCCCAGAATCCCGGAGCCCACACACACCATTGGTTTGGAAGCAGGGTTTCCCAACTCCCTAGGTGGACCTTCCGTGGCCATCAACCCGTTTAAAGCACCAGACATTCGCTTTTCGTCCTCTCAATTTCGTAAACAACACCCCCACCGCGTGAACTCAGTGAACAGCACTTTCCCGGAAGTGGCTGTGTACGCGTGGCCATGTAAGAGCATTACGAGAGGGAGAGCGAACTCTCCCCACCCTCGGCCATACCATGGTATTCGAGGGCTGATAAACCATGAATGTCATCTACTTTTTAGGGCTATGTTTAACAATTGCAAAATAAGGTAGTGAACTAATATTAAATAAAATCACCCTTTAGTTGAGATAAACATCTCACCTAAGCCAAAAGTAATGCAAGTTAGAAAAGCTAAGCGACATTCTGAACTCATGCCGAGATTTCGTCAAACACCAGGACAGCAAGGTTGATGATAAATCAAGTTGTAGACACACTCAACTACTTTACCCCCTTTCATTAATACAGGCATTGATGCAACTCTAACACAACATTTCTAGCTTAGAGGTACAGGATCGCAGCCCAAACATTCTAGGATAGTTGCTTTAGGTTATCAAACGACTCTAAATTTTGCCAGTCTTCATCAAATAAGACTGTATGGATTTGTTATGTTTGAAGAGATTACGAGTTCACCTAAATCTGTGAACGGAACGAAGACTCAGTGATACAATGATCAAACAAGCTAATTATTCCGATGCGTCCCAGCCCCGCTAAGTAGAGATAGAAGTTCGGTGTCAGAAGAGGGGAAATGTATTCCACAAGCAACCAGAAGCACGAACAAAAACAAGCACAACTCAAGCGAAATGTCCTTGGAAAACGTTACAAAATAGCATATTAAAAGAGACAACAAACCAATGACATTTAAAGTCCTCCCAAGTGGGAAATACGATGTGAATGTGAAAATGGGAGCTGTTGGCGCGAAAATGAGAAATTCAAATTTCCAAAATAAAATTACAAAAGCAAGACATTTAGCAGGTGTGTTTTGAGGATCTAGCATACCCAACAGGATTATAAGTCAATGAGCGATCACTGAGCGAGTTATTGAAGGAACCCAAAACTAGAACGAAACGGCTGCTCAATGGTCATTGGTTTCCATTTTTTGTCCTGCTATTATTTATTAGTGAAACCCAATTCAAAGTAGTTAACTGTTCCAGATGATTTACAGTTTATATTACCTCAAGATTTCTGTCCTCTATTAAAAACTGGAACGACCAGTGATCGATACAAGTTAGGTGGGTCTACTTCCACTTCCTGGGTGTAGTAAAATCTGAACTTAGACAAACAAGCAATTTAAACCCGTAACTGAGTAAATAGCAATATGAAGTGGTGTCAGATGAGATCGTTGAGATGTGTGTTTCGCATCTTCATCTCAATGGGTGACTCGAAATGGGGTACAAGTAACATAAGAAACCCTAATGATGATCAGACCAAGGAATGACGAAAAACCATAAATACAATCCTTATTTATCTTAATCATATGATGAAACACAGACTTTCTAGTTGCTATAAGAAAAATCGCAGATATCAATAGTTCGAGACTTGAAGTAATTAGAATTAAAATCAGATCAACTCGATGGACAAACACGTCTGGATATTTTAAGTCGATTACTTATTGTTCACATGGCTAATTCCCTTAACATTTTATTCATCTTGTGTTCTACTGTCAAGCAATATGAAAAACAGCTCTGACGTACGGAATTGTAAGGTTCTGTGTTATTCTAATTACTACTTGCATTGAAAAAATAATAAAGTTACAAATCCTTTAAAAAACAAACGCCATTACTGCCATAACCACTGAATAAATAATGTAAGCGGAATAGCGGCATTAGATATCGGTAAAAATTTGTTACGGTAATACTGAACTATGTTCAAATGAATTTACGACAAATGACGACCAAATGAGTAGATTCTATATGTCACCAATTTGAGAAAATTAAGTATAGAGGATTGGGTTTGTTAAAATTATAGTTTACAATATGGACTGACTTGGTTAGATAACTAGTTATCGGTAAACATTTGTATCTCATAGATTACTTAATAATAACAATGTAACTGATTGGAAAGTAATGATCTAAAAAGCATATGAAAAGCAATAAACAACTTACTTGTGTATAATTATATAAAACTTTCAAAATATTTCCTTCCGATTCAAATGTTTGCCATATTTGCAAGAGTATACAACGCGTTACTAATGCAATTAAATAAGCAGATGATAAATGATAACTATCCAAACAGTAACTGTATATTTGTTTAAATGTTAATTCGAATAACATTAAATAAGGCTGTTTTGATGTAGTATATTTTATATCAAGAAAATCAAGAAAATTTATTTCATTTTTTAAATCCCCACTCATGCATTTTTCCTGATCTCTGTTTTCTTCACCATCATCATCTCCATCTTCTTTTACTTCCTCAGGTGGTAACGATAATAATTCAACTAGAATTCGATAAATTATATAACAATACATGTGATGTATTCGATCAATTAAAATTGGTAAATTTAAGTAGTTATCTTCATTCAACATGAACAAGGTGAAAGAGAACTAAAAGTTTTTGAAAAGAAAAATTATTCGAAAGAAAGGCAAATTTTATTAATTAACACTATGGTAGGAACTGTTCATGATTATAACTTGTCAATGTGTATATTACAGCAAGGTGAAAATGTGGTTCTATTGGGAGAGTGAACTAAGATATAATAACTGAGAGGTTATAAATATATGATACATGCGAAACTGTGAGGACGAAAAGCGAATGTCTGGTGCTTTAAACGGGTTGATGGCCACGGAAGGTCCACCTAGGGAGTTGGGAAACCCTGCTTCCAAACCAATGGTGTGTGTGGGCTCCGGGATTCTGGGGGGGGAAACGGTGCATAAACCAATTATTAGCAACCGGCTACCACGGGACTGCATCTCCTGACGTTGCTTCACTGCCTTGTGGATCAGACCTTGAGGTCGAAGGCTCCGGATGTGGTCCCCTAAGAAGACCACCTGTTTCCGTTTGGGTACACGGTCAGTCTCATAGCCCACACATAAATCAAGTGAGTTGTGTGACGCATATATATTCGGTGCCCCCTTTGTACCAATATTTATTTGTCTAAACCAAATGAAAAAAGCATTTGATTGTAAATGTCTCCGAATAATCGGTTATTTTTTGTCAGGAACACTAGGTGAGCAATGTTGAGGTTGCACTCAACGTACTAGACAAAAACAATAGATCGACTGATGAGATTTTGACTGTTCTTCGATTAAATTTATTAGAATCTGTATTAAATATGCTCAACCACTACCCATTTCGATGTAGAATGTTGTCTGGTGTAGGAATATGTTGAAGGAAAACTACAGACACCCAATCCAAAACGTGGAGCTATCGAAAGTAGGATTGAGTCGTGTTGGTAGGAGCATGATGCCTGATTGTGGTCTGTTAGATTATCACATCCGATGAATGGAGACGTTGTGTTACATTACTTGCAATCGGTCGTAGTGGGCAAATGTATCTATCCTTTTATGTCTCTATGTTTTAAAAGCTTTTATGCCTTATATTTCAAGAATTCGCTTTTACTCAGATAATATTCGACATGTCAAATCCTTGTTCTTATCATTGATACTAATATTAATATTTCAGAATTCAACTTAAAATTCTATTCAGCTCTGCTGATATGCTCAGTCGAATCGGATCGATGGACACATTTACCAGGTTAATTTGTGTTAGTTTAATCCGTTTATTTATATACTTGTTCGCTAAACTATGAATCATCTAAAATTTAACCTTCTTCTCTATGGGATATTATTCTTATTACCTACAATTCGCCCAATCCTCAGTATATTTGAAATTATTACGTCAAACCTTGGAAATCATACTTACAATCCCAATTCTGAAAGTTCAAGTAACTGGGATTATTGTCACTAGTTTTTGATGCTTTTATAATCTTTAACGTAAGAAAAATTCCATTCAATGTGTTCCCTTTTATGAATTTAAATAAAGCAAGAACAAATATTGATGCAGAGTAGTATGAATATATATATATATATATATATATATATATATATATATGAACAGGTCAGACGTTATTTGGTGCTAGAATCAAGAAAGAAAAATCAACAATTTGTACCGCCAATATTTACAGTTGGGTGTTGAAACAGTTCAGAATTATGGTACAAAAAACGTTAGAAACCTGTATGACAAGTTACTAAGAGTATGACTTAAGGAGAAAAATGTATTCTAAGTGAAAATACTCTGAAAGATTAAATCAAAAGAAACATACCAAGAGTAATTTAGGATCCAAATCAGATAATTCAATAATTGTTTGGAAAGAAGTAAAATTTTGTAAACCATTGATATAAGGTCTAAAAATAAATGACCCTGAGGCCAAGTTAAAACAACAAATCAGTAAATGTATATTCAAACAAGACAGAAAACAATGTATTTACTACAGAATACATTTAACATACTTTTTTTCCATAACAGTAAGTATTCTTTTTTAAAATCATTACAGAAAGCACATGATATAGTGTTCGGTAGAATAAACTCAGTAGAAAAACAAAACAGTAACCTGCTCAGATGTTCGAACTGATATTACTCAATATCTCATAATATCAAAGATGATGTCGGTGAACTAACCAAGTTATATATATCTCCTTACGAGTTAGTTAAGTACAACGAGCACTTAGTACAAAACAATTATTAAAAGAAATTGAAATTTTCAATGTTATGATTTTAGGGTATTTTTGTTTGCGATGAATACAGTTCGTCATTGTCAGTAATCATTAAACGTTTTAACAGAAGAAATCTTTCAACTAAAAAGAGAAATTCTACAGATTTATTACGGTAGACGCTTTAGTAATCCACTCATTTGAACCTAATTTCTGTGTATAAAAGCAACATATCAAATTGCTCATTTCATCGTAGTCTTAACCAGGTATCCCATGTTTTATACTTAATAACATTATTATTCAATAATTATTAATCTATAATTATTAAAAAGCAATAAAACATATCATTATGAGTAAGTATTTAAGTTGTTCTGTAATTGGTAATCAAGTCTGAATTTCAACCAGTCTTTTTAATCACATGTATATTCAGTATAGACCGCGTTGGCACAACAATTATGTCACAGGTTATTTAAAGGAGATTGTTTGTAGCTAGTAGTGAAATCCAAGACTTTGGACTTATCCTAGTTCGTAATCGTTAGTTGGATGTACCTGGATCTCAGTGTTGATGTTCATATTGGGAATCGAACCCAATACCACAGTAGCTCGATGAATAAAAAGTTGGGCGTTTGAAATGAAGTGTAATTGGATTCAGGTACATCCAAATGATGGGTCCCGAACTGGATGAAGCATTTGAACTGGATTCCACTGTTTGCCACAACTCACCTATTCGAGACAAAATAAGTTTATTAACAAAATTTAATAGAGCTTACCGATATCTGTTAGTGTTTTACGACAATTATCTGAACGAATTATTGGTAGGTGACACTGTTTCGCACATTTAGTTTTATACTCTGGTGAATCTTGGGACGCATTTTCAATTTCATTATTTGAAATGAACGCATATCGGAATGAATTAAGAAACATTTGTATAGAAAGTGGTTTCCCAACAGAACTAGAACTACTAGGTAGAATTGAACCACAAACAGTATACAACTGTAAACAGTGCTCAGCATCTTCAAGATCACAACATAGAAGATCAGCTAGAAACTGGTTTTAAGTAGCAGTTTAGTGAGAGAGAAAAAGATGCAGAATAAAGACTTGGATTTAAAAATAAATTTTACCATAAAACGAAAGAGACAAAATGTTAAAATATTGGTAAGTATTTAAAATTTTAGGCACCCATTCAAAAGGGAGCACATTAGTAATCGCGACTATCAAAAAGGCAAATAATAAAAGTGAGCATTGAAAAGAGTAATAACAATTTTAATGGTTTGAAATATATTCAATTCGCTCTGTCCTTCTGCCCTACAATCAATCAAAAAAGTAGTTTTCTAAACCTCCACATTCAACAAACACTGTAATTCTTCGAATTCGGTAACAAATTTTTATTTTTATTACCTTGGTCATGTTATCTCGTACATCCAATTAAGACAACTAGAACGGTTTTACGAACATAATTCAGAAAGATTTGGTTAAGTTCAAATTGAATAAGTTTTAAATGCTAAAAAAACGTGAGTTTCTTTTAAAATTAAAAAGTCATACTCGGCATTCTTCATGAAATGTACTCCCGAAAACATTGTCCTTCGTGCTTATTAGTGGAACTTCATGAACTTTGGTCCTGTCGATTATTGACTTCCGTGATAGTAAGAGACAAATAACTATGTGTGCGAACGCGTCGCGTCAAGCTACTATCAGATCATAATTGTAATATCTAATTTCTTACACAGAGTCAATCGGTTATCAATACTTTCTTTAAATTTCGATAGAGCAATGGGAAGATAGAGTTGGTCTGTTGATCATTATTATCGAAATTTATAAAAGGGACTAATTCCTTTAACTTTCTTTAAATGTTTTTGGTTTCTAATCATTTGTTATTGTCACCTTTATGTTTTTAATTTCATACACGTTAAGTAAATAACTATCATCCACAACATTTGGCTTTGTACTACAACTTTTCTTCCACTTTAGATCGTTACACAACGTCGTTTTGATCCTTGAAGTTGTATATGGCTCTTTATATTCTTCGACAAAATAAGAGAATTAAAAGGCGTAGGTAAGTAAGCGGTATAAACATTTGAAATTCGAACCCCTACTTCCCAACACTTTGATAACTCTTCAGCCTAAAAGGGAGATTTATTACTATAATAAAATAATCGTAGCGATACATTAACTGATTGAATGTGGTACATCAAAAAGGAGGTGACATCAATTCAATATGGATATAAATGTTACATATATTAGTTTTTTAAACGCAGTTTAACATGTTTAGATGTGGATATTCAAATTATTTTCTGTTCCATGTAGATAGTCTAGTGTCAATCTGTTTTCGTAATCTTCTACGACCAGTTTGATACGTACTTCTACTTTTCTTTTTAAGTTTTGTTGCTGAATTCCTGCAACAGACTGTTCGATTTTCAATCCATTCAGAGCATCAGTAAATTACTTGAATAAGCAGCACCAATAAGTTCGCTAAAGTCTATGTGAGACCTCTCCACCACATTGTTCATTTTAGGGAAGTTTTCCACAACAGAGGGTAAATCGGATATATTTAACATCATTACAAATTTTATTCTTCCTTTCAATACTCGGCTTTATTAATGTGGACCATTATTAGTATAAACGGAAATTTCAACTTAAAGGATCTCCTCAAATTTACTGACATCATTTCCCGTGTTCATAAAAGAAACATTATTGAGGACAAGTTATAAAAATTATATTCTTTCCCACATGCCATATAACAATGAGTTGTGAAGATCAAATATATACGGATACAATAATCAAATCACCAAATACATTAAACAGACAGTCAGTCAAACTAACCTTCAGTTGAATAGGGAATCATAACTAGTAGTGGCTCATAGATAAAAGTAGGGATTAATGATTAAACAATTAAGATCACTACAAACTATCGAAATCGAACTAGTTGGCAGCAGTAATTTGAAAATACATAGACACTAGGATCATTGGATCGAATTTGTATGGCTTGTGCTATATTTAAGAGAAAAGATCGAACTCTATTAGGAAAGCACTAAGGTATGCGGTAAACCACTTGGGCGTACTATTGTGAAGCTTAGATGATGAGTAAGCCTCCTTGGGTGGTTTGTACATAGTCAGACAAAATCGATACGCAGCTCTATTTTATCAGATTAGGTTAATAGTGGTCATGTGATAGGTGATATTAAATTATTCCAAAAGACCTGCAGCTACTACCATCTAATAAGAGCGAAAATGGTATGAAAATAATGCAAGGTAACCTTTCCTTGAACGACAACAACAATAAAAACAAAAATCTTACCTCTACACATGTTCTATGTGATGTTTCGGTGAATTCCAACTTCTTAACTTCGTTTGTATTATCATATAATGAATAAAACTGAAGATAGAAATCGACTAAATCCTTAACATTTGAACAAATCCTAACATTTATTTTATTCACCTGAGTATTAGTATTATTGCCTAAAAATATAAAGTTGTAAAATAACAAATTAATAAATAATGAAGACTTAGTTTTAGTCAATAGTGTATGCTATTTAATTTTCAGTTATGATTAAGGTGTTTTCTATGACTATATGACATAACGGATGGTTTAAAATATTTTTCTCTCTCACACACACAGGTATACTGTGGTAATACGTCAATAAAATAATGAGACTAGTCACGTTATATTTGATCAAGGATTCTCGAACCAGATTAACACTAGATAAATACTTTATTCAACATAGTTACAAGCAGCAACACTCAGTAAGTCCAGAGTGGGAATCAATGGGAGGGGAAGGAACCACATATTTAAGTGAGTAGGCTAAGTGCCTGTTTGTCCATGCTCAGTGACCAAACATATTTTAGTTTCACTACCACATATCATTATATATAATCACCACTATTAAAGACAGTTATTAAGCTTCAAGCTGCTTGACCTCATGAAGATGTATCTGAAAGTAAACTTTCTTTATTTGACTTCACTCAATTCCAAAGAGACTCGGACTATGTGAAATCTACATTAGAGAAATCCAAAAGCTCTTAAATGAATAACGTGATAACAAAATGAAATGTTAAGAAATTTATTACCTGCACCACATAAATAATCGAATACTATTATTCATTATATAAATTAACATAACAGGTTGTTAGAAAGACAGAAATAATTTAAAAAGTAACTATGTTTTGTTAATTCGAAGTTCTATTTACCATCAGTGTAACTGAAAAATTTCAGCTCAGAGACTAAACTCTTTAGACAACTTGACAGTATTCGAAAGTGGATAAGTAATTTCCAAGTAAACCACGAAATGTTTTAGCATATTTTGCTACTCTATGAATCATTTACGTATTGGAAATGATACTAGTGTCTTTAATAGAACAATTTTAATAAAACATACATACATACAATATTATGAAAAGGAAAATCTTAGTGATAAATAAATAACTTGTGAATTAATTATACAATATGGAGAGTATACTGAGCACCATTTTTTCCATGTTTCTATTTAACACTAATATTTAAAATAAAACAACTCTGACGCCTACCTCCGCACATACACACAGTAGTACTGAACTAAGAATCTTCAGGTTTTCTGTTTTTCAACCTATTTGACTGATTTAATTTTTTGTTCGTAATTATCAGAAAGTTAGTAAACTGATGTAAAACACAAGAAAACGTATATCAATGCCATAAACACACTGATGTGAGAGGTGGTAGTGGCTTGAAAGAGTGTCAAAAAGCTTTGAGACTAACCTTTTTCCAGTAACTGTATATACAGTGTTACAACGTTCAAAATCATTTGGGGATTAAGATCTGGATAACTTAGTAAATAATTAAGTGCTCTTTGAAACCAGTGAGTTGTCCGGAATTCGACCAACAGATCAGTTACATAGGAACAGCACAGATCTACAAAAACACACAAACTTAGAATTTAAATAAACAATTGATACCCATGAAACCACACTCACGTTTACGACAAATAAAGAAATTGATACTCCCTCTTGATAATAGCATAAAGTAGGCAGGTATAAAGCTGCATTTGTATTATATAATGAGAAACTTTAATAATAAGATAGAATTAATGATAAGGTAACTCCTAATATGAGTTAAATGCTGATGGTGTAGTTTTAAATGGCAATGAAAATCCCACGATTGAACTGATCAGATCGGAGAACGAGATACTGCCCTAATACATTTACTTGACCTAAAAATCTCCAGAATTTCGAGGTATAACAGTCAATTAAGGAAGTATAACTAAAATCCAAAGAGTTGAGCCCGCAAGAAGTAAACTGATGGCAACCGAAATTATTGCTAGAAGAGATGCAGTTAAGTGTATTCTTATTTCGAGTGTCGTTGGTGTGAATACCACACCACAGCAATTTAATAGTGAAGTTTGGGAAAATTAAATTGTGTCAGGCTGAATTTGAATTTTGAGTTACCTATATCTAGTAAACAGATCTATTGAGTTGGATAGTATTAGTTCTTCACTAGCAAATAAAGAGTCAATACACTGTACAGCAGTTTGCTTTATTTTGATTAACGACTGTAAATTATCCCCATTAAGAGTAGAGGACATTTTGTGGTTACTAGTATTTGATCATAGGCTCCTTCGAAGCATTGCTTGTGTCTATCAAGACTATCGAGTAAACAATGATTAGGTTGAATGCACAGTACTAAGTGGACATAAATCCATTCTTTGTCTTCCTTTAAATCCTGGGTTTAAAAATTACCTTACACCTTTTATTTTGAGAATTTATTCTTTCTCGAACAAATAAACTGAATATGAATAAATGCTGAACGAACTTATTATATCCGTCACTGCTATTATTAACGATAATGATGGTGGTAACCGAAATCGCAATAGGCATCTGCAGGATTATTTTTGAAATAAATCATTAAGACATTGTATGTTATCAAGCCAAAATTTAATTTCCACGATTAGGATGAACTAGAATTGTTGTGGTCACACTTTACGGAAATAAATGACGTTTGCCAACGGAATCCCAAATCGATTAAATTTATTTTCAAATGAAATTCTTAGCAGTTCAAAGTCCGAATCACAGAATTGATAAGTTGAAGATTCAGGTTAGTCTAAGTAAAAATAATTATTGACTACTACCATCCTAATTTTCAAAAGTACCTCAAATAAAATCTAGGTAAACTAATAATAAGATTGTTGAATTTTCACAAAAAATGTGATTATTATGATAAGAATGTTTAGAGGAACATACTTGAGAGAATAATCAATGGTAACTTTGGGAATCTATTTCCGGACTAATACAATACATATATTTTTATTGTATAATTATTAAGGAGCTAAACTATGCATATTCATGTTCCTCTTATTAAGAGCTTTATTTTGACCTACACACTATTATTATACGATTTGCCGTTCTTGATTATACATAGTTTATCAATTACCATCTCCCACATTTATAGCCACTTCTGGCTAGATATTGTACAAATGTTTTCCATTTTATGGTATGATGTAGTCTGTTTGGTTTGTATATAAACCTAGTATCTTTGAAATAAATTATTCATATCGCAGAGGCTGAGATTGGTGTTCTGGACTCAACAGGCAGCGCTAGGCAGGAAGCAGGACCGATAAGGACTCTAGACTGCTCGTGCGGGTTTACGGATCACTGGTTCGGTCGATAAATCATTATTCTCTAATTAGTGGTATCACTACGTTATATATTAATAGGGCACAAGTTATAACACTTAGAAAGTTAAATCGATCCAAAAAATATCTAGTAAACATACCTGACATTAAGTTATTACTATATTGTTCCAAGGTTTTATAGAGTTTCTGAAGAATTTTATATTCTTGGTAGTCTACAGCTGCTTCTGTATTAGTATCTGATAAACACAGGCCTGCGTTTAGGCCAATTGTATAAATGGATCCAGATGAGTCAAGTAAAACCACTTGATAGTAATTTAAACTATATAAAGTGGATAAACAGATAATTAATATTTAATTTTATTCCTTTGATAGAAGTCGGTAACTTAAGCTCAATCAAAACGATCGTCGACCAACAAAATTGATAACTCTAAGACTGAATTTGCTGAACCTGGTTAGTTGTGTAATTAACTCTCGATTAGATGTTCAAAAAGGCACATCTCATACTTACATCAGTTGGTAAAGTATAAAATATTTTAACTGATAATGAAACCATCAAATGAAAATACTATGACAGGTAAATATTACAATCTATCAAGAACTATAGTAGATATATTCAGAAAATATTTTTTCAAAACCCAAAATCACTAGCTTTATATCTCTATACAAACATCAACAAACTTTGAACAGAGATATATGGATTCAAACTGGTACACTTTATAACAATAGAAATGATAACTATACCTATATTGCCTCATATATCACTGGTTGTTTTAACATGTATATTCAAGAAAAATTAGACAGTATCTTATTACAAAAAATTAACTTCAAAACTGACAAACTATGACTTAAATAAATACGTTAAATATATGTATTGCAACTAATAGCACAAAGCTTCTTACAATATTCACATTTGTTAGAAAGAAATCAAAAAGACTAAATAATGATCACTTTCAGGTGAACATGAACAATTAATTTTCGTATTTTAAATGATAAGAATCCTTTGATATTTATATGAATAGAATATAAAATGATAATCAAAAGAATATTTGTTTGTTACACATAGTTCCCTTTATCATTTTGAAAAGAGCAAGAACAAAGATTCTAGCAGAATAACATGAATTCATTTTATTTCGTAGGTTCTCGTCAGCTGCTTACAACCTATAGTATTTAAAAAAAGATAATAATTACATAATGGGTTTAAATTGCTTACATGAGAGGGTTTATATTGAAGAAATATTCGTAAAGTATGACATGGGTGTAAATGAAATTAATAGGCTGAATATTGTAAATATATACCTAATGGGAAAGAATATTCTAGAGCATTAATTGTGACAACAGTTCAAAAGTGGGTTAGAAACAATTGATTACATAATGAATAAACATTGATAGGAATATAGTGAGTAGAGTTCAGTTGAAAGATTATTAATTTTTTTATAAAGATAGTTGAAAAATAAAACCAATGACGTAATAAATATAAAAGATAAAAATTTAAAAAGAAATAAAATAAGATTTAAGCTGCAGCGGAAGAATATTTGTCACCAAGGCAGGGAAAGATTAACAATCATCTCCTTTTGAACAAATAAATCAGGTTTTTGGCACCTGATAGCAACTGCTTCAGCAAACTTCAGAAGACTGGAGTTTGACTGCTTACTAATAACCTTGAATGATTGTAGGGTGTCAACCTGATGGCCTGTGTCAAGGAGATGTTTAGTGATTGCACTACTTAAAGTCTTTCTTTCTCTTGTTCTGAGGTTTTTTGGAACATGTTCAAAAAATCTGAGATATGCCCTCCTATCTGTTCGGCCAATGTAGCTGCTTAGGTACCATTAAAAGGATGCTTATCAACCTTTGATTGAGTTATTGAACATGTTGTTTTATACAGAATTTGAAGTTTGGCCGCCGGATAGGTTCTGGCTAGCGCAGTATTGAGTCTCCTGTCGATTGTGTTAGCAACATCATCACCTTTGAGGTTAAGACTTATAGTTATTGCTTTTTATTGACAGTAATTACTTCAGTATTATTTTCTTTACGCTTTTTATATTTGTCAATAAACTTTTGTTACCGCCAATTGTATTTATAAATTTACATGTACCAGCCAAAGCAGCTACATTGGTCGAACAGATAGGAGGGCATATCTCAGATTTTTTGAACATGTTCCAAAAAACCTCAGAACAAGAGAAAGAAAGACTTTAAGTAGTGCAATCACTAAACATCTCCTTGACACAGGCCATCAGGTTGACACCCTACAATCATTCAAGGTTATTAGTAAGCAGTCAAACTCCAGTCTTCTGAAGTTTGCTGAAGCAGTTGCTATCAGGTGCCAAAAACCTGATTTATTTGTTCAAAAGGAGATGATTGTTAATCTTTCCCTGCCTTGGTGACAAATATTCTTCCGCTGCAGCTTAAATCTTATTTTATTTCTTTTTAAATTTTTATCTTTTATATTTATTACGTCATTGGTTTTATTTTTCAACTATCTTTATAAAAAAATTAATAATCTTTCAACTGAACTCTACTCACTATATTCCTATCAATGTTTATTCATTATGTAATCAATTGTTTCTAACCCACTTTTGAACTGTTGTCACAATTAATGCTCTAGAATATTCTTTCCCATTAGGTATATATTTACAATATTCAGCCTATTAATTTCATTTACACCCATGTCATACTTTACGAATATTTCTTCAATATAAACCCTCTCATGTAAGCAATTTAAACCCATTATGTAATTATTATCTTTTTTTAAATACTATAGGTTGTAAGCAGCTGACGAGAACCTACGAAATAAAATGAATTCATGTTATTCTGCTAGAATCTTTGTTCTTGCTCTTTTCAATATTTGTTTGGTTCCTAATACTGAACAATTTCTACTCTAATGCAAGTCGACAAAATCTTTAACTGTCACTAAGCTAAGGTCATTGAAGTTTCACGAAGAGCGTTAGTTCTCATAAGACTGTAAAATATGCCTCGCTGATACTTGCCAACTAGTAGGAGAATTAGATCTGCGACTTCCTGGTGTTTATATTCAAGCAAATGACGGTGTTCTGATATTATTTTGATTGATAATTTTTGGAATCAATACGATCGTTCATTAGAGCATAAAATAAATGTCTACAATATCAAAATACAAATATTCACTTGAATTCATTTGATTTAGTAGTATTTATGTAATTTTGACGCTCAGTTTGAATAAGGCGAACTGGTTCTACAACATCCCATGAAACAATACGTGGTCCATGAATGAGACACCAAAGTTCCAATGAATGAAGATGCGGTGAATGGATTAATAGACAAAGTGTCTTTCTAACAGAATTATTTGGTTTATTACGATAGCCAGTGTATGGAGTTTCAGAGTCAGATACTTCAAGAAAAGCAACTTCAGCATCTCTGTAACCTAATAGCGAAAGTTGTAAAAAAAAGCGAAAATCAATTTAATAGCATGTAATATATTTCTCAAGTAAGAACTTTTAGAAATGACCCATTTAATAGAAATATAACAATTAAGATGAAAATTCAAATAATGAAGTAACCAAGTTAATTTAGGTTGTTCTTAAAAGTGCTTTAAGTTTATTTGCTATGCATGAATAAACAATTATACTCAAATATAAAAAAGCATATCCATCGTTTTATAAGATTGTGGATACCAATGTCAAGGTAGGACTCACAGGTTCAAATAACATGAACATTGAGAAGAAAATTTATAATAAATGAATTATTTGTTATATACCAATATGTAGAAAATTATCTTTTTGTTGTTTCGTGACTTGATGTAAGTCACTTCTTCAGAGTAAACAGACAACCGAATTAAATTAACATAAGTTTAAATAGTACAATATAAACAATGCTGAATATTTTTAGTACAATCAAAATCATAATAGATTCGCTTGATATTGTTTACATGAATCTTCCGATTGATGTTTAGGACTGCAATTGACCAGTCTCACGTTGGCAAATGTGCATGCTAAGAGTATTACCTTAAGTCACAAGCATTATAATCAAAAATGGATAGTGGCTAGTAGTGTAATCCAGGACGCGCGTTTCGTCCTATATGGCACTCGTTAGTTTGATGTGCCTGCATCTCAGGGTTGATGTTCACACTGGAACTCGAACCTAGTACCGTTCGCTTCAAATGCCAACGCGTCCTGAGACAAAATGCGCATCCTGGGTTTCACGACTAGCCGCTACCCATCTTTGCTTATAATACTGCTGAATTAAGGCGATATCGAGGTAATACGTACAGCATGCACATATACTAATAAAAAACTGATCAAGTGCAGTCCTAAACATCAATGGGAAGATTCATGTAAACAATATCAAGCGAATCTATTATGATTTTGATTGTACTAAAAATATTCAGCATTGTTTATATTGTACTATTTAAACTTATGTTAATTTAATTCGGTTGTCTGTTTACTCTGAAGAAGTGACTTACATCAAGTCACGAAACATCAAAAAGATAATTTTCTACATATTGGGACATAAATAATTCATTTATTATGGTGTTTTCAGTTTTAAATATATCACACTTGTTGATTTTCAACGAGAACCTCAATGTAAACGTTCGCAATTCAATTTTTTGAATTATGGATCTCCTAAACATTCACTTCATACAAAACAAAATTGTTCTGAAGGTCACTGTTCAATTTTCTAAAGCAGAAAATGCTTGAGTACTAGAAATATCAATGTTACTATCAAATTTAATCAAGGTTGCATATCATGAAAAGATACAATTGTTTGAGTTATTCTTGAACTTCTTTTAAGTTTTAGGAAATTCACTTATTTAAAATACAGCGAATATATATGCATGTAGTTAAAATCTATGTGAACAAGAACTACAGAATTCACTGGAAATATAATACTACCGAGAAAGAATCACTTCATTATAGAGTTTATATATTATATATGAAGGATGAGAACCAGATGAATAGGATTATGCAGGAGAGGAAAATCAAGATTTTAATTCATGGTGAGCACTCAATAAGCATTGGGTATAATTTGACGTTGATTAGCATTATATTATTATACGAAATGTGGTCGTAATTATCGTGTGATTAAAATGATTTATTTTATCTAACATAATAAATTGTCTGCATGATTATGTGGTCAAATGTTCAACTTTGTTGTTGTTTAGTACAGAGCCATTACTAAGTGCGAAAATTCAACAAATTTTTGAATTCAAACGTTTCGCATCATCAGTGAACCACTATTCTGCTTGTCATACTAACATTGCCAATGGCAATGAAAACAACAATCACAATGCATAGGTTTTAGTGAAGAAATTAAACGCCAATGATTACAACTGGTCACTGACATAAAATGGATTTGAATCCGTAGTGAAAGTGTGCTATACTGACAACCTTGAGAGACTTCCCAGCCAATCAGGAAGGTTTTTGTTTACAAAACAATTAATAATAAAAAGCAATAAAATTAAAATTAAATAACAATTTTTCTATGATTGATGAACCCTCACATGTTGGATTATTAGTTATAGTAAGGGAAAAAGGTTAATTGCACATATTAGGAATTAGGCTAGTGTTCCTGTATTAGGGTTATAATCCTATAGGATTTTTATCACCGATTGATATAAGCTATAATTTAAAGTTATACATTGGGAGTTAAACCATAGTTAATAATTAGAATTACGAATTAGGGTTTTCAACACGAACTGACATTAGCTGAAATGCAATGGTATTTTGCCAACCCTTTTTGTTCATGAACTTAAGAAAGTTAAGGTTTAGATTCAAAATTAGGAGTTAGAGTGAAACAATACTAAACAGCTACACACCAATGGTGCACATGGGCTCCAGTATCCTGAAGGAACAAATGGCGTATGAACCAAGTGTTGGTCATCGGCTACCGTGAGACTGCATCTCCTCACGATGCTCCATTGCCTTGTGGATCAGACCTTTAGGTCAAAGACTCGGGGTGTGACCCCCTAAAAAAACCACCTGCTTCAGTCTGGGCACCTGGGCAGTGTCACAGCCCACACACAAATAAAATGAAAATGACGATATTTACTGAAAATTCTGTTCACACTTCGATTAACAGTCGAAAAATTCACATTATTATTATTATTATTATTATTATTATTATTATTATTATTATTATTATTATTATTATTATTATTTACAACGTCACTTATTCACTCTCTTTTATTCCCACTCTGTGTATCCTTATTTTTCGATTTATACAGCAGCTCGCCTATGGTGGAAACTCGGTTCTACCTCAACGTTCTCGAATCACTGCCTGGTTGAAAATTGTATGCTACCACCAAATACGAATACTGAAACAGTTTTCCTGAAACCACGTGCACCATTCAAACCGGTTGTCTTCAACGTTTGCATACTTATGCAGGTTGGACAACAGATAGGGTTAGTTGTGTCTTTGGAAAGTCTTAATATCGACGTTTGTTGACTATCCGAGACCCGTATACAAGACTCTAGTGAAGTACTACAAATTCGCTCTCCATCTGTCGCTTCAAAAAGTTCCATCAAAGTGAGAAGAAATCGGCGTGAGAAACGATGTCTTTTCGTCATCTCCGCCTATGCCGCGACAGATTGCAGCCTGGATGCAATCAAGGATGAATTCTACCACCAGTTGACTGTTCTCCAGAAAGTGCGTTCGACAGATATTGTAGTACTAGCCGGAGACATGAATGCTCAGCTCGGGCGTCTAGGCACAGAAGAGAATCGTTTAGGTGACCAATGGGGACTTTCTGGTCGCAGGACAATTAACGAGGACCGTCTACTGCAACTAAGCACAGACCACAACCTGTTTCTGGTTAGCACTAACTTTCGGCACAGTCATCGCCGATGTGCCACCTGGTGTCCTCCCTCTGCATCTCAAGCCTGGACTCAGATTGATCACATCGCGATCAGCTACCGCTGGCGTAGTAGTGCACAAGACTGCCGCTCCTTTTGGAGTACCTATCTGGACTCTGATCATGCCCTGGTCTGCGCCAATCTTACCTTACTTTTCAGTGGCTAACGAAGTGACCGTCACCAACGGATTGATATCAGCAAGTTGGTTGCAACTTCTGTTGCAAGTAAGTATCGAACCGAGCTAGCCTCTAGGCTAGCTACCATTCCACCGAAAAGTATAGATGAGCATTGGTTGCGATTGCATAACGCCATGAAAATGGCGAGTAAAGCCGCTTATAAGTACTAGGTTTCTTCTGGTTCCCTACAACTCATTGAAGCCCGTCGGTCTACTCCGGGTGACCGTGAGTTTGACCATAAACGAAGGATGTTACGTAATGAAGTTGGGCAAAGCTTGCGTAAGGACCGAGAAACCTGGTGGTCGGAGAGTGCTAATGAGCTGGAAGCAGCAGCTGCATCTGGTAACTACCGGAAGCTCTTCCAACTCATCCGAGCCACTGGCAGCAAGAAGTCTGGTGTGAGTGAAACAATCTGCGAGGATGATGGGATGCCAATCACTAACATCCATCGACGTCTTGGGCGATGGGCAGAATTCTTCGAAGGGCAGTTCAACTGGCCTGCTGTTCCGGCAACATCGGTCAAACTGTCCTGCCCTCTATGGCCGATGACGACTGATCCACCAAATAAGGCAAGAGTTCACAAGGAACCCCAACTCTTGAGGCGCTACAAATCACCTTGCCCAGATGACTTACCTCCGGCTCTTTATAAAGATGGTGGTGACTTTCCGGCTAAGGAACTGACTGTGTTGTTTACAAAGGTCTGGGAACTAGAGAGTGTACCAATGTCATGGAATGAGTCGATAGTTGTCACTACCTTTAAGAACGGTTCACGTCGTTCTTGACATTAGGGCTGCCTTCGATTCGTTGGACATGACTGTTCTCTGGAATTGTCTGTTCAAGAAGGATGTGCCTGAGAAATTTATTAACATTCTAAAGGCCCTATATACAAACATCTCAGGCAGAGTAAGGGCATACAACCACCTTTCTCCATTATTTCATTCGAGTAGTGGGGTTAGGCAGGGTTACCCAGTCTCACCATTCCTCTTCAATTTTGCCATCGATGACATTCTAGAAACAGCTCTGATGGATGTAAGTAATAGCAGTGTGGATCTGTTGCCTGGAGAAAGGCTTTTCGACCTTGAGTATGCGGACGACATTGTCTTACTGTGTGATAATGCCCAAGTCATGCAATCCGCACTTAATCAGTTGGCAATCAGTGTCCGTAGGTACGGTGTGTGCTTTGCACCTTCGAAGTGCAAAGTACTTCAACAAGACTGGCAGGATTCTAATCCTGTACTCACTCTGGATGGTGAACAGATAGAAGTAGTCGAGAAGTTCGTGTATCTAGGTAGCTGCACAAGTGCTGGTGGGGGCGTGAGTGATGAGATCAATGCGCGCATAGTGAAAGCCAGAACGGCTTATGCTAACCTGAGTCATCTTTGGCGCCTTCGTGATGTCAGTTTGGCTGTAAAAGGCCGGATCTACAACGCGTAGGTGAGAGCAGGTTTGCTCTATGCTTGTGAAACCTGGCCTTTCCGAGTTGAGGATGTTAGACGACGCTCTGTGTTCGATCATCGTTGTCTCCGAAGGATTGCTAACATTCAACGGCAACACCATGTTAGTAATGAAGAGGTTCGGCATCGTGTGTTCGGGCACAGAGACGATAATCAACTTGATGTCACCATCTTGAAACACCGACTTCGGTGGCTTGGACATGTTCTCCGAATGTCGTCCCAGAGAATTCCACGTCGTGCATTATTTGCCGACTCTAGGACTGGTTGGAAAAAGCGGAGAGGTGGTCAGTGTATGACATGATGTCGGGGTATGAAAGAAAGCTGCAAAAGGCTGGCTTGTGTTGGTCCTTCACGACTCCCTGGCTGGTGTCCTAGAGATGGTGCGACACAGTGGCTAGAGACGTCATCAGATATGGCTCGGAACAGAAGCCAGTGACGATCCTGCTGTAACCTTTTAATTTCTTCATAAAAAGTGGTTGTATCTTCCTTAACTGAACGATTTCTCCTTGTTCTACCTTTCCGTTTCCCGCATTATTATTATTAGTATTATTATTTTTACACTATCATACACTAATCTGGTCGTTATCGTTCTTCTTCTTTTTTCTTTTACGCTCCTTACCTTATGTTCTCTCTTCCCATTCTCATTGTTTGTGTGGCGCATATATACTTGATGCCCTCTTGTACCAATATTTATGTGTTCAAATAAATAAATAAATAGCTACACAAACACCCTCAACTATGGATTGGAACACATAAAGTACTCCCAAAAACAATCTGCATCAGGGACAAGTATTTCTTGTAGTTCAGCTAAAGTATCATGCTATATTTAATGCTTAGCTGTACAATAGATATTTTAGTTAATTTTAAGCATTTTACGAACAAAATATTGCCAATTTTCACCTTGTTCATTATAACACACAAACTATCACTGAGCTTTCAAATTTGCGAGAAAATCCATGATGCACCACCTTGATTCTGACTGGTTCACTAAAAACCATCAGTATAGTGTACTTATACCGGATAATTTATCAAATCGACGTTTAGTACGACACAGTTTCAGCGTATAAACAAACAACAAAACAAATCCACGGTAGTTCAAATGTGTTTTTCCGTAAAAAAATTACTGAAATTTATCCAAAAATCTGTTCAACTTTTAATATGAACCAGGTAACTGTAGGTGGCTCAAAGTATCGAATATAATACTATTCAACTCTGTCCTAACTACCGACTGGATCACTTTTGTACGAAACTCTTCGACGAACTAAATACTTTAAATCTAGCTTTTTATGGGTGATAGATTTGAGGTTTTGATGACGATGATGTACGTTCTAAGATTGCTAAAATAATGAACAGAATGCTGCCCAATATATGATGCGCAATGATACTATTTGGTTTAGTGGTTATCTTTGACGAGACCAGGTTATAAGCTTAGAGCAAAAATGAAAAGATAGTGCTACTCGCCAGCAATATAGGGTTTCGTGTTGATAAATTAACATTCCAACAAAAAATATTTAATACAAATCATAAATATTACTGGATATCAATAAACAAGCAGGCAATTACAAGTTACGAGCTTTTTAGTTCATTCACTCCTTAATCGAATTAAGACTAAACTGTAGAGCTTAAATCTTCCAATCACATTAAATTACTTTCATAGAATAAGACCGAGTATTTGAATATTACCACATGATTATTACGGCCAGAAAAAATAATATTAATTACCACTAAGATGGACAATTACACTTTACTCCGGACTTTTTATTACAAGAGAAGATTTTCATTTCTCCAATGCACAGATAATGAACTAAATTTGTGGAAAGTTAGGATTGAAACACAGTTTGAACTATCAGAATAAAACACTGAATTAGCGCTCTAGATTTGCATTTAACTGTCAAAAACATGTCTATGATTTACGGTGAATCATTGCCAATTTAGACTCAAATATGTATACTGCACTCGTTACTGTATTATATTTCATATAATAAAGGGAACAAATAGAAATGAACATGAACATCAGCTGACCACAGGAAATAGTACTTCACACTCAAATATACACACGATTAAGAACGTTACTGAAAAAGTAAAAATAAATCAAGTCACTTACCCTTCCACATACGTACAACACGCTCTTTATAAGCATCCACAAGAAGAACTCTTCCAAGACTATCGGGAATCGCTAACCAATGATGGTCAGGTGAAATAGCGACACCGGAAGATAATATATGGCGACGGCTGTCAGCCAGTCCATGAGACAAACTCAAAGGGGTTTTCGAAAAAGTAGAACACATAGCAGTGGGATATGTAAAGCCATCCTTCCGTTGTGGCCATGTTACAACTAACGGTTCTGAATCATTATTAGAGTATCTGTAGGTGAACCAATAAAACAAGCAATCAAAAGAAACATCCGGGTAATCAGTCATAATCAACAAAGAGCTTGGGACAAATGTACGTCAGATCAAGTTGCCACCACAATAACACCACAGGTTATAGGAAGTTAACAATATAAATATCAAAAGAGTAGAACTAATAGAAATGTCATTGACAGTGATAAAATACGAAAACCGAAGAGTAAGGTTCAAAAATGGATGAATTCGATGGATTAAAAATGAGGAATATTGAAGCCCAAGACTTGGCAGAAGATAAAGTGGGCATTCACCTAGGCAACAATGATTGATTCAGAACCATGATACCCAAAATCTCCTGCTACCGGTTAGTCAAGTAACAACCTAGCAATCCCTAAAAATTCGCGGACTAGTTTTACATTGTTTCATCGAGATTACATTTATGGAACAAGAAACTAGGGACTTGACTGAAGCATGTTTCAGACAAAATCACATTGGAGCACGCTAACTGACCCACTTTTAACCATTCAACACTAGTGGATAAGATGAGATTAATATATCCCTGTGTAAAGTTTACGCAGACAATAACATTTTTCTACTAACTAACTTTAACTTGCTTTGGAATGTATTCACGTTTCTATTCAAGTCATATTTTGAGTTCTGAACAAGTCTATTGAAGTGTTGTTCAAAAATATTAGGCGGTAGAATACTAAGCCGAAGAAGGAGACTTAATGACTTGCAACTATGTAGATTCAGTCATGGTCAGTAGCGGTAATCCAAAAGTTGTCGAGAGTATTTACTTTGCAAAATAACGTTACCATACACGTAATACTGAATTCAGTTTCGTTGTTTGTCAATAACTAAGCTGACACAGTTGCACGCTGAAGGATGGACTTTCATGTGCAACTCGAATTGAAAACAAAGGCATTTCCTAAACATATCAATTTGAAGTAATATTAAGTAGACTATACACAAAAAAACGCAAAAAAGCAGTGTGACAGAAGCGAAGTGAAGACATTCAACTCACTTTTTGATCCCGAACATGGCACGTTTAGCCTCTTGATAAACAAAAGATGCAAAATGAGAGACTTCAGGGTTCGCATTCTGCAAGAAAAACATTCAATTTAGATATTTGACAAATGAAAACGAAAGGAATTAAATACAGAATCCAGAGACCTTATAAATACTAGAAAAACTATTAAACTAACTACAAATAACTTTGAAGGAGTCAGAATTACCTCATTTAAAAAGCTGAAGCTGATGAAAGGATTAGAGCCAGCTGTTATCCACCTAGTCTGAATGGGTGAAACACACATCTTGTCATCGCGCAATTGTGATTCAAAAGCGAATCTCCGAACCAATGAATCGAAAATCCCCATCTGATATTTGGCTAGAACAATCTGATTGAAAAATTAACACTTACACAAACAAGAACAATATGTATTTTCACCATCAGTTGGAATTGTCAACGATCGATAACGAATTATCATTGTGTGCTGAAAAGTAGAGAGACTGGAGAGAACAATCTGACAAGTAAGTGAAGCTATTTGATAAAACACCTTCCACATCGTCAAGATTAAAGTAAATAATTGTCGTTTTATGTAAAACACATAAATTTTCCTACTGAAAATGAGATGAAAAAATATGCTTACACCACATGAAGTCAAATGAATAGATCTAACAGAATCAAATCCAGTTTTGATACACAGGAGAATTTTATTATCCTGTGTGGATAATAGAAATTAGCATAGAAGTATGTACCTCATGTAGAAATAATAGTTCACCATTCTCAAGTCCAACAACGTAAACATTTGATCCACGTCTAGCATCACTGCTGTTTCTGAAACTAAACCACTGCTTCTAACTAGGAAATTTTCTTACGAAGAAAAATACAAACAACTAATTGCTTTGATGCAACTAAAGAAATTCAACATTTTATACTTTTTAATACCTTTGAAACTTCAATTCACCAAGTAGGGCAAACTCTTCAGTGTTCCGAGATAACTCTACAGAAAATGACTAAAAACATTACATCATTGCCTCCAAAAACAAGCATCCTAGTCTGCACCCCGATGATAACAATCTTTACGTTTGATGGAATAGAAAACAGAACGCTTCGTATCCAATCGAAAGGTAATTCTGCTTCAGAAAAATCACATTTCAAAAGCACATCTAAAGACATTTGGATACGACCGATAGATAAACCCTGGTATGAAATTTTTGAAAAAAGAAAACAATAAAAGGACAAGTTGGATTGGGAATCAACCTGGGAGATAAATGGTGCATAAAAAAAATTAAATAATAATTTTAAAATAGGCGAGTCAAATATATTATGATAAATGGCATATGCAGCTCATAGAATATCAATTACTTTGGTAAAATTTGTATTCAAAAAACCCTTACCAATATGATAAACTATGTACAGTGAATATTGTAATGTAAGGTGAACTTCAATACTAGTCCTTTCTCATAAAAACGTAGAAGACCTGTTACTTCATAACAGTGGGATGAAAAGTTGATAGAACCTAATCATCTAATTGTGCGATTTTCATGTACATGATATTGTCCATTTTCTGAGAAAAATAATAGTGAGTGTATTTACGAGCAGTACCGCTCCAGTAGATGTACTTAACTCTTTAAGAAACGAAAATTCAACCGTGTTAGCATGACAAGAGACTCTAAGTAACAAATTGTTGACGAGGTTTTTTAAAGAAAAAATGATATAATTAATCAATGTAATATGAAACAACTGTCTGACCGTCTAGTAATCAATCTACCAGTCACCATTCTACACAGATACTAGTACGATTCTTGAACGACTTTTAGGAAAATCCTTGGCAAGTAACAAGCAAATATTGTCATACATCATAACGTTAAGTTTACTGTTATTTATGTCCCTGCTTCGGTTTGGGCACTCGTGTAATATGCCAGCCCTGGCATAAATCAAATGATATATGCGGCGCATATCTGCTTGATGCCTCCTCGAAATATTGTTTATGTGTTTAAATAAATAAATAATATACATTCACTTGTGACAACATTATCGTATGAGGCCGTAATGACTCAAAGCACAACAGAAACACACAAGTGATACCAGAGGAACTGATGCCTTTTCAATAGAAATGAATAAACTGCAATACTACTGCATTGAGCATGGATTATTTAGTGATATGTAACAAAAAGAAAATGAGGTCTCGGCAAATACTCAGTTAGCAGGGTTTTAGTTGGTAAAGGTAAGACAGGACAAATGCCGAGAACCGCTTGAAATATTTCATCGAAAATTATTTTGAAACATATGTTTTAACTAGTAATGATACTTACTGTTCGAACTTATGGTAACATAGAATGGGAGACTGAACGTGCAAAAAAGTTTTCTACACACAAAAAACTTTTTTAGTCAAAATAAAGGGGTGAAAATTATGAAGAAGTCACATTTGAGAAGCTATAACATAACCACTTTGCAAAAAAGAAAGTGAAGAACAATTCTACAGCTAACTTGTAAATTTATAGAAGTAACGACGGGATTCAAATGTGTTCCTAACTGCTTCAAATAGTTTAAATGATTGTGGACGGAAGAGAAGAAGCTTCCGGATAGGCCAAACGAAGCTAGGACCAAACACAAAATGTCGATTTTTTGGATATGAAGTAAGCCAATCATTTAATGGTGATTTGATACCCAATCGTTTGAGCTTATTGATAAGACATATATGGTTGACCCTATGAAAAGCTTTAAGAAAGCCAAGGTAAACGACGTCAACCTTCCCCTTGCGGTCAAGGATTTTTGTCTATCTGTCCACTGCTGATAAAACTAAAGGCTATTGCATAGTAGTATACAATCGTCTTCAAGTCTTGACTTGCAATTTCTCCTAGGTCCGTGTATGCCTGGATAAAAGGTAGCCCAATACGGTACTTGGTGGACAGTATTCATCATAATGCATTTGGGAGGCTTGATAGACAACTGGTGACTTCTGAAGAATGTGGGTGATCTTTGCAGATTATTTTTGAAGCTATAAACTATCATCCTCATTTTTATCGCATTACAGACCATAATATCGTCAGCCAATGACAAGACCGATGCTGATATGATACTATGGAAGATGGTTCACATACAAGAGGAATAACATTGGTCCCAAAACTATACCTCATGAAGCCGACGAGCAAAGTTTTCCAATTAAACATCCTGGAATTATTGCCCATCCTTTACCCTTGTAAGTTACCCTAAATCCCTAGATAGAGTTCAATTTCTTAAAATACTGCATATTCAGTGGCCAGGCAGTCATCTGCTTAAAGCTAGAAAGAGGTTAACAGTGGAAAACGAATAAAAAAATAAGAGAAAAATAATAACAAATAAAGTACTAATAATTTAGGAACAAAGAGAGAACAGGTCATATTTGGAGAAATAGTGTAAGGATAATGAGTTTGGCAATATTTATATTTTATATGCATAGACTAAGAAGCAATTCATGGTGAAAGAAACGTTATGGGTACATAAGTGACTGACTAGACTCTTATTAAAACATCCTACTAACAGGGGCTAGGAAGCCTCTTCAGTTAGGATAAACTCGTGGTAGAACCAAGTGGTGTCTCTTCTCAATATTTTCTCAATGATTAGCGATTCTTCAAAATGTCACTTTATTAGGCGTAGTTGCATGTTTCCTTTGTAATCACTCTACAGAGTTGACTTGGACTACAAAATATTGTGTGGACTGTGATCATGTCACCTCTTATTCATGCTTAACATTTTCATTTCGTACGAAACTGCAAAGACGAGTAATCAAAGATTTTGATATCATAGTAATAAACACTAAGTGCTGTAAGATGCACTGGGTCGCTAAATAGGCATTCGAAAACTTCGGTGGTCTGAAAAGAAGTTTGAGTAACCAGTTTTAGTCTCCTTTATTAACTGTAGTGTGGCATATCATTTATTTGTTTGAATGCGTCGAAAGAATGGGCTGATATTATTCAAATGAATAATTTTATGGATCCCTGTGATATGGGTAGTCAGAGTGCAGGTGCGAAATTCTCAAACTCTCTTTTGGGACTAGAACGAATACCATCTGAGATTACCAATTCTAGATGCGATAATTAAATATGATATACTTCTACGAAACTGTATGGTAGGAAACTTGTAGGGGCATTCGAATAGTATCATGATCCTTGAAGCTGAACCTGCAATAACTATCATTATTCAAGCTGGGCTGAAGATGACACAGGTATTCAGTGTTTGACAACGCTCCTACCAGTAACACCTAATATGATTTGTACCCACCGAAAGAAATCAGAAGACAGAGTCGAGGAGATCGGAAGAGTATATTTGACGATGACCAATATATCGGAATTCTCTGATCTAATCTGGCTAGCGACTGCAGTAGCAGTTGAGCACGGCGTTACCACACGTGATCTGGAGCGGATGCCTAACCGATCGCCTTCAGCTGGATGAGTCCATTAGAACATATGGTCAGCATCCAATGTCGAAAACTTACAGGGCTATTTATTTTGGGTTTTTTTCGCTACAGGGCGTTTAACAATAGGATTAAGTCAGTTAAGTACAAAGCGGAAGCAATTAGTCGAGACTCAATGGCTCAGCCGTCCTGGCTTGGTCACTTTATGTACCTTGTTGGTCTTCACGTATAATACTGTAGCGGTAAATAAATCCCCAAAATAAATAGCACTAAGTTTTCGACATTGGATGCTGACCATATGTTTTAGTGGACTCATCTAGCTGAAGGCGCTCGGTCAGGCATCTGCACCAGATCACGTGTGGTAACGCCGTGCTCAACATCAACCGCAATCGCTAGCCAGATTAGATCAGAGAATTCCGATATATTGGTCATCGCCAAATATACTCTTCCGATCTCCTCGACTCTGTCTTTTGATTTCTCTGGGCGGGAACGAAATATATTAGAAGGTGTTACTGGTAGAAGCGTTGTCAAACACTGAATACCTGTGGCATCATCATTGGTGAAACCGACGTGATCTGGTACACCTAATTGCAACTGTGAGTCTGTTCCTTTTTGGGATTTTTATATATCATTGCCTTATTTTTTTATTTTTTTAAACATTGTGATTTTTTTTCGTGTTTTTTCCTGGATATATATATATTCCCCTCGTTCATTATCGTACTTCATACTTCGTCATGACTGAACAGACACCTAAAGTACTCAAGCTTAAGACTTTGTCCCCGCCTTCGTTTCAACTGATGCCTTTCTGGCCCGACAACATCGAAGCCTGGTTTTGCTACGCAGAAGCCGACTTCTCCGAGCACGGCGTGATCGACACACGTGCACAATTCCTCGCAGTAGTCAAGGCACTACCGCGCGAATTCAACAGGTACGTAACACCTAGTATGTTTACTAGTGATGTTTCCGATCCTTACGAAATCTTAAAACGCTCGATTCTTAAACGAGGAGACCTAACCGATCGACAAAGGTTAGATCAACTCTTCAACAATATCGACCTGCAACGTGGTTCTGCGACAGACATGTTGCAACGGATGAGAGAGGTAATAGGCCCAAGAACTTTCGACGAAGGCCTATTCAAACAACTCTTCTTGTCAAAACTTCCCCAACAGGTGCAAGCAGTTCTGGTCTCGTTCCAGAACAATGCCGTAGACGAGCTAGCTGCATCTGCCGACCGCATATTAGAAATTACGAAATCTACTACCGAGGTATTTTCAGTCAAAGAAAAACCTCAAACGACTCAGAATGATATAAACGACTTATGTCACACACTCACGCGTTATCTTAGTCTTCGTAACGACCGTAAGAGATCGCGCACACCACGTAGAAGCATTTCTCGTAAGCGATCTGTCTCTAGACCACGAGAGACAGATAACCCTGACTGGTGCTGGTATCATAACCAGTATGGAAAGCTTTCCAGAAATTGCAGAAAACCCTGCGATTTTCCCAACACGAAACCGACTGATTCGAAAAACAATTCGGGAAACTTCCAAGCCGGCACGCGTTAACGGCAACCGTAGCCGGCGAACAAAGCCGTCTGTTATTCGTCACTGATGTGACAACGAGAGTTCGTTACCTCGTCGACACTGGCGCAGAAGTTAGCGTTCTCCCAGCAAATCCTAACGACCGACTACACGAATCGACCCTAAACTTACAGGCGGCAAACGGAAAACCGATCGCTACGTATGGCAAAAGGTACGTTTACCTTAACGTGGGTTTACGCAAACCCATCCACTGGATTTTCGTTGTTGCAGATGTTTCTATGCCAATCATTGGTATGGACCTTCTACAACACCACAATCTGATCATCGACACGCGCAAACGGAGGCTAGTAGACGGAAACACTAATTTGTCCGTTTGCGTAACTTCTTTTACTGGTTGTAGAGTATCCCCAGTCACAGTTAAACATATGATAGACCCACTCTATCAACCACTACTCGATAAGTACCCTGACATACAACAAACTCAAACGAAACTACCGTGTGTAACCAGCAAAGTTACACATCACATCACGACTACAGGACCACCTGTATTTTCTAAAGCACGACGACTAGCTCCTGAAAAGCTAAGGTTAGCGAAAAACGAATTCGATCACATGATGGACTTAGGAATCATACGACCGTCAAGTAGCCCATATGCATCTCCGTTGCACATGGTCCCTAAAAAGGACAGCAGCGATTGGCGTCCAACTGGTGACTATCGGCGATTGAACGCGAAAACCATTCCCGATCGTTACCCGTTGCCTCACACTCACGATTTGACAGCTACCTTGAAAGGTACAACTGTCTTTTCGAAAATCGACTTGGTTAAAGCGTATAACCAAATCCCTATGGCTACTGACGACATACCGAAAACGGCTATCATAACTCCCTTCGGACTCTATGAATTTTTGCGAATGCCTTTCGGTCTAAGGAATGCTGCTCAAACATTCCAAAGATTCATAGACGACGTTTTTCGAGGTCTCAACTTCGTACACGCGTATGTTGATGACTGTCTAATCGCAAGTCCGGACAGAGAAACACATCTCAAGCATCTGGATCTTGTTTTCGAACGACTTCAAAAACATGGCATAACGGTAAACGTTCAGAAATGCCAATTCGGAACCGACTCGTTAGACTTCCTAGGACACACTATCGATGCTCAAGGCATTCGACCTCTTAGGACCAAAGTGGCGGCCATTCTGGATTACCCAGAACCGACCACCGTCAAGCAATTGCGCACGTTTAACGGCCTGGTAAGTTTCTATAGACGTTTCATACCGAAATGCGCATTACTTATGAAACCTCTGACCGACCAACTTCGTGGAAATGCGAAATCCATTAATTTGGACGACACCGCACGAAAAGCATTCTCCACAGTTAAGGAACTGATTGCTAAAGCAACGATCCTCGCACATCAGGACACCCGAGCACCCATTAGCATCGCAGTAGACGCATCCGACTCGGCAATCGGAGGAGTCTTACAACAATGGGTTAACAACTCCTGGCAACCCTTGGCATTTTTCTCTAGAAGGTTGCTAGACACCGAATCGAGGTACAGCACATTCGGTAGGGAACTCCTAGCTATGTATTGTGCTGTACGGCATTTCCAACACTACATCGAAGGTCGTGAATTCACTCTTTTCACGGACCATAAACCGCTCACTTTCTCGTTAAGCTCTCCTTCTGACAAGTACTCTCCACGTGAGTCTCGACAACTGGACTACATTTCGCAGTTTACTTCAGATATTCAACACATCTCTGGAGCAAACAATGTAGTCGCAGACGCCTTATCTCGCATAACTTCCTTGAACAGTTTCCAAGGAATCGACCTTCTTAAACTCGCCGAGCTTCAAAAAGAAGACAGTGATCTTCAGCACGAGTTATCGTCCACAACACTTAAACTACGCATCAAACAGATGGGAACAGGTAAGGAAACCTTACTTTGTGACACATCTACAGGTAGGGATCGCCCAATCGTGCCGAAACATTATCGACGCAATGTCTTCAACACATTGCACAAACTTTCGCATCCAGGTGTTCGTGCAACCATCAAGCTTATAGCAGAAAGGTTTTGCTGGCCTGGAATGAATAAAGACGTGAGGGAGTGGGCACGCTCCTGTGTAAGCTGCCAAAAATCTAAGGTTATAAGACATAATAAATGTCCCTTAGGCTCGTTTAAAACTCCCGATGCTCGTTTCGACCATGTTCATTTGGATTTGGTAGGACCTTTACCAGATTCAAATGGATACTCTTATCTCTTAACCTGCGTAGACCGTTTCACTCGATGGCCAGAAGCAGTACCTATCAAGGACATCACTGCTGAAACAGTGGCCCGCACCTTCGTCGAACGATGGGTAGCAAACTTCGGCTGCCCTTCAACCATCACTACAGACCGCGGACGTCAATTTGAATCTGATCTTTTCCGTCGTCTGACCACTCTTTTAGGAATCACTCGATTCCGAACGACCGCCTACCATCCACAAGCAAACGGGTTGGTAGAACGTTTTCACCGACAACTGAAAGCTTCGCTATCAGCTGCAAACGTTTCACAGTGGACCGACGCTCTTCCACTCGTCTTACTAGGTATCCGCAATGCAGTGAAAGCTGACATTGGATACACTGCGTCTCAACTCGTTTACGGTACGACACTTCGACTTCCAGGAGAATTCGTGGATCCTTCATCCTCTGCGATGAACATGGATCTAACCTCCTACACGAACAGGCTTACAAACGCAATGCGTTCAGTTAAACCTGCATCCACTCGACCTCAATCAACTGATGTTTTCGTTCAACCTGACTTACGATATAGTACACGCGTTTTCGTTCGTCGAGACTCGCATCGACGACCATTCGAATCAGCATACGAAGGACCCTTCAAAGTTCTTCAACGTGAATCTAAGTACTATATAGTCGATAAGATCGGAACAAATGATAGCATCAGCATCGATCGCTTAAAAGCAGCGTATTTAGAAGGAAATCCTATCTACGTGGATTTTCCTTCGGTACAATCGAACGACACGACTCCGACACTTATAATACCTCACCCGACAACCAACACACACGATGATACTTCGACAGTATCCGAAAATAAACTTAAAACGACGCGTTCTGGAAGAAGGGTGAGATTTCCAGAACATTTAAACGACTATTGCACGTAAGGCACTTCTCGAAATTTTATATTATTTTTTTAAAAAAAAACAATTTTAATATGCTTATATATTTTTATTTCTATTTAAAAAAAAAACAAAACAAAACAACAATTTTTTTAACGCTATTACGTGTTCATGAGTTTATTTTCCATTTTTTTCCGCCGACATTGTGCTTTTACGCACATACGAGTGTATTTCGACATGCACTTACATTTTCTTTTTTCTTTTCCAGGACGGCTGGAAAAGAACGATGACGTTTATGAGGATCCGAAATTTTCCATGTACATTTTCTTTCTTTACTATGTTGTACCTCCGTCCCATATAGTAAGGAAAGACGACCAGACGCTGCTAAATTTAGTAAGCTATCAGAAGAGTGTTTACCAACGACAAACTCGTTGGGTTTAAACTTCTGGCTGGCCACGTCTTAGGGTCGTCACTGCCCCACTAGGGGGGGAGTGATCTGTAGCGGTAAATAAATCCCCAAAATAAATAGCACTAAGTTTTCGACATTGGATGCTGACCATATGTTTTAGTGGACTCATCTAGCTGAAGGCGCTCGGTCAGGCATCTGCACCAGATCACGTGTGGTAACGCCGTGCTCAACATCAACCGCAATCGCTAGCCAGATTAGATCAGAGAATTCCGATATATTGGTCATCGCCAAATATACTCTTCCGATCTCCTCGACTCTGTCTTTTGATTTCTCTGGGCGGGAACGAAATATATTAGAAGGTGTTACTGGTAGAAGCGTTGTCAAACACTGAATACCTGTGGCATCATCAATACATTATCTATAACATGACAAAATGTGTTCTTCAAAGGTTCTTAAAAACAACTTACAAGATAGGACGAGTCAGCACAGACATTGATGTAATTATAACGCAAAATAGTATTCAATAAACAGACGCATCATGCTGACTCCTTAATATTAAATTTCGTCTATCACCAGTATGTTATTGAAGCTCTATCTGTCGACGCTTTCAAAAGAAAGTGATATCAACTAAGAGATACCATTGAAAAGACGAACACAGGCCATCTGGAATCCTGTTCTTTACAAGCTGAAACTGATTTGTGCCTAGGAAATATTAAATCCTTAATTACCCATTAAATTCATAAGATAAGAGCGGGTGAATAACTAGAACATTCACTTTAGACAGGAGAAAAAGCCTGAGACAGCATATTGGAATCACTATGCGACAACATAGAGATTTGTTCGTTCATGCAAGCTCGTCAAAAAGATATTGGACAGTTTCTCTTGTTTAAATTACTAAGAGTTAGAAATAGCCATAACAACTACATAGACGGAATATGATTCAGTTTTCTAGTAGCTCGGAATGGCAAGAAGAAGGAAGAAAAGTAGAAAAAGTACTGGTTCCTCCAGGAAAGAAGAACTGACTTCAAGTGTCGCTTCCAATGTTTTGTATGATCCTGAAATTTATGAAGCGCAGATTGGGATACTGAAAAAGAAAATTAGAGAGTATTTTATTCCTATATTTATAAAACTACTAGCTATCAGTACGTGATCGATAATTATAAGGATCTTATTCTTCAAACAACGTCTAAAGTCCACAACATTGAATCAGATGGCAAGGGACTTATCACATATTTACAAAACTGCATTCAAAATAAAGGTTAAGTACACCCACGTTTTTTTAACAATAGAATATAGATAGGGAAATCCTTGGTTTGAAACAAAATCTCAGCACTTTACTTAAAAGGATGAGTGAAAAGCAAAAAGAACACAACAAAATTGTAGTCAGTCTGAGGCTTGAAATCGAGGCTATTGAAGAAAAGTTGAACTCAGAGAAAGCAGTTTTGAGTACATTTGTTTTTCTTACATTGTGATTGATATATATGTAGCGGGAAAAGTTGAGTCTCTCGAAAATTTTAGTGTTGAGCGAGCTCAACTGCAATACAAGACAACAGAAATACAAAATTTAATCGAAGAAACATTGGAACTCAATAAGTCCATATATCATGAAAAGGATTTAGAACTAACTGTTTCTCAAGACCGGTAAGTTCTAATGTATTCAAATAACAACCTTGCTGTTCATTTATGAAATCATGTTTTTTTATTTTTCATAAAACTTTCCTCAGCAATCTGTTCGAGTAGATTAACTGAGGTTAGGATCACTAGGCGCCATTGTATTTTTGATATGTTGGTTAGCTATTTGTAAGTCAGACCGTATTCATAGTATCAATGTTTTTAAAAGACTCGATGTTTTTGCTGGTTCAAAAACACTATTCTACCTTGTGCCGCGCAGTTTTTCGAGGGTTTCCTTAAGCTATAAGCCGTCACATACCATGCAAACAGAACCATTTTTACAACGGTTTAATTAGATTTTTCCCGCCAAAAGTTAACGCTTCATGGAGATTTTGAGGTAATAGATTTTGGCAGAAAATCCAATAAGCTTCTGTTACTAAAGTCTCTATTCTATATTTACACGTAATATGAAGTGTAAATAAACAATAAAGACATACAGACAATCGATGAATGCCTGTCAAATCTATGGATTCTTCCAGTTTCAGTTTGAGAAGGACAGGAGGCCCGATGGCCTTTGTTAGTCCTGGCAATGGTGGTCCCTCAGTTGATTCAACTTTCTTTTGAAAGAATCGACGGATAGAGCCTCAACCACGTGCTGAGGTAATGAGTTCCACTCGTTGATGATTCGATGGGAAAGTTGATAGTCAGCTGACAAGTTCTGGGCTTGTGAACCTTTTTAGAGTGTCCTCGTAAATTCTCTGTTTTGAAAGACAAGAAAAATGAGGGCATATCAGGTGCAAATTTGGCACTAGGCAATTTGAAAACTGTAATCAAGTCGCCTCTAGTTCTGCGATATGACAACAGGAAAAGGTTCAGCTCGGCCAGTCGAGCTTCATACGGAAGCCTCACTATTCCGGGAATCAGCTTAGTTGCCGTTCTCTGAACCTTTTCCAGAAGCTCACTGTCTTTTTTTAAACAGAGGCTGGCCGCTTGTATGCAGTACTCAAGTTTAGGACGTACGAACACTGTATACGGAATCAAAAACGTCTTAGCGTCGACATGACTAAAAGCCCTATGTATTGACCATAACGTCCTAAAACCTTCAGCAGCTATTGCACGGCAGTGTGCAGTAGTCTTTAAGTCTTGGCTAACGATGACTCCTAAGTCATTACATGTCTGGACGACAGGTAGCTCAGTGTTATTCATCGTGTATGTATCTGTACCTTGATGACCAGTATGCATCATAACACACTTGGAAGTATTTATCGGCAACTGCCAGGTTTGAGGCCATTCAGATAATATCTTCAGGTCATTTTGAAGTTCTAAGCCTTCACCCTCACATCTTATCGTACTCCATATCTTGACATCGTCAGCATATAGCAAGACCGATGATGATAGGAGACGAGAAAGGTCATTTACATACAAGAGGAATAGCACTGGCCCCAAAACTGTACCCTGGGACACTCCAATAAGCACAGTTCCCCAGCTAGATAACTTTGAGTTCACCTGAACTCCAGTAACTATGTTTGCACAATCTCTGGGCTATGTTTCAAGTGACCGTATCGCAATTAATTTCAACATAAGTGTTCCTGTTTGTGTCGAATAAACGATGAAAATCATAAGCGAATTGATAATATAAAAGTTAGGAGATTAAAGCCGCTGGAGAACTATCGTATTTAATTTAAATAAACGCGCTATAGTTGACCGCTGTAAAACGTTTGTATTTGTTCCCGCAAATCGGGCTTTTTGTACAAGTTTAATATTAATCCTAATTTCTTTCAAATAATTGCACAAAAAGCTGAGCAGACAAATATAGAGTTTGCTTACTAATTCTGACCTCACCAAACCCTCAACCACTTAACACACTGAGGTCTGTGTATAAGGGTTGTAATTGAACTTTAAGTTAGAGCCGTAACACGACTTAGGTTTTGATTTCCGCTCAGTCACAGTGTTACATTCGAATTTTAAGCACATTTGAGGTACGGAACCAACTTCCCTTTATCAAAACAGTTTCCTAATTAGATATTCTTGTCTCGATATAACAAAAGGTTAATCAGTTTATGCCATCATTAGATATTTCATCATATGATTATTATTGGGATATTCTTTTAGTGGACTTATTACTAGGCTGTGAAATCGTCTGCATGTGAAATTTTAGGACTTAACAATTACCCGGAAATATGGTTATTGAGGAAAACGAGTGCAAATAATTACAAAAAGGGGTCCCAGAACTTCTGTAAGAAACGTTCAAATTAAAAAATCTGTTAATGAGCTGTCAGTGGATAGAGTAAGACAACTAAACTGTTTTTGTCACAGTAATTACAGATATCAGAGAGATCAGATGAACTTACTTCAAAGAATTGTAATTAAAATATGAGGATATGAGAAGTGATTATGGGGAGAGAACATTTTCAAATGCAAAATCAGTGATAAAAACAAGAAGCAATTGTTTTTACATCACGTCCAGGTTTGGTAATAAATAAATAAATGGAACTGGATGATTGATGACGTGTTGCATGATAGTAGTTTTCAAAAAGTCAGTATTTGGAATTGAGTACAAACTCCTGAATGTTATTTTTGTTTCCCTAGTTCCATTACCCGATGATTCATCTGAACGTATTGAAATGTAACAATAAGTAGATAGAAGGCGACAATAAAGTGTTTTGTAAAAATTATTTGTTAATCCAAGTTATTATACTTTGAGTTAGAAGGAAAAAGTAGTAAAAAATTAAACATTAGATGAACAGAATGATGATAAACCAGTATCAAACAACTATAAAAACATAGAAATTTAAAGAGCAACCAACAATAAGATTTACAAACAATTATATATCTGTGTCTACAAGATTACGGTGATTGAGAAAACACTGGTGGCCAATACAAATACTAACTATAATCACATAGCAAGTTTCAATGAGGTAAATTACATATATTTATGGTCTAACGTCACATCAAAATAACTGTCAGATATATATATATATATATATATATATATATTTAGTATCCCAATGTGTAGAAAAACTGAATTTCCTGAAGTTTCGTGACTCGGTGTAAGGCACTTCTTCAGAGAATAAATAGTAACTATCAGAGACATAATTAGTTAGTTCAGCAAACTACAAATTGAACCAATCTGCACAACTTCCCTTTGCTAATCATAATGAGGTTTATCTCATGTCACTCCTACATCGACCCGCAAATTATATTATAATTTCGAATGATTTGAAGTAAATATTTTTCCACAATCATCTTATCCAACAAAGATGAACAAACTGCATCACATCAGTTTCATAAAATTTAGTTTCCATCCAACTATGCTCAAGATCTTTTTGGGTAGATTAGATCCCATTTACGTGTTTTGGAGATTTTCCAAAAAACTAGTTTAAGCTCTTGTCATTTTATTTATGGTAAGACATAGTTAAATTTAAATAAAAGTTTGTCGAACACTTGTTTTGTTGTTAATATTGAAATCTTATTGTTTTAAAACAATATGCAAATTACAGATTATTCAAAGAGATGTTAAGCAGGGTTTCACACTTGGCCGGCGAATTTCGAATCGGCACAGAGAAACGAGTTAATAAAACAGAACGTCGAACATTAGAATACAATTATAAACTTAATGACAAGTTGGCAAATCTAAGCAACAAAATATCCCATATCATGGGTAAACATAAATCTTATAAACAAGCTACAAGACAATTGAAGCATGATATAAACGTACTACAGGAACTAAGAGATCAAATGCATAAGAACTGGTCGAATCATATCAAAGTAAGTAAAATATCAGTTTCTAACCGGTGAAATTTCTGTCTATTGTGGTGAAAGTAAAAGTCAATGGTCGAGGCACTTGTATGTTAGTTACTTTGAGATTTGGTTTGAACTTCTGACTTTACGTGAGGAAGTAAATATCAATAATATATGAAGTAAATAAAAGTGTTTTACAATGTGTATTTCAAACGAGAACGCATATATGATTTTTGGCTCTATTAGTTTCTTTTGAATAATTTTATTCGATAATCAATAGATTAATGGAATTTGCCAAAGGATACTAATTGTAGTGAGTTGTTAAGCATATCCAAAGGAAAAACATTTGGGAAATATTTTTTACAGATCATTCTTTGTAAACCCATTCACGTCCCCATATCACAGCAGTTGATAGTAAGAAGATGATGTTTCCTTAAACCTTTTTTAATACATCCCTTTTCGTGTATATTAATTGTTTATATAAATCTGAAAAGCTTGAACTAATATGGTATTTAATCATTTCTTTTAACATTGAGAACAGTTATCATTGATGCAACTGACATAATTGCACCATGAATAGGTCTATTTACTTTGAACTGACTTAAACATTTCACTATTTACACTTGTGTTAACTTGAATCAATTTATTTTTCTCTGACAAAGAAATCACAAGTCCAATTTTCTGCTCTTTCGGACATGATAAATACCATTTTCATAAACAATTCACGATAAGTAGCTTCATATAACGTAATATCTAATAGCTCTTCATATTTTTCAAATGTACACTCAAGATTAAATTAGCGACTAATTCTTCTAAAATATTTAAAGCATTTCAGTAAGTTTATAAAAGTGTTCTCCATCTCTTTTACTTTTTTTTTCTGAAGTCTTTAAAAGGTTCAGTATCCAATTGTTTAGAAAAAGAACAGAAATTATCTTCAATAATGAAATCATTTACAAGTGACAAAACTATCGACTCAATGAACAATGATTTGTTTGACGAACAAATAAAATATATTAGTACGAAAGAAATTCGACTAAATGATGATTTACAAACATTAAGGTTACATTAATAACTGATTGTTTATTTTACAGCATTTTCTTTGTTGATACAACAAAAGTGTTTCCTTTTTTTACACAAAATCATTCACATTATACGACTAGCCTTAAGTTACACATTTAATAGATCAATTTTATTGTTTTACATTCTAAGTTGAGAGATTCAAATAAAATTTAACGAACAACAAAAAATTATTCATTTGAACGAAGATACCAAAAGTTATTTATTGAGTCAGATTAAATTTAAAGAAACAACGTTGTTACTAGGAGTGATATAAGAAAATGAAGTTCAACGTATATATCTGGTTTAATTTTGTTTTGCGATCAGTTTTTCTGCCCATGATAATCATTCAAACAAAATATAGCTATATTATAGTTGTTCAAAAATGAGAGTTTTCTTGGGTGCTATTTATTTAGAAACCATTAAGGCAGGTGGTTTAATAAAACTAATCAGGCACTGAAGGAAATGAACTGAATAAATGCTTAGAATCAAAGAGCATTTTACAATCATATTTTTCCTAGTCCGAAACTTCATAGAACTAACAGTTATTGTTTGAAGTTTAAGATCCCAAACACTATAGTCTAAATGTCATTTTGTTTGTTGATAGATCTGAAGGTTGAGTTTGATCTTATGAACACTAATAAAAATCCTAAAACTAGTTTCCTTTTTCATTCCAGTTGAAATTACGTTGAACTAAATTGTATCTGCCAAGTAAATTGTGACAAATTATTGCATATAATAAAGAGTTTGATATAAATTTACTTTTTATCGAATGCTAATGGGGTGATTAATTAAATAAAACAGTTGCTTACAAAAAGAAAATCAATGTGACAATCCAAGATGAACAGTATACAATCATCAATAACTGAATAAAGCATTAGATTTTAGATGAATAATGATGTGATCGGAAACGGGCTATTTAAAGATTTAAAAAATATTTCAATTATTGAATAGTTCATTTGTAATATTTCAAATTTGTTATTCATATATTTGTCAAGAAGTATGGTAACATATGGTTACTAAGTTGTTTACCACTTAAATTCCATCAGTACTTACTTGTATTTCAAATTATAGATTCGCATTCTTAGTTTATAGAAATTCTCTAAAAAATTATTCAATAAGATATTTAATTTAACAAGTATATTATTTTATAACTTTTTAAAAGATCTAAGTACGAGCATACATTATTTCAATATGAAGAATACATGGATCTGAAGGATAAAGAACTTTATCGTTTGAATCAATTAATTAAAGCTAGGAACAGTCTGTGTCAATTAGTGTTTGATTGCAAAACTGCATTATGGGAAGCCTATGAAGTAAGCTTACTTTATATTATTCACGTTGATCTGTTCGAACTGGCCTACATGTCATTATATATATAAGAAATTTATTCCGGTTTCTATGTTTAATTTTGTATTTCTGTACATAATTTCCTTAAACAGATGTCAGAACCGGAAAATGCTATGAAACTGAATTTAACTGAACGAATTCAACGTCATGATCATTTATTGACTGCATTCTTTATCTTAATTTATACATGTGATCAGCTCATTTCACGTATTACCCCATATCAAATCGGGGACTTTCGATTAAGTCAAATAACCAGAAGTATACCCTCAGCATCAATAAAGCAGTCATCACGTGGTAATAAGGTTATGTTTAGTAATTCTCTGCATACATTTTCCGGTTCTTCATTGGCTAAAAGTGACAACCAGACTAGGAAATTTTCATCAAATAACAATGAATCTAGTGGATCATTGTTGGATTCATGTGGAAAAGATTGGTAAGTCATTGATTCAGTGATTTTGGTATGTAAAATTTTTAGAAATAATACGTGAAATTTTTTGTCTAAGACAGTAGTTAACAGTGGAGTCCAAAACGTATGTTTTGTCTCGCTTGGGACTCACTAATTGCAAATACCTGCATCTCAATATTGATATCGAAACTCGAACACGATACTATTTCACACCAAACATAAACCCGCGCTATCTACTGAACTACTAAGTCTAGACAACCACTAACGTTGTTGATATTAATACAAATACTAACAAATGATCAGGAAATTCTGTAAATCAGTCAAGTACTATAGGCTTTAGGTAGAGTTAGAAGACACATAATTTCGTAATCAGCGATGAAAGAGATATCTGAAGCGGTTACTAATTTATTATTGCAACTATTCTCAACTAAGTAATAATCATAAAATCACGTTATGGAATAGGCCGATAAGAAAATTCGTTGTTGACATGGTAGACATGAAATAACCATGTAATTTCTTAATCTCACAGGCTAGTAGTTAGTGATCAAATACCCGTGTATTCTTCAATCATTTATTTCAAACTAATCTAAATGGTTTACTTCTGTACCTAATCCTTTGGTTATCAGTGCGTCAGATTGGTTAAAAGTGGTATTTTCTCAATCTTTTCTTTCTTCTGATTTCCGTTCATTCAAGAGTACCACATCATTAATTATGTATATATAAGTACTCATCACTCGATTGCACATACTAACACAAAATGTTGGCAAGTCAATTGAAGCTAGACTTGTACACCAATGAATGCCAGCTCAGTTGTCTAGAGGTTGTATTCACGCGGAGGTCCTGAGTTCGACATCTGCTTTAGTAGTCATGGATGCGCACTGATGAGAAGTCCTACATAAAAACGAAACGGCCCTTCAGGTTTTCAATTGTTATCTAACTTGGATCAATCCGTGGTATTAATGAATTTTAATAACCTGCACGAACCCATATTGATGAGTATTTTCTCGTTACATAAGGTCTGTGATGACTATTGGATGAAGGAAATCTTGTACTCAGTAGATGTGCCTCAAAATCAAGCACCTGCAGTTCTAAAATCGAATATTGAGCTTTTACATGATTGGGTTCCAATATTTTAGTGTAGAAATTTTAACTTGGCAGAGAAAAACATGCAGTGTTGTCGTCATACAACAGTGTAAAACCCACAACTTCATGCTGAAGTGTACGACTGTTGTTCTCAGACTAATTAATGATAAGCTATAGGGTCAATAAAATTGTGTGTTTTAGTAAAGCAAGTACTGGTTCGATAAAATCACTTATAAATAGTAAAGATTTGTGCTCAAGTAAGTGGTTTCGATTAATCTCGAGGTAATCGTCAGACTAAAGGAGGCTTCTTTCTGTTAGTCAGCCGCTTAACTTGAGGTAATAAAGAATAACTTCGTTAAATTGGTGAATCTGGACCAGTCATGGTTAGTTTTTGGTTAAAAGGACCTAGGCTTCAACCACCAATCTACTTCACTTCGTTTGGACTAGCTTTCATATAAAAACTGGCCCGAAGTTAACTATATAAACCTTTACTTGGTAGATGAGTTATATTTAATGAAGTTTGGATACTTCATTTTAATTGTTTTGGTGGCACCAGGTTAGTTATCACTATCTTATACACTTAAAATTATTTTGTGCTTATTTATACGAAGATGTCACTTATTCAAACTGCTTTTTAAAACCAATTGTTCGTTTATTCAGTGATTCAACATCGAACTTCCCATTAGCATTAAAATTTGGTTTAGAACCAATAGACGATGTAAAGCAAAATATTTCCACTACTAATTTAATTAAAGAATTATCAAAATGTTCACGTCAATCATTAAGACGAACTAACACACCAGTTTTACATTCAATAGCTGTGCAAACTGATTCATTATTCGCAAGTCATAAACAACCATCAAATTTATGCAAAAAGAGGAGTTTAAACAAAGCGTGTTTTGCAAGAATTAGTCGTGGAATTTTACAACTTCCACTGATTAATTCAACAATTCTAGCACCAAAGGAAGATTATGATGAATTGTACAGATTTAATATACAATCAACTTATAAACAAAAGTCACCTATACTACCAAGTTTATACAAATTGGCTAGAATGTAATTCAGCTTATATATAAATGTTAACTGTTGAAGTATAATTATTGAGCCACAGGTTCGAACCATGTAGCAGCCAGAATTTTCCTGATGTTTCTTATACACTTAATGGGATTTTCAAGTATTAATGATATTTCAACGATTTCAATCACTATATTTGTCTGAATCTTAACTTTTCGGAGTTGTGATGTCAAGTCAAACATCCTTTTTATTGTATGAACATTTAGTGATCTTCATTTGATCGCTTCAAAAAACAATATGCACCTTGTATTTTTTTTATAATCTTGTTTAGTCACTAATTTTATTTATTTCGTTTGCCAATATGATAGATAAGTATAGACGTTTCATTAATTATTTTCAAGTTCATCTTAGGATTTATCAACTATTCCTAATTTCAGTGTGACACGAGAGATCAATTTCAAGTAGGAGCTTCATTAAAAAAGATTTTTAAAAATTTTGAAAATTGTTTTTTGATGAGTCAAAAGTAAAGAAATGAAGTGCGAAAGAACATGTGAAAATGTTTGTGTTTGACTTGCCTAATCTTTTAGGCTAGCTTTTGACAACTTGCATCATTTATGGCGTAGGCGAGATATCCGTCTATCAACCAAAGGTCCGTCAGTCAGTAACAACGTAGAACTTCGTACGTACGTACATCAGTTCGAGTTGCCACACCACATTAGCATAGAGATGCAGTGGTTGATTCAAATCCCGTGGTGGTAGAGGTAATAAGAGTATAAGCAGTAATCGGAAAGATTAGGGTTTGGAGAAGTTACTTAAAGAGTATAATCCAGTGAAATAAATTTGGAAAGAGGAAAAATGGGACATGAAGTATTCAGAAGATTAGAATTCGGGAGAACACAAAGAGTGGATGCACCTGCACATTGCAAACGATTTTGAGCCATGTCATTCAGTGTTTCTAACCATCGGTTGCTGTCATCTCGCGGTCCCCAACCAGGTAGTCTACACCTACCAACATGACTCAGTTCACTTGTCAGTGACTTCATGGACTTGTGCCATGTTTTGGTTTGGCCGCCCCTAGCTTTCTTCCAACCTACTCCTATACCACTGAACATAGCACGTCGAGGTAGTCGGTCGTTGGGCATACGTAACACGTGTCCCAGCCATCTCAACTGATGAAGTTTCACTACTTCGTCAACCGATTTGCCATCCTTACCTAGTACCCGTTTCCTAACAACTGCGTTACTTACTCGATGGTCCCAGAATATACGAGCAATGTTTCGAAGACACCTATGACCAAATACTAGTAACCTACGAATATCCTCTACTCTTATCGGCCATGTTTCACTGCCATAAAGTAGGATGGAACGAACTGCTGCACTGTAAACCCATCCTTTGGTTGATAGACGGATATCTCGCCTACGCCATAAATGACGCAAGTTGTCGAAAGCTAGTCGAGCCTTCTGTATCTGTGCTGAGATTTCGTCACACACCAGACCACAAGGGCTGATGAGACTTGCAAGATAAGTGAAGCTATCGACACGCTCAATTACTTCACTCCCTATCATTAGTTGGGGTTTCGATGCAACCCAATCCTGAAGCAACATTTTGCATTTCGAGGGGGAGAATCGCATCCCGAACATGCTTGCATTGTTGCTTAGAGTGGTTAGAAGACTCTGCATTTTGTCAGCGTCTTCGCCAAATAAAGCTATGTCATCAGCATGTTCTAAGTCAACAAGTGAACCTCCCGGTAGAAGTCCAACCCCTGAAAATTTAGATGAGGAGAGTGTTATCTCTAAAAGTACGTCCACGACAAAGTTGAACAAGAATGGGGAGAGTGGACAGCCCTGACGAACACTACTTGAGGTAACCAATTCTGATGACAGTTCGCCATAAGCTCTAACTCTACCAGTTGTATTAGAGTAGATAACCTGTATAAGGTTAATGTACTTCTTTGGTACTCCTTTCATTGACAAACACTGCCATAGAACCTGACGATCAACAGAGTCAAATGCCGCCTTAAGGTCGACCAAAGGGCGTGTTTACTGCACAGCAGTTTGCACCGTCCTTTATTATGGCAGTGAAACATGGCTGTTGATATAATGTTATCATCATATTTGGATGGTATGTTTGTACTTTTAAAATGATTGAGCCAACTGTAGTACAAGTGGTAGTCAAATAGTTACTTACACAGTATTTAGTATATGGACTAACCATAAGCTCCTCACGTAAACTACACGAACCAAACAGTATGGCAGCTTAGTGAGAGTTGACAGTTTAAATTAATTTCATAAATTACTTTTGGTACAATTCATTGAATAAACAATAACGTAGAAACTGCGACATTACAATTAACTTCAAGTAGCTTTCAATCAGACGGGAATGTCGTGTCGAATGCTGATCTAAGGGTAGATCTTTTATTTTATTGTGTTTCAGCACATTTGTTATGTCCTGTAAATTCCATGCCTTTCCAAACTCCGAGTAAAAGTCAGGACGAATGAACACAAATAGTAAATTCTACTCATGGATGACGTGGATACACTACCGAAATATGGGATCGATAACGTACAGTTTGGAAATTTCGATAAGTTAACAATTATTGGGGTTCTTAACACAAATCGGCCCAAACATTTACAGTTGTTTATTACTTTTTGAACAGTAAAAGAATACAACAACAGTAACAGAGATGAAAGAAATCTCACAATTAAGATTCAATAAAACACAATTATACACCTGTTTGATAATTATTTGAGAATACACGTGGCAAATCTATTTAAAAAATACCTGAGAAAACACAACCCAAACATAATTAAGTGTTAAAATAACTGCTAATTTTATTTTACTTCCTTCCCCCAAAAAGCAGATTCACTAACATTCAGGAATGATAGGAAACACATTATTACTAGTTTGTATGGAAACTCGTCTGTGAATGCTTGCGGTATTTATAATGACAAGAATAAAGTATGATAAAACGATGAAATTCGAGACGAAAAAAAGAACATAAAGCGATTAAAAGAGTATAGAATCTATAAAGTCAATATACATGAAAATCAATGGTTCAAGGCATGTATGATCAAATAATAGTAACTTAAGAATGTCACTTTTTAAATCCATCTTTCATAACGATAAATGAAAATCGAGTGAGCTGTTATGCAGTACACTCACTTCTTAATTAGAAGACAGACGTCTTAGTCTACGCAAAAATTGATGGAAGCTGACAAAAAGCCAAGCGAGATTTCCGAATCCACGCCGAAACTTCATCAGACACCAGGTCTGGTGATGTTTCAGAGATGGTAAGCGCATTCAACTATCTTACTCCCTACCATTAATTTAGGCATTAGTGGAGCAGTTTTAAGGAAGAACTTCGAATTGAGAGGCAGAGAAACGCATCTCACACATAATTGCCTGATTCCTCATCGTGATCAGAAGACTACATTTTGTCACTACCTTCATTTAGAAGAACCGTCATTTATTTGTTCTAGCCAACTACTACCTGAAAGATCATTGACGGTACAAAAGGCAAATTTAAGGAAATTAATGCTGAGGAAGTGGTGAATAAACGGATTTAAGGATCTCTGAAAACTTTCTACTTAGCTAAGCTTGATATTATCTACTACAAACGGGCTACCATTCATGTGTTAAGGGTAAACTTTCTCTTTGGGCCACATCGATGTGCATAAATAGCTTTATTTGTTATTGAGGGACAGGTTACATTGATTTCACTAAGCAAACACTTTCTGAACGCATCTCAGAACAACACATAGCGTGGATTTTTAAAAAAGGAATCCAAAGCAATCAGAAACTCAGTACAGGAGCATATTTTCCAACTCCAGGCAACGTTGCCCCAGAAGAATCACTCTTCAAAAGAATCTACATGAATAAGGAGAGGTTGAGTAAAAAAACTTCTGTACTGCTGAGGCGACGGCGATTTATTAATTCAAGTCTGAACACTGTGTCCAAAAGCGACACGTGCAACCTCTAATTTTGCCTTTGGCTTGACACTTTTCATAATGCCTTTGTTTCGTTCTCATATATTAATTGCACCACGAACACGAATGTATAGCTTTAGTAGATATTGTCGGAATGTTCTCTGTTGAGTTCTCTTTATTCGATGACAATGGGTTACCTTAACATTATTGGATGAGCAAGTCATGATACTATAACTCTATTGAGACGATAAGATTGTATTCTTGATGTGAATTTAGTTGAAACGAAAATTACAAAACTTTGGTACAACTTAGAAATTGATTAGAAAAAATTCCTTGAGCTTACTGCTTGTGAGAGGTCTGGAAAATATTATGGATTAAAAAAACTTCCCGACATTGTCCAGTAACTTGTTTTTAAGTAAATGAAAGATTTTTTACAGGGTTATTTTTAAGTTATAACTTGTTCAAAACTATCTGTAATCTAATTACCAAGTTCACATTGATCACTGATATATCCAATATGCGGTTACTGATATATAGAGGACGTGACTTGATCAGGAATTAATTACGGAATAAATAAAACGATATGTACTGCTGTCACATGTATGACAATATATTTTTAGGGTGAAATAAAAAATACGAAAGAACGGGTAGAAATTAAAAATAGAAAAAGACAAAACCTAAGTGATACTTGAATAACAGATAATCCACGCAAAAAACTTAAAATGAATGTTCATCAAACGATTAAATCATTTGACCGAAATAGATATGTACGCGTTACAACCAAAAATAATTGCAGATTAAATATTTTTAGGTGTGGCGAAAAAGACTAAAAAAATGACAAAATACCATTAGCGCACATCATATTTTTTGTAGGAAGGGGCCAGGTATCAGGAAAATTACCACCAGAACTGGTAACAAGGGTTGAATAACTACATTGGTTTTGGTTAGGTAACAAACCTGAACAGTCATTAAAAATAAATTTTGTAAATTCTTCAACAAGTAGATGATTAGTAGCTTCAAGATGATTACGGTTATTAGTGGATAGTAAATTCTGATTAGATATTTGAGCACAAACTGCGTGATTTAATTCCATGTTAAAAATGGGCAAACCTAGACGTAAAGTAATGAAATAGATTGGTTTATGCTCTTTCATAATAGTGAGCAATTCATTTTCCACTAAAACAGCTTTCCTAGAACAATTGTATTCACTTTTTTGTTGATCGCGTTGTAAAATGGAGTCTGTGCTAGTTAATAGAATGTTTTGGTCTTCTGAAGCTAGTTTATTCAGATCTTGGTCGTGTTCACACTTGTTCATTGGAGCCAGTACTATGATATATCCAGAGACATAGGTTAAATCGATAACGTTCATAAGATGTATTATGAATTCTGGTACACAATTGGATGAATGTTGTAGGAATTCCTTGGAAATAGGTAAAGGTATGTACCTCTGGGATAAATTTTCTTCAAATTCATAACTTTCGATAGCCTTTTTCAAAGAAAAAGGTTTGAGCAAAGCAAAGTGAAAGTAACCAACTATAAAAGATCTAAGAGATGAAAAATCATTAGCACTTTAACTGGAACCTAATCTGAAATATGGAGATATTATGTTAAAAAAATTTTGGTGGCTACGATATGACTGTGATGGCAGGTATTAGATATCCTCCCAACTATAGGAATCTCAACCAAATCGACGTGGGTTGAATGATAGTAATTCTGTTTTTGACTTATGTCTTGAGATTATAGAAAAAAGTGAAATTTATGGTAACAATCACCATTACGTTGTGCAACCTTTCTCATCGGATATTTGAATAGCAAGTCGCAAGCGGTGCCACGAAGTACTTCGGAGTCTGTACTGAATGAACGGACAATCAGTGTTTGATTTTTAGTATCAGTCAGAGAAATTATTTTTAAAAATACACTGAAAAACAGTAACATCTGTGATAAAGAGCCCTTCAAGGAGGTACCATAAAATCCTATTGTCTGAACAGACTGTAAGAACATGCAAGAATTCAACTTCAAGGAACATTAAAAGGCTTTTTTGATAATAACTCGCTGTTTTCAAGTGAGAATGATTTAATTTTTGGTATACATAACAATGGGACAACACATATGAGTATACTTCAGCTATTCGACTTTATTATATAACAGGTTGTTTTTGATTATAGAAATAGACCTGTTTTCCCATCGGGAAATGTAGAGGAATAATGCCAAATGTAATACGTCTGCTCTCGTATTATCCACAAATTATCACAAAGATAATGAGTAATGCGTAGTTACATTGTATTTAGTTTTTAGAGCGGGATGCAGTAGATCGCACTGAAATACGGTGATAGGTTTGGTCAAGTAAGTAATCACAACTGAACCAGTCGATCGTGAGAACACCTGATTATAATGTAAAATCATAGCATATCTAACAGAATATTAAATTGATCAAGACATACTAACAGTTAAAAATAATTAGACCTTAAGTTTTTGTTAGACTATCATATTTTCAAAGCGAGGTACGATTTTTGACAAAACATATGGCCCCTTGTAAGATCAGAAAACTCTAACTAGTTCGGAAGTCTTAATAACCCACTAGAACAACAGGGATCTATGATCATAATTCACAACAATAAGATATGATGGAAGACATTTATACAGCACAAGTGTCATGGTGAAAACATCCCTCAAGCATTATTTACTTGTAGTGGGATCATAGAATCTTGCGATTGTGTTGTGGTCAAAGTAAGAACAAGGTAGTAAAGGTTGTGTAGTTTTATAAATCAAGATGGCTAGAAATTATATCAGGTATATTGATTAGCTGTTTACCTGGACGTCCGATAATAGATGTAGAGGAATTGAATTTTAAAAAAGCTAATAATCTTAAAAGTGACACATGGTACTAGTTTAGGGATTACTTGGCTTTTAGTCTAAGTAAAGTACTGTGTTTTCAAATTCTTATAGTGACGTAAATCAGTCGTTAGAAACTTTGAGTGTTATGACTTGTATTCCGTCATAATGGCTAAAATGCATTTATTCTTTATTTTTCTACAAATATTAAATACCGAATTCGGACAACAGACTTTTCTACATAGAAAGATTATTTAATGAAGAAATCATTAATTTAACATTAGAATTGATTCAACATGTTCTGATATAGGGTTAGTGTATTTCGGAATCAGAGTAAAAAACAGATATTATCGATAAAACTCACTTGGATAAGTACAGGTGATGATAGAAGCATATCGTTTGCTGTGGTTAAAAAATTAGTTGAGTCTACCACTACAGCATCATGACCCCATGCAGTAAGCCAGAAGCGTGAAATTCCTCGTAAAGGTAATGGAAGTCTAGATATTCTAGTACCACATGTTATCAAAAGAGTAGGCAATACATTAACACTGGGATTCTGTTTTCTTTGAATTGTATTGCTTGCGATACAAGAAATAAAAAGACCGAACCACGGAGAATTAGCTTCTGATATAGGTGGTCCTAAATGTGGTGGCCATTGGGAATCAGAAGCTTGCTGGTCTTCATATGTTGAGGGAATAAGGCTCACAACTACGTTATAGTTTTTGCGCAAAACTCGTATGCGTGTTTCAGCCTCTAAACTTAACAACGAACCACCTCTAATTAAATCCACATCACAAAAGTCCGTTGAGTCTAATGAAGCCTGACTACGCAAAAAGTGGATTGTTTTTCTTAAATTCAGAGCATACTCGCGATAAACTCCGGCTTCACCTTCTGAAACAGGAGCGAGATGGTTTAATTCAAATATGAAAGAATTCAATGAATCATCTGATAATTTCCCGACTTCAAACATTGTAACTGCATGAGGCTTTAAGTTGGGTGATAAATTGCCCATCATGAGATAAGCTGTGATGGTCGAATCAAATATCAGAACCAACTTTTTTTTCTGCTGAGGGTGGTCATCTACAGATGGAAAGGAATCTAAGTTTGCGTCGACAACTGAGTTTTCCGTGTGTAGCAGCGTATCAGACTCCTCAATGGATATTGGAATTTGAAAAGGCTGTGTTCGACTCTCCAGACGTCCAATCCGTTTTTGAGCGAACCCCAACCGACAAAATATAGAAGCAGCTTGTTTTACTGAATTCACATCTACCTGCAGACACTCGGCTAGTTCACTAACTGATGTATTCTCATCAGCAGTGACAAAAATCTTGTATAAAAGATTTTCTCTAATATCTCCACTGATACGATTCATTACGAAGCCCTCAAGTGTAGGGACACATATCTTGTCGTCACAAGACACTGGAATATCAATGTAAACCAAACCACGAAGGTAAAGTCCTTTGATGATATTTTGATCAAGATCTTTAACCAGAATTCCGGGACCGACTTCGTTGGATTCCTCCAAGTCATCTACTTTTTCAGCATCTATAAGCTGGTCGATCGTTATGCGCTCGGAATCCGTAGATGCTTGTATGTCAGATAACATAACTGACCCAATACGAACTACATACCAGGGCTCAAATATGACTTTATCGATTGGCTGTGACGGCAGAATGTCACAAAGAAGTCCCTGAATTTCATTTTCGTCAGGACCTATTGACGACAGGAAACTCTTGTAAGTGTTAACAAGCTCAATATACTGATTTCTGCCAATTCCCAACAAACGTAAGCAATCTGCAGCAGTAAAATTTGGAAGACAGTCATATGACTTTTCAGTCGAAATCAGGTCAATTATCATGCGACGGTAGTAGACAAACTGCGTAATTTGCAAACCACGGACTATTTTGTCTTGTAAGTGGTAAGGATATAGGAGATAATGTTGTCTTCCATAATCAACAAGTTTCTCGTAGTATTTTTTTTCACGTTTTATGACCTTAAGTTGAGATTATCTAAACACTTTGCATACCAATTGTACTATATTTCCGGTGTAGCGCAACTGGTTTCGAAAACTGTGTAACAAAATCTGTTCCTCGTACTTCTTTGGGTCATCGTTCAACTGTATACGCACCTCCGACGACAAGTCAAACCAAGACAGATTTTTCTCAATGCTTTTCCATAAATCCATCTGAAATTCATTTGTTTGTAAAATTTATGATATAAAACCTCCAAAAAGCTGCGTCCATCACTAGACTAAGCGAAATAATGCATTCAACATGTTCTGAAATCAGAAATCAATAAACAAAAGCTACAATTTTAGAAACCTAACTGACAGATAAAACCAGATAAAGAGTGAGGCATCAGATGGATAGAGAAAATTTATTATTATGATAATGACTTTAGTGAAAACTCGTCGCTTCGTAGTTAAGACCTTCCAGATCTGAACCCTTTTCCGTCCACGTTGGTTTGGGCAGATGGGTAATGTCCCTATCCATCACACTTAAAAGTGTAGCTCACACACAAGTAACTGGTGGGTTAACTACAAAAAGAAATCATATTACTGTTGTCAGATTATTAACACAACACAGTGAAAAAAAACCGGTAGCATCTCTGAGCAACTCACTGAATTATATTCATCTTTTTCCGCCCTATTATATTTTCTTTACTAGTCGAAATAAAAGGTAACAAAGCGACTATAAGCTATAGAATCAGATGATTTCTACTAATGTCTACCCGCAATATTGCGAACCATATCACAATAAATAATAACCCATACATTTGATGAATAAGATCACTAAGCTAATATTTGAGTTAGGCATATTAACATCGATCCTGAAATCATGTGCAAGGAAACTTAATTAAACTGTTTCAGATCATAAAGAGCGATAAATATCTAAGTATATACTTATGGAAACACAATTAGTACAGGAGACAGAGGGGTGATATTGCACGGAAGCTGTCTGGGTTAAAATACCAAAAACTGAAGTTAGTGACAAAGTTACCTAATGAGATTAGTCATTAATCTACACTTCGACAACGGGAGTGGAATGACGACACAACATAATGAAAAAACCACCTTTCAGTACTTGTATTTTACACACGGCTAGGATAAGAAAGTGAAACAACACATCCCATTTCTAAATAAACCAAGAAAGCTAACAGTTAGCCCAAGATTGAAAGGGAGGAAAGCAGAGACGAGTTGAATTCATCATAATTTACGTACAATGACCTGTAATTACAAATTACATTGTTTTAAATACAACTATATTAAAAACACCAAGCACAATATTCGTTTGTTGCTTATCCACAAACATGTTTGGGATGCGATACTTGTAGAGTTTAATGGACAGGGTTCGACGTCAGTCCCTTTTGAGCCAAAGGATCTCAAATTTAATATTATTTGTTTTTCACTTATTTGTTCTTATACAGTACTCACTACGTTTGATTCTTAGCATTACTGATGGTACTGTCGTTCCGACTCTTGTTTTTCCCTTACTTTACTAAAACGGAATGTGGTGAATTATATTGATTCATATTTTATTCTAGGTCATTCTTTGTTATATGATTGCACACCTGTCCTTTATTGTTTATATACTGCTTTAAATTATGAATACTTATTCCAGTTATTCATTGTCGTTGCTGACTGAAGTCAAATCAAGAAATATAACCAAAATGGGATTTCGACTAGCATCTATGTTAAATAGGAGTGATGAGCTAGTTATTGCACCTCAAACCCCTGATATCCTTTCATGAACTACTTAGTTCCTAATCTGATCTTTATTTGTCACATGATTATAGAAACCACATTAGTCAAGCTGATTCCTCTGTTACTCAAGTAGCTTTTCATTTTCTTGTGAAGTCGGCCAGTCAAAGGCAACCTAATGCCCTATACGTATCAACACCAGTTTAAGTTGCCCTACCCGGTAATACAGCGAAATAAAATTGTCACGGCAAATTCCGGAGTAGTAAAGGTAGTAGCAGAAAAAAATTGGCACCGAAGAGACGATTCGAGAAATATAAACCAGTGAAATAAAAGTTATGAATTAATAAACTTAGAATGTGGAAGATAAAAAGAAGATGCACCTGCGACATCGCAAACGATTTCGAGTTATGTCATCCAAAGTCCTTAACTACTGATAACGACAACCACGTCGACACTAACCAGCTAGTCTACACCTATTAACATTACTTAATCCAATTTTCAATGACTTAATGAACTGATGCCACGTTTTGGTTTTGCTAATTGCAGCTTTCTTCCAACTTACTCACACAACAGAGATCGCTCCATCAAAATAAACGATGGCTGGGCATACGCAACGCATGTCCCAACTACCTCAGATGGTAACTCTTGACTACATCATCAATTGATCTGGAATCTTTACCCAGCACCGTATCCCTGAATCCAGTATCGCTTACTTGGTGGTTGCAAGATATATGAGCGATGCTTATGAGACACCTGTGATAAAGCGCTAATAATCTAAGAATATAATATATTCTTAATGACCATATTTCACACCCATAAAGTAAAATAGGACTGTCGAACAGTAAAATCGTTTTGGGTTGACAGACAAATACCTCGCCTACGCCAAAAGTGATCCAAGTCGGAAAAAGCCATCTAAGCTTTCCAAATCCATACCGGACTCCAATGCATCAGGACTGATGAAATCCCCACAATAAGTGGAGCGGTCGATACGCTCAACTACTTCACTCCCCATCATCAATTAAGACGCTGATGCAGGCCAATCTTCCAGCGACACTTAGCATTCTTTTGAACATATTATTTTAAGTTGGCAAGTGGCCTTTTGTTAGCTTTCCGTATACCAAGTGATGAATTAGACATTAAAATACCGATTTGTTTATTCACCTACAAACAACAATATTGATGGACATAAGGAGAAAATCACCAACTCACGATGAACTACATTAATTTTCGATGTTTGTCTTTTATGCCGATTATGATCACTAATGTTTCGGGCTATTAGAATTAACCTCTAGGACTCATAATATTTACCTGTATTAAAATCTATAATTTGACATTAAACTCTAGTGGAACCAGGAATTCCAAAGGTCACTGTTGACTACCTACTCAATGGAACAATAGCTCAGCAGTTTTGATACACCTTGACTATAATTAGCGAACAACTACTAGGGATGGGTTCTGGACTATAGATAGATATGATTCCTGACATATTCCTCCAAGAAACTATTAGACCAAAAACAAACTAGATAACAATAGAATCGATCGAAGAATAACACCGAATAATCTTTTCCGGTACCCACAAAAACAAGGTAGTCGTCAAACTCTATCTTAAAACATTCTGAAGAATGTACCATCACCTTAGCTTTAGGAATAAGTTTTTACAACCCACTAATTCGAACCGAGTAAACTTGCATGTGATTTTGGGAGACCATAACTTGTGGACGACCTATAAGCAGCTTTAAAAAAACTTGAGCCACTTACTATTGTCGAAATAGCGTTATGAACTAGTTTGGGGAGTCGAGATAAGAAGTTGGGGATTCTACTGCCTATAGCACCATATATATTACCAAATCGCTATTTAAATAGCGCAAGAACAAACATTGATGCAGAATAGTATGAATTCATATTATTTCGAAGTTTCTCGTCAACTGCTTACAAACCAAAATTGTGATATATATATATATATATATATATATATAGTTATTATTGTAATCACGTTGTTTACACTCATTTATGTCAATTGTTTCACACTATCTCCATGTAAAAATTCTATCACAATTTTGGTTTGCAAGCCGCTGACGAGAAACCTCGAAATAATATGAATTCATACTATTCTGCATCAATGTTTGTTCTTCCTCTATTTAAATTCATAAAGGGAACCAATTGCATGAAATCGCTATTTAGTTAACCAGGAGTATTTTGCACCAAGATCCAACTATCTATCGTAAGCCTGATTAATTTGTCTTCCAATCACAGTCCTGAAAAGTTATGAGTAATGTGTGATATATTTATTTCACGACACGATCTTCCTAAAAGGCACTGGCCTTTCATTGCTACAGGTAGTTTTCCTGATGTATCCTCAATTAAGGGAGATGTATAACATGATGCAGGTTATTTTTGGCCAGTATATAATCCTTGGGAACGTAGAAACTGGAAACTTAACAGAACTCTACTAAGCACGTAGAGCATATGTTACTTGGGCGAGACTCTAATTTAGGGACGACCTTTGAACGAATCTTAAATGACCTTGACAATTATAAGCCAATCAGAAGACACTTAGTATAAAGTGAAAATATATTATAAGTCATGAATTACAGTGGATATTCTTCTTTTACATGATTTAAAAACTTGTTAAGGTTTGATAAAGGTTCAGAATTTATAATGCATATGGTATAGAAACTAGTCCATCGGGTTAGGGTTAAGGTTAGGGGGCTAACATGAGATCGGTTTACAACGGATCTTAGAGGTTAGGGTTAGGGTTGTAGCCTCCCAATAAACACCTCTTCTTTAAAATCCGATGTAAACCGATCTCATGTTAGCAGCCTGACCCTCACCCTAACCTAACCCCATGGACGAGTTTCTATACCATATGCATTATGAATTCAGAACCTCTGAACCTTCTGATTGGCTCGTCCCTAAATTAGAGTCTCGCCGTGATCTTATGATTTTGCTGCAGTGACAGACTATATAAATATGAGAACACCTAGAACCCATCCAACCCACCGTATGTCGGCAACGCTCCTAGGGTATCGTCCACTGATGGGGGTTGCGAGCACTTGAAGGTCAAACTGTCGCAAAATGATTGGTGCGTCACATCGACAATTCGTGAAAGTTTTCAGAAGCGGTCAAATCAAGGCATTTTTAGATTTGAGTTGAGTTCAGCAACACCATGTCTAGTAACGTTCATTCTTCAAGTAACGAAGACGATGCCATCGTGATGATGCACGATATTGGACGAATGTTCAATGATATTATGTTATCTCGAAGATTCACAAGTTAGTACAATTTCGAGACCTGTTTGGAAGAAGTACATAAGGTAATATGACTTCTGTGGTTAATAATTATTTTTTTAGTATATGCATACTAAGTACGTTATGTCAGTATGCAAAAAGAACAGTGATGATCCAACTCTAAAGTACTTTTTCGTGATATATGTCTGTACATATGGACGTAAACGCAGTTCGTCAGAGTCCGATGCTTGCGTTCAGGATGTAGATGATGATAGTAATAATCATTCTTCTGAAGAGCATACAACTTCTAACTGGCCAACACAACCTAGGCAAAGGAGACGACGTCGGTCATCTACGTATGCCTCACTTCAAATGAATCTATCCTTCAGGTCGAAATATTGCCATTGTCAATCAGGATTTTGGGTCCGGGCAGTAAATGGTGAGTTGAAACTCACCTCTATTAAAACCGTGCACAACCATCCTTGCACAGAAGGATATATTTCTGTCGATCCATCGAAACGACAGTTGACCTCAAGTGAACGCTTGTATTTAAGAACGTTTCTACTTAGTAATACACCAACTCGTAGCTTACGGTATATGGTTTCTTGGAAGTTCAATAAACAGCTTACCAAGGACGATATCGCCAGAATGCGTCCACAGTTGTACCCAGGTTGTTGAACTCACATTGTAATTAATTGAGTTTAGACACTAAAAAATATCAATGATATTTTACAACGCGTTCAAGCAAATACTGAAGTTAAAGTATTCAATGAGAATGGGAACATGTCTATGATTTGCTTCAGCCGCATAGAGCAAATAGCTGTTTACCACGCGTTCCCGGATGTAATATGTATTGATTCGACTTATCAGACCAATAAAGTCGGGTAAGTAACGATTAGTAATAAATGTATCTGAAAGTTTTCCACTGTTCCAGCTAGTGGTGACTGATAGTCTTGGGCAAGGGCACACTGTTATGTATACTCTTTGCAGTCAAGAACGACGCGATGTCGAAAAACTATTGGAATGTTTTAAAGAGATAATGTGCGGTACTTATGCTACACGTACTTTCATTATGGATTCGGCAGCGACCGAAATTTCAGCTGTGCAGTCTACGCACAGTCATTCGAACATAATACTTTGTTCATTCCATGTCTTGAGAGCGTTTTTCAGGAAGGTATGTGTTAGCTGTACAAATTATTTTCTGTAGTTCCGAAATCCTGATATGCGTAAATGCTTGGAACACCTTGTGAAGACTAGACGGTCTGATATGCGAGCTTCGCTTTTCATAACGCAATATATTCAGATTTACTCGGAATTACGAACATCTAAGGACGCATTTCCCACGGACGTATGATTACATAAAAGATTACTGGATTGTAATTTTTTAGTTTTACATAAATTCATTTATATGGCCATTGACTTATTCTTATAGCGTAACGGCAGGGAGTGTACTGTGCAGTCTTATGTGGCTGTGAGACAGGGATGTTGTTTCGCGTTCTTGTGTAATAATTACCAGTTTGGCGCACACGCGATTAGTCGTACATACCGTTTACCAAATACTGCTACCTTGAACATGGTGTACCATACTAGAAGTTTGAATTCCGACCTGTCACGATAGATACGAATTGCCGTAATTAAAAGACTGGTGCGTTATAAATGAAAACGTTTATTAAAGTTTGAATCTAGCACAAATGATCCATTAATAAATAACTTTTATTTCTCAGGAATTGTTCCCGTTAGGTCTGTGAA